TCAGCATGGTAGGGTGGCTGCAAAGAGCAGCAGAAGGGCAGTGGAAAGCAAGCAGCATGTCTCCAAAACAACACAAGGAAATACAGGAAAAGAAAACCCTCCTGATGCGCAGGGGCGTAGCCAGGATCATGGCCAAGGGAGAGGGGTGGGGGCAAAACTTCCCACACAGATACACATGAAAGGGCTGAGCTGAAGACATGCCATGTCTTCAGCCCTTTCATGCACATGGTGTCGACTCTGCTGCTTAAAGAAAGAGAGAAAACTTGTAGATCACGATACATGCACAAAGCATGTGTGGAATCTGTTGCCAGTGCTGGCAATGTCAGATTTTGACAACATGTACCATTACACGTATGATGTAGATCTACCAGGTACATGTTCATCTAAACTGGGAGGAACATCATAGATAGCTACAAAGTGTGAATTCTGCAGAGTCGCGCATGCCGTCAGTGGTCCACAGACCATGGTCTTTCTGGAACCAAGATCGACATGTTTGAGGGGGTGCTCTAGCGCCCAAGCAACCCCCTCCCCCCTCACCCGCCTACGCCCCTGGTGCGTATTGCTGAACCGCATAGATGAACACACTATGTACATGAATGCAAACACATGGACACAGCGAGGAAAACACAACCATAGAGACACGATCAGGTTCCAAGATACATGTAGAAAAAGACCTTGGAGTTCCTGATCTGCCCACAGAGCTGGACCTTTGGCTAGTTCGTGGTCACCAACCACCCATCCATACCCCCCCCCCCCCACACACACACATACACAGCATGCCTGATATTAGCAGGGCATAGTGGCAACTCACATCATTTTCGGATTCACTCTCCACAGCAATCACTTCCGGTTGCAGTGCCCCTGCGGCATCCTGCAACACTGGAGCATCAGCAGCTCCTGTTGACATGACGTCGTCATCTTCCACGTCATCATCCTCACCACCGTCATCACTATCATCCATGTCCTCAGTATCCTCCACGGTTATAGGACGTTGAGCATCTGCAGATACTGCTGTGACAGCACTGTCCACTTCAATGGCCGAACTGCCAGTGGCTGCAGCTAGTGTAGTGCCTGTTGTTGCTGCTGCTGCTCTAGCTGATCCCATTGCAGCGGCTGATGGCAACATCGACACTACCGTACTACTGCTACCAACGGCACTGGTTGATACAGCTCCGGCAGAGCTTGTCGCACTCTGGAACAAAACGCGACAAGCGCCAAATTTGAGAAATTCGGATTTCGAGCTCATTGAAATCAATAGGCCAAGAGGGATCTTCAGGTAAAATTTCATATCCCAAATCCTACTAGAACCACTTCTAAAGTGGTAGTCAAATGGTGGTCAAATCCGGACATAGATACAAACTGCACACAGAGTGAATTAGAGTATCGCTGGCATATAGCGGAGGTCCCTGGTTCGAAACCCGGCGGTGACAGTCAATTTTTTCCTTCGCACGTTTTCCCATTTTCAACGCACTCAAGGCCTCAACTGATGAATAACAGGTGATGTAATAATAATTGATAGATTCTGTATGCAGGAAATGAAAAGCCAGATGGCAATGACCCAGTAACAGTACATATTCTCAGATGGCAATGACCCAGTGGAACAGTACATATTCTCGGTAAGGAATATGGTGATGCACAGGCACGAGCAAAGAAGTCCAACACGGAACATGTCCAGCACATTTCTTAAGTAAATTTGGTAGTGCAGGTTTTCGTTCATGCTTTACATGCTGCGAACACCTACGGGAGTGGAGTCATCGTCACTGGGCACTCGGCGGCGCTTCGGTGCTGATGACTGCCCTTCCGTGGAGGGACAAGCTGTAGCCGCAGCTTCTACGCTGCTGCTGCTGCACACACGCAAGCAAAAGCAAGTGCAGACACGCGCACACACGCACAGGAAAGGCCAGACATCCAGGCATACACACACACACACACACACACACGCACATGCCCGGACACACGGAGAAGATACAATTAGAGTGGCCTCAGTACACCGCCCTTTAGCAGCCAATAGTAGCAGTTACTATACAATGGCCTTCCACATTTCGTGCCAGGAGGAAATGCGATGTCATGCAATTCACAGCAAGTGCACTACATCGCGACAAACGCAGCATGCAATACAGTTCAAATTGTCATATGTAGCAGGAGCGAACCAGCAACAACACATTCAAACTGTACATCGAACTGTACGACTGTACAAGCCAGCCAATAATCATGTACCCCCCCCCCCCCCTCCGTACCGTCGTTCACGACTAACGGGTACTCGTTTGCTAACGGATCAGCAGCTAAACAGACGGGCACCCGGATCACCCCTATCGGAAAGGGAGCATTCCTGGCACTAGAGTATGCTAGTAATTGTCTACCTGGCCTCTTGCCCGTCAGCTTCGTGCTGACGCTTAGCACCTCTTGGCTGAGACGATCCGGCAACGGCCTGTGACACATGGTGATGTGTCCCTTCAGCAGTCGTGGACTCTGCCTGCTGCACCACACTGCTGTTCGCCAAAGCACCTGCACAAACACGTTTAGAACGTGCACAAAAGCAAGTGAAACATACTGATGATATTCGGTAGCAGACATCTCGAAACTGGAAACACCGACGACACAGAGCTAAACTGCCTCGCCATGCTATGGCCAATGCACACACTGCTGCTCCAGGAGGAAAGAACATGCTCACTTGGCAATATTCCAGACATATTCACACTTATGTGGTGAGCATGAGCTGTGACATGAGCTTGGACACAAGCTTGCGTTAGGAATTCTTTTTAACACTGCATGGGAATGAAGTTGGTTTCTCCTGCACAGACAAAGGACAAGGGTAGTAGCTTGCATGCAGAGTGGCAGCAGCACATACCGTTGGTGACGGGAGGCAGAGCAGCGGCTGCAGACACAGCCATACTGCTCCCAGCGCCGCTGTGCACACTGGACGGTATCGCTACGGTAACGGACACGCCGCCCGTATTGGACACGGTCGTCGTCGTGGCTGCCGCGGTGTTGGTGGTGGCGGCGGCAATGGCTGCTGCTGCTGCCGTGACGGAGGTGGCAGCGGCGGCACTAGCTGCAGCTGCGGCAAACACACTGGTCAAGCTGGCCAGCGGCGTAGGAGCCACTGCAGCCGTGGGTGGCAGCGTAACGGGAGTGGGCATCGGTCGAATGCTAGCCGTGGGTGTGTTTGTACGCTCTAGAGCGGCCGCAGCAGCAGTAGCAGCAGCACTGCTGGCACTGGTTGCAGGCGTAGTAGCACTAGCAGAAGCACTGGCAACGGAAGCTGGACGAACCACAACGGTAGGTGTCTGACTTGAAGATGAGGCGGCTAGAGAGATGGCAGAAACATACACACGAGAGAGCGAGCGAAATAGAGTGTGAGATTGAACGTGCGGTGTGTGTGTGTGTGTGTGTGTGTGTGTGTGTGTACGCGTGTATGTGTCATAACATCAAACGGCAGCATGTACTACACTGAGGATATGATGGGATCAAGCTGGAATTAAAGGGGAAGTGCATCGATTTTTCAAGTAGGGTTCAGATGAAAGACAATTTGACACAGCACTAACAGCATTGAACACAGCACTTCTTTCACATCAGGAATACAATAAACCAATCGAAAATGATCAAATTCTGTAGTGATCGACCTTCTCTCTCATGGAGCTAAGCAGAACGTGCGTCATCACTGTGCTGGTCTCTATGGAAACGTGAGCACACGATTGGCGATTTGGCAAGTTTGGCTCATCCGTCATCGTATGTAAGCGAGAGATATGCCATTCGAACCGATATAAATTGTTGTAATATTTAAAGCACGTCAGTTATTAGTTAGCCTGGCAACATACAAATTAGTTATTAGTTAGCCTGGCAACATACAAATTAGTTATTAGTTAGCCTGGCAACATACAAATTAGTTATTAGTTAGCCTGGCAACATACAAATTAGTTATTAGTTAGCCTGGCAACATACAAATTAGTTATTAGTTAGCCTGGCAACATACAAATTAGTTATTAGTTAGCCTGGCAACATACAAATTAGTTATTAGTTAGCCTGGCAACATACAAATTAGTTATTAGTTAGCCTGGCAACATACAAATTAGTTATTAGTTAGCCTGGCAACATACAAATTAGTTATTAGTTAGCCTGGCAACATACAAATTAGTTATTAGTTAGCCTGGCAACATACAAATTAGTTATTAGTTAGCCTGGCAACATACAAATTAGTTATTAGTTAGCCTGGCAACATACAAATTAGTTATTAGTTAGCCTGGCAACATACAAATTAGTTATTAGTTAGCCTGGCAACATACAAATTAGTTATTAGTTAGCCTGGCAACATACAAATTAGTTATTAGTTAGCCTGGCAACATACAAATTAGTTATTAGTTAGCCTGGCAACATACAAATTAGTTATTAGTTAGCCTGGCAACATACAAATTAGTTATTAGTTAGCCTGGCAACATACAAATTAGTTATTAGTTAGCCTGGCAACATACAAATTAGTTATTAGTTAGCCTGGCAACATACAAATTAGTTATTAGTTAGCCTGGCAACATACAAATTAGTTATTAGTTAGCCTGGCAACATACAAATTAGTTATTAGTTAGCCTGGCAACATACAAATTAGTTATTAGTTAGCCTGGCAACATACAAATTAGTTATTAGTTAGCCTGGCAACATACAAATTAGTTATTAGTTAGCCTGGCAACATACAAATTAGTTATTAGTTAGCCTGGCAACATACAAATTAGTTATTAGTTAGCCTGGCAACATACAAATTAGTTATTAGTTAGCCTGGCAACATACAAATTAGTTATTAGTTAGCCTGGCAACATACAAATTAGTTATTAGTTAGCCTGGCAACATACAAATTCTGAAACACCTACCGGCCGCCCCTTCTTGCATTGCTGGTGGCGGTACAACTGTAGAGGTGTTTGCTGTTGTTGCCGCCGCTGTGGATGTAAGGGCACTAGTCGCACTGACTGAGGTGACAGTCGTTGTGGCAATACTGGCATCACTTTCATCCATCTGCTGGTCTTCGTCACCTGCTACTGAGGTAGCAACACCACCAACATCAGCACCAAGACCAGACTCGACCGTATGAGCAGCAGTGGAAGTGGCCAAATCCGAAGATTGGCCACGCGCCGCTGTTTGCTGTGTTTCAGCATTGGTGACGAGTGCATTGCCGGCAGCTGATAGCATGGCAGCGGCAGTACTCATGCCCTCTTCCTCCATATCCTGCCTGGTTGATTCCTGCGGCATGGGTGCCTGTTCGCTGGTTTCCGCAGCAGCAGGCTCTTGCTCGTTTGCTGGGTGGCTGCTTGCTTGGGTTGGCATGGTGACGACAGCTGCGCTTGACGCAACCACAGCAGGCGGGCTGGCCACGGACGATGGAGTTGTGGTGACAGCACACGTGGCAGTGGCAACGGCTGGAGCAGCTGCAACCGTAGTGGTCTTATCACCTGTGCTGGTGGTGTCGGTACCAGTGCTGGTGGCGGCCGTGCCCTGTGTCACTTGACCGCCTTGCTGGGCTTTTTGCAACGACCGGATAGTCCTAGCATTTCTTGTCTGCATTTTGGATAGGTTCGTCACCTTCATCAGAAGTGTACTGCGATCTTTCTCAACTTCCTTCAACCGGCCCTCTGTAAGCATACGCAAACACATACCCAGATCCACACAATAACATTTCAGTTGGCACTGAAAACGTTTATACATCCTACCGGTACATGCTATGGAAAACCGAGCAAGAGGTGGATGGTACAAGTACGGGTCCCCATGTGCATGGGATTATGTAAGTCTAGGATAAGATTACAGACACACTGGATATTCCGTCACTCACCTGTTTCCTCCACCTGCTTCTTCGCCAGAGTAAGGTCAAGATCAGACTTCTTCCATTTATCTGCAAAAACAATACCAATGTTGGCAGCACACGCACAGACAGCTTCTAAGTTACAAGCTAAATGAGCCAACACACACCAACCAAAGCCAATACACCATCAGCACTTTCAACCGGATACCGACACAAGTAGATAATTCAACAGGACACACCTTGGTGCTGCTGAGACTGCTTTCGAAGTTTGCTGATCATTTCCCTCAATTTCTCCATCTTGCCTTCTTGTTCAGTAGCCTTGACCTGCGGACAAACACAATGAAACACACAGAATAGCACAGTTAGCAAGACTTGGAAGTAGTAGCTGGCTTGTGCCACCAGGCAGGTTGCCTTGCACCAACAACACAACACTGCTCTGGATTTGTGTGACAATGCACAGTTTCTTGTACAGGCTGGCAGCTATTTAACACTACACTGTATGAAAACAAGACCATTGATCACTCTGCACGGACAACTACGTTACGTCATATCACAGTAGTGCAGGGATAATGAAGAACAAAAATCCACGGTTCGCGTCAGATTCAGTCACACTGATTTTCCGCATTAAAAGGTGTGGATGCAGCTCCTAAAGCAGCGGGAGGTGAGTATATCGGACCGACCACAAAGTAGTCAAAGGTCGAAAATCCCATTCGCTATATCTATGTTACCCGCATGTCAGGCCACGAGCCCCTAAATAACTGTTTATAGCAATGAATGAAAATGCAAATGCAAAGAAATAACTATGCTTACATTGGCTTCCTTCTCATTCCTCTGCGCAGTCTCAATATCCTGCACAAATAACGAAAAACAACAACACCAACACCAACAACTCTTATTGGCGATGGTGCCATCGTGAGAATAAAGAATTCAAAAACAACAACAACAAAACAGTGAGGACCACGGGAGATAACTTGTGCAACTGTGATGGCCACCAGCTTCTACACAACATACTGTGAGGCTATAGATGCAAGGGTTCTTGTGCGCCGTAAAGAGAAAGCAGTCGATAGAACAACCCATGTGGTGGTCTACACAAACATCATGTATGACAAGACTTGCACCCAGCAGGCATCAAGCAGTGGACAAGGCTTGTGCCCAGCAGGCATCAAGCAGTGGACAAGGCTTGTGCCCAGCAGGCATCAAGCAGTGGACAAGACTTGCACCCAGCAGGCATCAAGCAGTGGACAAGGCTTGTGCCCAGCAGGCATCAAGCAGTGGACAAGGCTTGTGCCCAGCAGGCATCAAGCAGTGGACAAGGCTTGTGCCCAGCAGGCATCAAGCAGTGGACAAGGCTTGTGCCCAGCAGGCATCAAGCAGTGGACAAGGCTTACGCTGGCGAGTTTAGCAACTTGCTCGTTCAACTCCTTGATCTGCCCTTCCGATGCCGTTGCACTGCTGCTCTGCTTCTGCAATGAGTGACAGAAAGTGAGTTAACGTTGACAGATAGTAGACACAGTCAAACCTTGCGAATAACAACTCTTGATGGGGCGTGAGAAAAGTGCAGTTGTCGACGAGACTAAAAGTACGAAGTCAAGGGGTTACTTGGTCTGAAGATAGTGTCGTCATTCACGAGTTGTTATATCCCAGGTCAATACTAGTATTCGTGAGCTGTACTGTAGACTGTGTGCACGTCTGCACGACGTTTGATATAATAGTGTGTATGTGAGAAAAACAAAGAACAGCGCATAGATAAGATGGGGCAAGGACAGCGAAAACTCAAACAAAAAGAAAGTCAACAGACAGAAAGACAAACAGATGCACATATTTACATGTGTGTGAGTGCGTCCCCGACCCACCTGAAAAAGTGTAGACACACACACACACACACACACACACACACACACACACACACACACACACACACACACACACTCCTACTCCTGCCCATCGCTGAAGCGATGATAGCGAACAAGCTATGTTAGACATAGCAACTTGTGCTGGGATCTGTACCCACAGATTTCTCTTATAGCAACGATAGCGAACAAGATCTGAATGAGACAGATCAAGACTTGCGCCAGATAACTGCCTAATGCACACAACTGGCGAAGCCATGTGAATCGACCACCAATGCACACCTGGTCTACACCACACGGAGTACATCAGCATCACACACAGTGACACACACACACACACACCATTTGGACCATTGGACGCCCATCCGGCGATGGTAGCGATACTACAGCAGGAGCCATAGCTGCTTGTGCTGGGATTGCACCATTCAACAGCTTGCAAGGCTGAAGAATTGACCGCCATTATTCAGCCTGGTCTACGCCACACAGTTATATAGCGGCTTTTTCTGGCCACACACACACAGACACACACACACAGACACACACACACACACACACACACACACACACACACACACACACGTGAGCACAGTATAACATGATCCATATACTGGTGGTCTTCCGCACACACTATCATGCCAGACATCCCGTAGACACATTGATTTGGTTAGCTGTGTAACTGTTACATATCACTTCCTCGCACAGGACTATAGCATGCACACAACATGCCTATGCCGTATGTACATACATTCCTTTCCGCTGTAAGGGCCGCTTCCAGCTCAATAGCCTTGGTTTGTAGCAGCTTCAAACTATTGGTGTTGCGCATACCTGCACGTCGAGACTGCACATCAAAACCCACACACAGACACAGACACAACACACACATAGACACGCAGACATGTACACACACACACACACACACACACACACACACACACACATCACAGACACACATACACAACACACACATAGACACGTACACACGTACACACACACATATATAACTCCAACTTGCAGCGGTCCGGATGCTTGATCCGAGTCACAGCCCCGATGTGCTTTCTCTGTAATCTAAAATTCAGTACATTTTTTGATATTATCACCACGGTCAATACCGTAAATAGGTATACACTTACTTTCGAATTTAGTGGCCACATCCGTAAAAAACTATCGGGCGGGTACTGACTTTCAGGCGCGAACTAACTTTCGGACCTAACTTGTGCGTAGTGGAGAAGTCATTTTCATGTAGATGTACATGCTAAGTGCTGCATGTGCGCACCGTACCGGTGTACTTACTTCAGGCAGCATGTTTATCGGGCTTGACCCGACTTCAACGGGCAGGGTCAAAAGGATGAATGGGAGTATTTATTTCGGGGAGGGAATTACTTCAGCTTTACTTGGTCCAAATCTCTAGACCATCATGCTATGCAACAACAATAATTAACAACCACACAAGCCGACCTGTTTGGGAGCTATTACGCGTTGTATTATCAGGGCATAGGCAACAATTGCCGCATGCAGTATGCAATACTATGGACCAATGCCGTAGTATCGCAGGCAACAATTGCCGCATGCAGTATGCAATACTATGGACCAATGCCGTAGTATCGCAGGCAACAATTGCCGCATGCAGTATGCAATACTATGGACCAATGCCGTAGTATCGCAAGCACCAATGTGCGTTAGACTGGCCAATGCCAGGGCTAATGGGGGCAACAATTGCCCGGCGTGTCAATACACGCATACGGTAGGGATGCACTTGTGAGCACATGTAGGCGCACTTGGCTCAATGCCGGCCTGACCCACGATCCCTACCGTTCTCCCTTCCGGGATGGCTTAGAATAGAATGATGGTTAGAGATGATGGGGTGGGTGGTGGTGCTCAAAAACTGGCCAAGGTTGTCAAGCGATCTGACTGTTGGCGCAGCAAGGATGAAGAAGAAGCAGCATCGAGAGCCGGAGTAATGCGCATGCTCCGCGTGGTCCCGTGCCGGGGCGCGGGAGTTCGGAGTGCGTGTTCTGCACGGGCACGTGATGCGCTATGGCAAGTACGTGCAAATTATGTTAGGAATGTAATTGTTGGTGGGTTGCTAACTTCACTTACCGTGCCATGCACGGAAACTTATATTTAACAACCACACAAGCCAACCTGTTTGGGAGCTATTACGCGTTGTATTATCAGGGCATAGGCAACAATTGCCGCATGCAGTATGCAATACTATGGACCAATGCCGTAGTATCGCAGGCAACAATTGCCGCATGCAGTATGCAATACTATGGACCAATGCCGTAGTATCGCAGGCAACAATTGCCGCCTGCAGTATGCAATACTATGGACCAATGCCGTAGTATCGCAAGCACCAATGTGCGTTAGACTGGCCAATGCCAGGGCTAATGGGGGCAACAATTGCCCGGCGTGTCAATACACGCATACGGTAGGGATGCACTTGTGAGCACATGTAGGCGCACTTGGCTCAATGCCGGCCTGACCCACGATCCCTACCGTTCTCCCAAAATACAACATGACCCAAACAGGAATTATCGGCATTACTATAGTTATAGTAGCGTTACTATAGTTATAGTATAATAGGTATATCATATGTACACTACAGCTGTTGCTAGGGCCGTCCAATGCGGCTACCCATTAGCATAACGGGCAGAGACTAGAACAATGCCGCTGGCAATGCTCTGTCTGCGACAGGGGTGCGGACATAGCGGAGGTAGGCAGAGCTTTGCCACCTGCCGGCGGTCTTCAGCACGTACTCACTCCTACTACTCAGGCACGCCAGCTTTGCCTGCCAGCGTTGCAGCGCCTCGTCTGAGGCTGTGGCTGCGCACGTCTTTGTTAGGCAAGGCTGTTTGTAGTAGCCTGTTGATGTTATGCGGCTTCAGGGGCGTGCCGTCATCATAGCGATAGAGCGGGCCAGGTGCCGAGCCACGGGCTGCTAGGTAGCTGGTGGCTGCCGTGTGCGGGCATGTCGGCGAGCCTGTCCTCCTGACGCTAATGTCCTGGCCGCTGCCGTATTGGCTCGTCTTTGTCACACGCAGGCGCAGCTCCACGCGGTCTGGGTACATGGTCGCATCGCTGTACTCAAGGCCGGCGCCCCGTGCCGTGAAGGTGTACTCGTTGACTCTGAGCAGCCCGTGGAAGGCCAGAGTCACGGCGCTCCAGAGCATGGCGCGGTTGTGCGGGCTAGGCACGGTGGACTGCAGGTAGTGCTGTACGCCAGCCAGATCGTCCAAAGTTGCGGCCCGCGTCGGCAACTGCTGAAGGGTGGACTGCGCTGGTTGTGTCGGCACTGCGTCGGCAGTTGGGCTGCGAGTCCAGAAGCGTCGACAACCTGACCCAAACAGGATTTATCTACATTACTATTACACTACAATTGATGTGAGTGCCGTCCAATGCGGCTGCCCATTAGCATAGTGGGCAATGCGCTCAACGTACCGGATATGGAACAATGCTGCTGGCACTGATCAGTCACTGGGTATGGCTTGCCCTAGTGCGGGGTGACAAGCGTTCGGAGCGCTGCAGCGAAGCGTATGTTGTGCTGGAGCTGCCCGCCAGGCCCTGGCGGGTGAGGTCCATGGTTGCATCATCAACTGCTGAAGGGTGGACTGCGCTGGTTGTGCCGGCACCGCTTCGGCAGTTGGGCTGCAAGTCCAGACGCGCTGACAACCGGACCCAGACAGGATTTATCTGCATTACTATTACACTGCAATTTATGTGAGTGCCGTCCAATGCGGCTGCCCATTACCATAGTGGGCGATGTGCTCGAAGTACAGGATCTGGAACAATGCTGCCGGCGCTGATCAGTCCCTGAGGTTGGCTTGCCCTGGCGCAGGGCGACAAGCGTTCGGAGTGCTGCGGCGAAGCGCATGCCATGCTGGAGCTGTCCGCCAGGCCCTGGCGGATGAGGTCCATGGTTGCGTCGTCAACTGCTGGAGGGTGGACTGCGCTGGTTGTGTCGGCACCACTTCGGCAGTTGGGATGCGAGTCCGGCAGCGCTGACAACCTGCCCAAACAGGATTTATCTGCATTACTATTACACTGCATTTGATGTGAGTGCCGTCCAATGCGGCTAGCCATTAGCACAGTGGGCAATGCACTCAAAGTACAGGATCTGGAACAATGCTGCCAGCACTGATCAGTCCCTGAGTGTGGCTTGCCCTGGCGCAGGGCGACAAGTGTTCGGAGCGCGGCAGCGAAGCGCATGTTATGCTGGAACTGGCCGCCAGGCCCTGGCGGATGAGGTCCATGGTTGCGTCGTCAACTGCTGGAGGGTGGACTGTGCAGGGTGTGTCAGCACTGCGTCGGTAGATGGGCTGAGAGTCCGGAAGCGCTGTACTCGAAGACGAGTAAGAGACTTAGCAGGATCATTGCAGAGTCGCCGTTGGGCTGAGAGTCCACATCAGCCGGTCTGTTGAACGGAAGGGGGAGGATCTAAGGCCAAATGGTGGTGCCTTATCTACATGGTACGAACCTTCCAAAAAGTGCCAAGCCGGGGCCAGACATGAGGGGAAACAGACCAAAAACTGGCCAAGGTTGTCAAGCGATCCGACTGTTGGCGCAGCAAGGATGAAGAAGAAGCAGCATCGAGAGCCGGAGTAATGCGCATGCTCCGCGTGGTCCCGTGCCGGGGCGCGGGAGTTCGGAGTGCGTGTTCTGCACGGGCACGTGATGCGCTATGGCAAGTACGTGCAAATTATGTTAGGAATGTAATTGTTGGTGGGTTGCTAACTTCACTTACCGTGCCATGCACGGAAACTTATATTATAAGAAAAGAATTTTCCGACGCGCATTTCTGAATTTCTGAACAATTATCATGACCATCACCATCAGCCCTTTCGCGTTGGCATGAGGATCAGCCTCATACCCATGGTAGACATGATACCAGAAGAACAGAGGAAAAAAGATCCAAACAATTTCTGAACAATTTGAGCGGAAAATGCAGATAAACTTGAGAAAAGGATTTCCCGACCAAGCCCTACTGACATGTGTACAGTAACACTGGGTGTAGAAACACCGGGCTGCTGACTGGGCTAGAAAACCATCAATATTTATAAACAACGTGCCAGGCTGGGAGCAAAGATTGCGAAATACTAGCGTCCTTTTGCACGTGCACACACTGCACACAAATTGTACATGTACAGTTCCGAGGCAGTGGTAGTACTAACATAGCTACACGCAGCAGTCGCGCGCACGCACGCACACACACACACAGGGAAAAGTCATGTCACACTTCAAGCTGTGCTTAGTACTGCTTACGTCAAGAAGAGTCTTTCTCGTGTCAGCCAGCTCCTTGGTCTTGGAATCAATCTCCTTGACCTTAAGTTCTAGTTGTTTGCTGATGTCTTCCCTGCAAGTGACAAGTGGATACAAGTGACAAAGTAATACAATGTTCCACAAGGAGAGAGAACTACTACATTGTATAATATGCTACCTACCAGTGGCGGATCCAGGGGGGGGGCCAGGGGGCCTGGGCCCCCCCTTTGAAAATTTCGACCTTGGTCTAGGATTACAGTAGACTATAGAATGAGCGCTCGAAATGACTTGGCGTGTCAAGTGGGTCACGCGTGCTGGGTACTTTTATACGTGTCCGGTCACTCCAGTACATGGTGTCACGCACTGAGCATGAGTCTGTACTAGTCAGCGCGCTGTGTACCAGGTGTACCGGTGTACAACTACTGTACGCACTGCGACCTGAGGACACGGCCGCACTTCAAACATGTGAAAAACGTGCCAAAAATGCAGGGCCTGGTACATCATGGTACATAGTGCAGCGATCGCGTTGGGCTGAAGTCCTGTATGGTGCACGGTGCTGTCGACTTCGTCCTTCCTTTTTTCTTTTTCAATTGTCAGAAACTACAAGTATACGCTCTCTAGCTCTCTACTTCGCTTGTAGCCAACGGGTTACCTTCAGATTTGAGATGAAGAGGAAAGGGTCTGACATCAGGTCGTTCTTCAGTGGACCGGTAGATAAGAGAGCTCGCGTTGGAGAGCCGTCCAAAGGTCCGTCGCGGCCGCTGTCGAGTGGAAATGTTCTAGTGCAGTTTGAAAATGTCGTGAGAATGGAATAAAACTAGAAACCGGCGGATTCTGCTCGAAAAGGTGGCATATTCTGCTCGAAAAGCAGTGAAATTGGCAGAATCATACAAACCTTATGGCGGGCAATTCCACGAATTCTGCTCCATATTTTTATCCACATACCAAACATCCATGAAACTTACCAGAAAAAGTACCGAATTCTGCCAATTTTTCTGCCGGCAGAATCCGCCGGACCCTAAAAACAACTGCTTTTCACAACTTCAGGACTTTGTTGTTGTTGTATTTGTTGTTTTGTTTTGGGGGGGGGGGCGGATACCTTGGGCCCCCTCTTCGGCCAAGTCCTGGATCCGCCACTGCCTACTACCTAGTCAAACTTACTCATAAACATTGGGGCGGAGGAAAAAACTGAACGGGATACAGAACATGGCAGCATGTCATCAAACCAAGTGCACAGATACCACCTGGCATGTAACAGGACTGGGCGAAACTGATGCGTTCTTTTCTTCCGATAATTATGTTCTTTTTTTTCCTTCTCTTGCCATGGCTGGCTAACGCCCCCTCCTTTGCATTGGCTTCTGCCATTGGACGGTGAAATAAAATAACATAAAATAAAAGTCGGGCTGGCATAGCACAGCACAGGCTGTGTACGTCATGTTTGCTTACTTTGCTTTGTCACATTTCTTCTCCAGCAAGGCGCATTGACCACTGCAGTTGGATAGAGAAGAGAGACAGAGGTGTCTTGTCTTGGAAAGTACACTAATCAAAGCAGGTCACCCACCGAGTAGCCCAAAATAACAGCAAGAACTAAAACAATAACAGCAGCAGAAGCAACAGCAAACAGAGCAGCAACAACATGTTTTCTTGTCTTTTTAGTTGGCACAGTTCAAACAACATGGAAGTGAGAATAGGGACGGACAGTACATGGCTTCCCCCTTTCCATCTCCTCACTCCAATGCGTATACACACTACATGTTTGCACAAGGCAATGACCTACATCGCGTCATCAGAATACTTACCGGAGAGCTGTGTTGGCTGCCTCTGCTTCATTCACCGACTCCCTGGACACAAGTGTAACACAGACATCAGTGTGACAAGACTGAAATACATGTGCTACGACTCATATCAAGAAGCTTTCGCTATATCAACTCGTGTGTGTGTGTTGAACACACGCAGCTTTGAACTAGGATGACACGAATGAATGAAAATAATCGCGGCAAGACAGAGAAGCGAGAAAACCAACGCCATGACGGACTAACTTGAGTTCAGCAAGCGATGCGTTGAGAGAGGAAATCTCCTTCTGATTAGTCTCCTTCGTCACCCTGTGGCACAGAGCACAGGTAAACATAAGGAGAAAACCCCAAGTACATGACACAATCATTCTGCGCTACAGCAGATCAACTAACATACTGAACGCAAGCCCCGCGCGTGCAGGCTTACTGCCATACAAGCACATGTATTAATCACGGTGCACCGGAATTGGTTCTTTCCATGAACAGCTCCGCGCACACTACATTACTCCACCATCCAGATCGAAGGAGAAATGCCGCAAATGCAAAAGCGGCACACACACGTGCTAATACTACGCTGAGAGTCTAGCATGCCTCAGACAGGTCAACACTCACAGCAGTTGTTGGTATTCTTCCTGGTCGACCTTGTTACACTGCTCCATCAAACTATTGCACCGCTGGTTCCACCGTTGAACCTGGCAACAGACAAGGAACACACGAACAAACGCTACCGATGAAGACAAGGCAAAGAAGACATGACAAGAGTGAGACAAACACAAACAGCAAGAGAATGCAAGTGTACATGTATGCACAGCACTATGAGCAAAGGCAGTGGTGCTCGTACCACTATTGCAACGACTGTCGCGGACATGGAAATCCAGTCGATTGACCGGGGCCGGTGCCCTCAGCGGGTACAGAACGTAAGTCGTTGCATGCAGTGCACAATCATGTTGATCCGATGCGACCAGCAGCAGCGCATAATAATACGTGTACGGCTGCATGACCAGCGCCCTCGGGCCGCTAGACGTGCGACCGGATTTCCATGTCCACGACAGTAGCTGTTACAGCAGTGGAAGTACACCACCCAGTTTATCACAAGTCATCAGCCTTCTCACCTCTGTCTTCAGAGCAGCACGCTCGGCCACCAAAGCTTCCCGTGCGGCGGTCAACTGGTGATTATTCTCCTTCAGCGGGCAAATCTCATCTTCAAGTTGTTTGCTCTGTGCACACGTACACACGTACACACGTACACACACACACACGACGTTGACACAATCAAAATGTAAGCATTCTGTGGCATGCCTGTTCACAAGCCAAGTCCAAAAGTCCAAAGGAGAGACGAGGAGCCCGTGGAAGCGGACATTTCAAAGATACGGGCAGTGCCCAGTCCCGGATCGCCCGGATAAGAGAGATATATACTGTCAAGAGTCCATGATTGGCGTCATGGACTCTTGATACTGTGTATAGTGTATACTGGATACGCTTTAGGTGTCGTGTGATATGTTGTAGCCTATGGGCAAGTCAGATTTGCCTATTTCACCTGGCCCCAGAGGCACCCTAAAGAGTTAACAAGGTTGGACAATCATACCTTGGCTTCCATCTGCACAACACGCTGCTGCAGCCTATCCCGGTCTTCCCGCAGTAGCTTGTTGCTATCCTGAAGAATGTGCAGTGTTTGCACCTGCACAATGAAATATAGGAAAACAAACATGCCTCTGTTGAAAACTTAAACAAAAAAAGCCACCACATCATTACAGCACCATGGTAGATGAGGAGTTCAAGTTCTAAATGGACACAGACGGAAAGCACAGTGCAGCAAAGGGAGAAAAACAGACAATTCTAGTTCTTGACTCACACATACACGCACACACCATGTACCATGTATACGCCCGTTGCAAGAGAAACACGAAAACACGAAAACATGCACACACACACACACGCACACATGCATACACGTGCGCACTCTTGCAAGTTGGCATAGAAATCAAATTCAGTTGGTGTCACTACAGGAGACATGACTAAGGGACAGCACATACCTTCTCCATGATTTCAGCATGATGACTGGCTGTCTCTGCATGCAGCTGTAGAACACAAACAGCAGCAGCAACAATGACGACGATGACGATGGCAGCGACAGCAAAACAACAATCAGTCTAAGACTTGCACAACAACAGACGGCAGTTAGTGAACCAAGGGGTCGGGCAGGGGAACTCCCCTTAGCCACATGCCCCACATCTCGGCACTTCAGGAAGCCCCCCAGCGAGCATGGTGTCATGACAAGGGTGCACGTTAACACCAGGCGCAGACCTCACAATGCCCTAGAATTAGGTGATGTTAAAAAAATTGCATTGACTTCATTAAATGTCACACCGGTATTTCCTGTGATTATGACCTACAGGCAGAAGTTGCGGAAAGGGCAGTGAATACACCATGTTTGAGACAAGATACGAAGAGGAACCAAAGTTGACAACAGCAAAGAGGATAGCGACAATCGCGGGGATGCTAACCTGAGCGCGGTGCCGTTCGTTGTCCAGTGACTCGCGCAGTGACTGCACTTGCCTATCCAGATGCTCACAGCGTTGAGAAAATCTACACGAGGAGCAAACGACACCCAGTAAGTTACAGGACGCATGCTACATGTACCACATGCTACAAAACAATTGCCTGTTGAATATGATGCCATGCGAAGTATGCAACTACAAAAGTTGCACACTTCTTTTACATGCAGTTGTTTAAACTAGTATTCATCACAGGCACTAGCTGATGCACGGCAGTTCAAATGATAAGTGCTACACGCACCACCTAAGCTCACAGCATACTTGATGGATGGCAGATCTCAAGCTCACAGCATACTTGATGGATGGCAGATCCTAATCACATAGCATACTTGATGGACATCAATTGGAACGATGAGCACTAAACGCACCTCCAAGCTCATCGATCGCAACTGGATTATCATGATTTGCTTCACTTACCTGGAACTCTCAGCCCGTGACAGTTCTGCCTTGGTCTCTGCAATGTCCTTCTCGTGACGGATGAACCTAACACAATGTAAAAATGACAAATTGGTGCAGTGTAAGGACAGCGCATGGAAAGCATAACAATGGCTCACTCTCGGAAAATGCTCGTGGGTGCTGTGCAATTCCTAGTGCCAATGAGTGTCAACAGATCCGGAGTCAAACACCACGTCACATAGACACTACAACTCAAGCAAATGAATAGAGTGGTTACACATCTATTTCATGTTACTAAATTTGTATAAAAGTGATCATGGCATGTGGACAGTGGAGCCAACATGGTCAACACCACATGACCCAAAGATGCAAGGGTGGAGTGGAGTTGCAACCAACATGGCTACCCGGTATGATCATGCAACAGTTCTGTAGTGTAGGCGGCGTTCAGTGAAACAGCAAACTACAGCACTGTACATGATGGCAATCACGCAGGTTGCAACATCAACAAGTCAACGCACACAGATAGCCCTTGAACAAGTGAGTTGTATTGCTTGACTATGTGGTTACAGTGACATGATGAGCACGTAACAGCAGCAAGAGATACATACCGGATGATTTCGCGGAGTTCTTTCTCATTCTGGTCGGTGGAAGACCGTTGTGCCGTGACGGAGTGCTGCTCCTTCGAGGGCGAAGTACTTGTAGATGTCGATGCCAATCGAGACTGCAGAGTGATGACCTGTGCACCGAGCTTCTCCAGCTGCTGATGCAGCAGCTGACTCTGCTCCTCCCAGTCCTTGCACTTGGCATCGGCCTGTGTCAGGGACTCGTCCTTGGCAGCCAGCCTCTCCGTGTACTTACTGACGGTGCTGGAGAGCTCCTGCTCTGCACGTTCAGCACGATCGGTCAACTGTGTCGCTTCCACTGTCAGTGCTTGGAGCTGCAGGGTAGGTAACAGAGATACATGCAGGTTGATCAGGTTACTATCACGATGGCGGCAAGCTGGGAACGGTTATCATATTGGCCTAGATTTCATAAATACTACCACAGGCGAACAGCAGCCGTGAAGAGCACAGATCAAACAAGCCCATGTTCAAGCCCGGGATTCCTTGGACCACAGCATGGCAAGCCCAGAATGTTTCCGCCCGTTAAGAACGGCTGCTCAACAAAATAGTAGTACCTGTTCTCTGATGGTGGTTAGCTCCTTCATACTGGCTGCATGCAGCACTAGCTCACGCTCATAGCGATCTTGAGCCTATACAGCAGACAAACACAGCGAAAAACATTGCATCAGCCATACATGTCACTGACAGGGTCACGACTGACACGTGAAACTAAACCGGCATACATGTGCTGTTCTACAAACGCATGCCATAACAGCATGTAACTTGCTGACATTCTCCGAACACATCCGTAAGAGGAGAACAAGGTGGGCACAATGTGATGCAGCTGTCTAACTTGACTCTCCACAAGCCACTCTTCAGGTGTGCGACTCAGATGTGTATCCAAGCATCCATTGCCTGCTTCAAATTGAGCGCACCTTACGTGTGACGTCGGCTGAGAATGAGCGCTGTAACATCAGTCTGAAGCAGCTGAACGACTGCCTACCCGTGAGCACCCATGAGAACTGAGCGAATGTCATCATCAGCTCTCATGCAAGTTCATCGCTCAATTCCAGTCGACTTCGATCAAGCTGCTGTCACGGCATTAGTGCAGCGTCATCACCAAACGCTTCTCCAAGCAGATTCGTTGTTTGGCAATGTTGGGCGAGTTTTTATTTGTTTCTCCATGATCATTACTAACCGTTCACCGAAATTGAGAGAGCTAGTGTTTCTTACCTCTTGCGAGTGGCAAGGTAGGTTGATTACCAGTGTGCAACTACCAACTAAGAACTACTGTATAAACTACAAAGGCCCATCGCACCCGGGGGTCTGTTCGCAAACTGTTCATACTGGAACCATACGTACCTGGGTGGCCCGTGTCTGCTGCAGCTGAAGGTCATTCCTGGCTTGCGTTGACAAGCTCTCAGCAGCCGACTGTGCCTGTAGTGCCGTGCTGAGCTCTGTAGCTGTCTTGCTGACTTGCTCACGCAGCTCCAAGATCTGAATACAACACGAGGAAACAAAGGCAGGGCACACGATGTTCATAATTTGAAAGGCTAAATCTAGTGAGACTTCGATGATGTGTGGTGATGGCTGCGGCAATATTCTTCACTGCTATTCTAAATTGTAAGAGCTCTGAAACAACTCAGTTGGTGAGCCAAGGAAATATTAAACTGAAAAAAAAATGGAAACAGTGGGGCACAAGGTATGTGTCAGAGTCCACCAACTAGACCAAAATATGAACAGCCACAATCTGAAACAACAAGAAGAACAAGTGGCGAGGTGCTATAAGGATATCAATGAACACCCGGAAACAAGTGGCGAGGCACTGGTAGTACAAGACAGCACTTCCAAAACCTGCAAGCAGTCAGCACAGACAGTACACATGAGGGTGCACACAAAGAGCCTACCTCTTGTTGGAAGCGCTTCTCGACTTCCACATTGTCACCGACGAGCTTTTCGTGGTCCTGCTGCAAGGAGAGCAAACGCTGCTCAACGTCTTCCCGCTGGGCAACTGCCGCTGCGACTTGCTCTTCATGGCGCTGACGGAACTCATCATTCGCCTACACATCAAACACAGAACAAATCCATACAGCAGCATTAAGCTAGAACTACGCAAGCGAGGCACACAAATGAAGCAAATCCCTGCCTGATTGTGCGGCATGTACACATGTACCCACAATACATGAGCATAATTTTAGCTGTCCAGGAAACCAGCTACACCAGCCAGATTAATCCCTCAATTTGCCAAAGGCATGTGATGACATTTACCACTTAGAAGGTCCAAACAGCTAGCTATCCGGAAATTCAGAATGACAGTGTAGTGGGCAATGACCCCATATGGCGCTGTGATGAGTGCTACACTACTCAAGGCCCAAAGACAAGATTTTCGAACGGAAAAGCAGAGCTCGGTTTTGCTTGCCCTCAGAGTCTAGACACAATGTGACTGGCGTAACATGTTGGCAATTCCACTGTACCTGGTTGAGCTCAGTCAACGCCTGCTCGTTAGCTTCGCTGATTGCCTTGAACTGGTCCACATGCTGCTGTGCACGTTTCAGCTGCTCCTCCAAACCTAGCAAGAGAGCAGAGTACAATCACCACATACACTAGATATGAGATGATCAGTCATACACTAGAGGTGATCAGAAAAGCACTTCGACGTGCAAGTTACTGCACGCAGCAAAAAAAATGGAGCTTACACAACCATAAGATGAAATGTTGAACAAAATGAGAAAAGAACTACAACTGCAATACAAGAGTGAATGGATGTCTCAAGAACCGTAGAAGGCAGCTAGGCACCGAGCGAAAGTAACAAAGCCAGCCGGGTAGAAGTTGTCGGTAACATACCAGTGCAGCGTGCCTCCGCCTGAGTCAACTTGAGACTTAGACGTGCAACCTCCGCACCCTCGCCCTCAGCTGCGGCTCTCTCTGTCCTCTCCTTGATGGCGTCCAGCTCGGCTTGCAGAGCCTTGAGTTGGGTCTCATACTCCTCAGCCTACATGCACCAAACAATAAGCAAGCACACATGAGATGAAGAAACTTACAATACAACAATGAGCAACAATTGTGTTGGCTACATCCAATATGTGTGACAGTTGCAGTTGGCAATCAAGGTGATATCTTGCATACCACTCGCAATATCCACAGCATGCATGTGTGCTCGCATGTGTGTGTGTGTGGGGAGGGGGGAGGTTCAAATAAGCAGAGCGGGGGGGGGGGTGCGAAGACTGCCAGAGCACGGTTGCCTTGCCTCTTGTTAGTCTCTCCTACCAATGGGGCTCCAGAACGGAGAGCACAGTGCAATGGGCAGAAGTGGAGAGCTCACCTTCTGTACAGCAGCCGCGGCACTAGTTTTCACGGCCGACAGTTCATCACGGGAACCATTGGCCTGCTTGCGTTCCTCGCCGAGTTCCTCTCGCACCTCCTTCAGCTGGACCTGAACAGGAGCAAGGGCAAGTGGAAAACAACAACAGACCATGATGCTCATGGAATAGAAAGGAGGACTTGCCATAAAGCATTGCAAAAAGCAGATGACGTAAGACTAGAAACACAGAACGGGGGTACACAGAGCAATGGGACACATAGTTCAACATACCTCGTATGCAGCCACGACCGAGCGATGGTACTCAGTGTCAGCGTCTAGGCGGCGCCGCACAGCGGTCAGCTCTTCCTGCGCTGTCTCCAGCTGTCCAGCCAGTCGGGTGCGCATCTCAAAGTCATTTCGCTCAACATTGTTCTGAAACATAATACGGAGACCAACACAACACACACACACATCACTTCCAGAACACATTCAGAAAAGCCCAATCGCAGTAATGGTGGCTTAGAATGCACGCTACGCCTTGCTAACGAAACACAGCAGATACACCATGCATACATCGTATACCACTGATGATCCATGTGCATGTGCACTCCTGCTTACAGCTCCTGCTCATGCTCACTGTGGGCCGAGCTGTCTCGTTCACCCGAGGCACAGCTCCTAAAATTGACCCACAACAATTTGTCTGATGCTCGCAAATCGTGAACTAAAACCGTCGCAAACGTTTCGCTCTTTGCAGCAAGCCAAGAACGTAAGTACAATTTTCAACAATAAAATACTACGGAGAAAAGGCATGTACAATCATGTACCCCACACTCTGTAGGATGCCCATGACTCTATAGAACGTTACAGCCATATACAATGTCAAGTAACCTCGTGAACATGAATTCAAATACGAACAGACACAAACTTGACTGTGACCTTGCCTTCAGGTGGGTGTGGGGTATACTGTATAACATACACAGTCACTGGTGCAGCGAATACAATAGTTAATTATGGTATTCGTGTCGTTACAGCCTGCACCATACAAGCATTCGTGAACAAGAATAGCGCTTACCTGGATCGTTTGCAAGCTTGCCAGCAGCGTTCGCTGATTGCTCTGCTCACGGTGAAGGCTATCAATTTCACGCTGCATCTGATCATTTGTGGACTTGACCAGGTGGTTCTCCTGCGTAAGGTTTTCGGTTTGACGCTCAGATCGCCGCAACTTGTCCTTGGAGTCAACCAGGTCCTGCGATGCTGTGTCCAAGCTCATTTGCAGCTTGGCCATGGCCACATTCATCTGGTTGTTCTTCTGACGGGTTGCCTCAAGCTCCGTGCGATAGCTATCGACATTGGTATTGAGCAGATCCTGCCTCTCAACGGCGTACTCCAACTTGGAAACGAGCTTGGCATTGTCCATCTTTGCTTGCGACGCTTCCTCTCTGTATTGATCGACCTGGCTGGTCAGAACCTCTGCATTCTGACCCGTCTGCTCTTTGTATTCGCGGAACTCAGCGGCCAGCTCTTCCATGGCATCCTGCAGTGCGGTGGTGTCCACGTCTCTCTCCACGACCGCCGCGGCGATCGGTGGCGGTGCCTGCTGGAACGAGTCGTTCAGACTGGCCATGCTGACATCTGCAGAACTCAAGGACTGGACGGGTGAGTGCACATCGGCCAGGACACGGCTGGCGTCAAGTTGAGTGGAAACAGACGCAGCCGCCTGCAGAACACAGAACAGCAGAACAACGGTGATCGCGGTGATGGGTGGGAGATGTCTAGTACGATTGGGCCCCACCCAAAGGATGTGGAAATTCCCGAAACCAGTGTAAAACTATAGACTGCACCTGTGAACATTTGTACAGGACTCAAAGCACAAGTCCATCTAGCAGCACCAGCCGTGATGAAGGGGACAGAATGACAAGACATTGGGGCATGTAGGGGAAATACAGACATGTAGAAAGAGAAAAACAAACACTACATTGTATGCATGTAAATAAATCAAGCGGGCGCTCCACTTCCCTAATAGTACTCAATACCCACGAGGGATAGAGCCTTCCACAGCCAACGGTTGCCTGATGATCGTGACAATGTGAAACTCGGAGTCGCAACACAGTTCTCTCAGTCTCTCAGTCTCTCAGTCTCTCAGTCTCTCAGTCTCTCAGTCTCTCAGTCTCTCAGTCTCTCAGTCTCTCTCTCTCTCTCTCTCTCTCTCTCTCTCTCTCTCTCTCTCTCTCTCTCTCTCTCTCTCTCTCTCTCTCTCTCTCTCTTGTATGCATGTAAATAGACCACAACGTGCATTGGCATTTCCTTTTCACATAGACATGCTCACACCATGATCAGCTTACATCTGGTGAAGAACTCTGGGCCAAGACACGGTACAGATCACGCTGCTTCACCAACGCCTCCATCTGCACAGCCATGCGCGCAGCAGCACATAGGAGAAAAAGAAAAATTAGAATGAATCAGTGTATACCTTTTCTGGCTGTAAGCTGTGTGCATTCATCATAGATCTCTTGCTAGCCAGTATTGTGAGTGACTAGTAATCAGGTGGTGCCTATATGTACACGGTGCATAAGGTACTGCTGTTCGTTAACAAATCTACACGTGACACAAGCACACAGTGTGATCACATAGGATAGATAGCACAGTACAGAACAGCAGTAGGAACTAATCCGGCATGCATCCATATCAGTTGTAAGACACAACCGACAATCGACTTGAGCAGGGAAATAGGACAAATGAACACACGTGCACATGTTGTATGGCATGTCCGTTCAAGAAGTAATGCTATCTCTTGGTGGGTGCACAGCTGGAGGTCAGTGCCAACCACCAGCTGTCTGTTTGAAATACCAATAGCTACAGAGGTGCTCATGGAAATCAGGCCCATTGAATAATAGTTACGGTAGGTCAGCGCGTTGTCCCAGAGCATGGCCCCATGTTTGCAGAGCTACGACTGTGCCATGCCTGGTGCTGGCCAGGTCACAAAACCAGGGTTCATTTAGCACGGCTGGTAAGCCTTTCATCACGAGTCCCTCCACATACGGACAAGTACTTACAACTGTCTTTGAACGAGCTCGCTGCTGACGGAGGTCCTCCAACTGCAGCAATGCATCCTCGTGGCTTGCACGCAGCTCATCAAACCTATACCATACGTCAATACAAGAACAGAGTCAACTGGTCAAAGACGCTGAATATCAAGAGCCTAATCAGGTTTTGCACAATAAGCAAAAACTACAGGAGTCATATTCCAGTACATCAGACAAGCGCACGTGGCAACGACAGAAAGCAGGATGTGACATGTCCCGAAGTTACTATCAGAGAGGCCAGCATTACAGTCCATGGTTGATGTGTACTAAAGGCAGAAAACATGACGGTCTAAGAATCCAACCCAACACAACAACACTCTTACTCAGTGTCTCTCTGCTTGAGCTCGTCCTCCTCCTGCTTCTCACTGAGCTCACGGACAACGGCCAAGAGCTTCTCGTTCTGTATTTGCAGCTCCTCAATGTTCCTGTCCAATGCCAAGAAACAAAATTCAAGAAGCACGTACTTTGAAGTACATGTATTAGTATATTATTGTATAAACATTGCCACAATGTGCATAGCATCAATGCAGTAAATCAACACGCAGAACTGCCAAGAATCAGACAGCCTGAAAAACACAACTGGCTGCACCTTGACCTCACCTGAATGATACCAGCTGTGCAGAAATGACTTCATCTGAACTGGTGACATCATCATTAATCTGTGACAAGGTTGTATCAAAGGCACTGGTGGTGCTGAGACCTCCGCGAGCTTGCTCAACCTCACGCAGTAGAACTCGCACCTGAATGGCAGGACACAATTAAAAAAGGTACAAAAGAGGTGTGAAAGACGGTGAGCAGTGCATACAACTAGTGTGCTAGTCACAACAAATTGCAACCAGAACGCCGCCAGTGTCACCGTATGTAACGCACAATTGAGTATGAAAGTATCTCCACCATGGCATTCATTCCTACCTGCTGGCTCGTGTCCTTGCAGCGAACTTCCATTCGAGCGTTCTCACGCTTCAGCTGGCTAGAAAGACGCACTGAATCATCAGCCTCCTGGCGAAGACGCTCACACTCCTGAGGAAACAAATAAAAGACAACCAACAGTGAAAAACTGGTGGACCAGGTACAAAGGTGATTGGTGGATGGTCAAAATGACAGAGAGCTACGTCATCCCCTGTGGACAAACACTCTTTTGTGACCAAGTTCCTACTGTGCAATGGGTAGGGCAGAGAGCTACACCATCCCCGTGGACAAACACTATTTTGTGACCAAGTTCCTACTGTGCAATGGGGAAGGACAAAAAAAGACAAGGGTTATACATGTACAAACACTAGATTGAGCAAAGTGGAGGTGAAGATGGTAAGGGGAAGTGGAAGGTTATCAGCGACTTATTGGGTGGGGGTTCTAGCATTTCCTTGAAAGAGGAATTCTTACCAGTATGCCCGCTTCAACCTTGGCAGAGAGCTTCTGATTGGTAGTGATGGCGTCCTCATACTCTCGCTGCATCTGTTCTAGCATGGGTGCCTTCTCTCGCAACTCAGCTCCAATCTGATTAAGTTGGGTGGCCAGCTGCTGGTTTTCATCTTGCTGCACGCGAAGGTCATCAGATGCCTCCACATACATGCTGTAGATCTGTCAGAAGATAACACATGCGTACACAGGTAAGCAAGACACATCATCACATGATGCAATTGCCAAAGACATCTGGCCTCCTTCAAAATACAGTTGTGTGTCAGTTACAGTGTTGCCACATCATTAGACACCCTTAGCAAACAACGGTAACGCTATTTTTTACGGTACTCGTACCTTGATCACCCAAATAGCGTTGAAGCTGCAGCGTATAAACGTTATGGGGGCTGATTTATCGTTGTGACCAACGGTACGTATTTTGGCCAAATATTGCATAGTCCGTACGCATTTCACCTTGTATCGCGTATATATGGTATATGGTGACAAAAATGGTTGTACGGCGCGAAATCAAAGCTACTCTCGTGGCAACAGCGTACTAAAAATAGCGTGCATCTTGCTAAAGGTCGAACCCAAATCACGGTATTTTCCCCCTTACGATAATACCGTTACAACATAACGTTTTTTGCTAAGGGTGTCTATTATAGCCAAATATCAGTAGACTGAAAAAATAAAATGCATCATCCGGGGGCTTCGCCCCCCGAAAATCGGCAGGGTACTGACATGTCGGCAGGTGTGGCAACACAGCAGTTATCCGGCAAACTCAGATCCAGACGTTGGATAAAATTAATTTACCAACCACACAACAAGCCGACCTGTTTGGGAGCTATTACGCGTTGTATTTCCAGGAGATAGGCAACAATTGCCGTATGCAATATGCAATATTCTGGTCCAATGCCAGAGCTAGTATTGCAAGCACCGCTGTGCGTTAGTATGGCCAATGCCGACACTAACTGGGGCAACAATTGCCCGGCGAGAATTCAGACGTGTCAATACACGAGCATGCAGTAGGGATACACTTGTGGGCGAATGTAGGCGCACTTGGCTCAATGCCGGCCTGCCCACGATCCCTACTGTTGAATTCAGATGTGTCAATACACGAGCATGCAGTAGGGATGCACTTGTGGGCGAATGTAGGCGCACTTGGCTCAATGCCGGCCTGACCCACGATCCCTACTGTTGAATTCAGATGTGTCAATACACGAGCATGCAGTAGGGATGCACTTGTGGGCGAATGTAGGCGCGCTTGGCTCAATGCCGGCCTGACCCACGATCCCTACTGTTGAATTCAGATGTGTCAATACACGAGCATGGAGTAGGGATGCACTTGTGGGCGAATGTAGGCGCACTTGGCTCAATGCCGGCCTGACCCACGATCCCTACTGTTCTCCCTTACGGGATGGCTTAAAGGATGCACTTGTGAGCGAATATAGGCGCACTTGGCTCAATGCCGGCCTGACTCGCGATCCTTACTGTTCTCCCAAAAATACAACATGACCCAAACAGGATTTATCGGCATTACTATTTACAGCAATAGATGCGAGCGCCGTCCAATGCGGCTGCCCATTAGCATAGTGGGCAATGCGCTCTACGTACCAGATCTGGAACAACGCTGCTGGCACTGATCAGTCCCTGGTTGTAGCTTGCCCTGGCGCGGGGGCGACAAGCGTCCGGAGCGCTGCAGCGAAGCGTATGTCGTGCTGGAGCTGTCCGCCAGGCCCTGGCGGATGAAGTACATGGTTGCGTCGTCAACTGCTGAAGGGTGAACTGCGCTGGTTGTGTCGGCACTGCGTCGGCAGTTGGGCTGCGAGTCCAGAAGCGTCGACAACCTGACCCAAACAGGATTTATCTACATTACTATTACACTACAATTGATGTGAGTGCCGTCCAATGCGGCTGCCCATTAGCATAGTGGGCAATGCGCTCAACGTACCGGATATGGAACAATGCTGCTGGCACTGATCAGTCACTGGGTATGGCTTGCCCTAGTGCGGGGTGACAAGCGTTCGGAGCGCTGCAGCGAAGCGTATGTTGTGCTGGAGCTGCCCGCCAGGCCCTGGCGGATGAGGTCCATGGTTGCGTCATCAACTGCTGAAGGGTGGACTGCGCTGGTTGTGCCGGCACCGCTTTGGCAGTTGGGCTGCAAGTCCAGACGCGCTGACAACCGGACCCAGACAGGATTTATCTGCATTACTATTACACTGCAATTTATGTGAGTGCCGTCCAATGCGGCTGCCCATTAGCATAGTGGGCGATGTGCTCGAAGTACAGGATCTGGAACAATGCTGCCGGCACTGATCAGTCCCTGAGGTTGGCTTGCCCTGGCGCAGGGCGACAAGCGTTCGGAGTGCTGCGGCGAAGCGCATGCCATGCTGGAGCTGTCCGCCAGGCCCTGGCGGATGAGGTCCATGGTTGCGTCGTCAACTGCCGGAGGGTGGACTGCGCTGGTTGTGTCGGCACCACTTCGGCAGTTGGGATGCGAGTCCGGCAGCGCTGACAACCTGACCCAAACAGGATTTATCTGCATTACTATTACACTGCAATTGATGTGAGTGCCGTCCAATGCGGCTAGCCATTAGCACAGTGGGCAATGCACTCAAAGTACAGGATCTGGAACAATGCTGCCGGCACTGATCAGTCCCTGAGTGTGGCTTGCCCTGGCGCAGGGCGACAAGTGTTCGGAGCGCGGCAGCGAAGCGCAAGTTATGCTGGAACTGGCCGCCAGGCCCTGGCGGATGAGGTCCATGGTTGCGTCGTCAACTGCTGGAGGGTGGACTGTGCAGGGTGTGTCAGCACTGCGTCGGTAGATGGGCTGAGAGTCCGGAAGCGCTGTACTCGAAGACGAGTAAGAGACTTAGCAGGATCATTGCAGAGTCGCCGTTGGGCTGAGAGTCCACATCAGCCGGTCTGTTGAACGGAAGGGGGAGGATCTAAGGCCAAATGGTGGTGCCTTATCTACATGGTACGAACCTTCCCAAAAATGCCAAGCCGGGGCCAGACATGAGGGGAAACAGGCCAAAGCCGCCAGGCATACTTCGTGTCAGCTTTAGAGAGGAGAGCTCAGCATCAGGGACCTAAATTTCCGAGCCATCTTCAAGATTATGGGCTGGTGCGAAAACAGCTCCGGGGGCCCTGGAGGGGTGTGCTGCTGCGTAAGTCGCACAATACGTGCTCCATGCGTCGCGAACCTCCTCCCGACTAAAGTCTCCCAGGCCAGGGATGGGGCTGCAGTTGCCTCGGCTAGGTTCTGCTCCGCTGCCGGAGCGGCCAAGTCCTCGCGTACGGTAGTCTGGAGCCAACTTCAACTCGAGCAGGTGAGTCCGCGGAGTAGGTTTTGTTCCTGTCGGGTCTAAATAATTGCGGGATGCCAGTGCGTTTCGCAGCTCAGCAGAGCGCATTTTGGCTGGACATCGCTCACTGACAGAGACATGGTTGATCGGATATTGATCAGAAACTGGCCGCGATTGTCAAACAATTTGACCGTCAAGGCAGCAAAGCAAAGAGCGTTATGGCTGGACATCGCTCACTGACAGAGACATGGTTGATCGGATATTGATCAGAAACTGGCCGCGATTGTCAAACAATTTGACAGTCACTGCGCCAGCGCAGCAAAGCAAACGGAGCGTTTTGGCTGGACATCGCTCACTGACAGAGACATGGTTGATCGGATATTGATCAGAAACTGGCCGCGATTGTCAAACAATTTGACCGTCACTGCGTCAGCGCAGCAAAGCAAACGGAGCGTTTTGGCTGGACATCGCTCACTGACAGAGACATGGTTGATCGGATATTGATCAGAAACTGGCCGCGATAGTCAAACAATTTGACCGTCAGCACAGCAAAGCGAAGAGCAAGAAACAACAGCATGGCGAATTGGAGTAATGCGCATGCTCCGCACAGTCCCGTGCGGAAACGCGGGAATTCGGAGTGCGTGCATGTTATGCATGTACAAGTGTTGCTTATGGCAAGGATGTTGGTGTGTTGCTAACTCCACTTACCGTGCCATGCACGGAAACTTATATATTCTGTACGATAAGTTATAGCTGAGGCTACATAGCCATATTGTCAATGTGTCCACACATGAAAAGGACATATACCAGTCATGACTCTACAAGTATTTTTGATTCTCCACTGGCCTCAGACATGCACCGTGTTCATCCACAAACTTCTGTATAGCCGGACTTGAATGTAGCGTGGCATGAGAGCAACGGTCATGCCAACATTTAGTTTTTGAAGTAGGGCTGTGAATATGTTGTGTATGACCTGCCAGTGTATGCTGTTAGTGTTGGATAACAGGCATGCCGGGTAAGCGGCATGCAAAACTGTAGATCCTCTCACAGTGCTCACATGAATAGTCAGGTCATGCTCGTACATACCTGTGTGAGGGTCATACCGGACTTGAGACGAGTGCTAGTGGACGCAGCATGCGGCGAAATGCCTGTAACCTGTTGGCTGGTGAGAGGAGCGTGGCCTGTGCGGGTGTGTTCAGAATCAGTGTATACAAAGAGTGAACATTGCAGACAAGACTCATCAGAACCAGTAAGTCGTCATTCTCCCAAAAAGCAATGAATAGGCAACTTACAGGCATGTGCACACTATACAGCAGCAAAAGAAATACATGCTAAACAAATAGGTGCGGGGAGCTACCAGCAGCATAGCAGAAAGAAGGCGAGAAATGCGATATGAGATGTATCAACTGGACATGGAAGGCTTCCACAGGACGACACGCTGTTGCATTTTCAGCTAATAGTAACGGCAAAACAGCCGTGTGACGTTCACTCCCCAGTACCATGCGGGTCATGACACCCCGTCCTCATTCTAACATGCACACTCTTCTAGATCCTCTAATGCATGCATGTAGGCACTTGGACATGGCCACAAAAGCACACAGGCACACTTAATGAAGGAGATCTCTCTCTCCCTTGGTCTTACCACGTTGACGAGCCACGTTGAGCAGGTCATTGGCATTCTCAAGCTCACGCTCCAAGCTGCTGACAGTGCTCTCTGGGAAAACACGTGAATACAGGATACCAGCGTACCAGGTGAGATGGCGCATTGCATTGTATATTCGCTCGAATCACCAGTAACATACCAAGCTGCCATGAATATTGATGCTCAATATGAGGTGAGCACATACATGTACACACACATTGCAATGAATGCCTGGTCTGCGGCAGTGCGACTAGTCCACACAAACCTACAATGAATGCACGCCTGGTCTACGGCAGTCCGACTAGTCCACACAAACCTACAATGAATGCACGCCTGGTCTATGGCAGTCTGACGTAAGCACGGGATAGCCAGATTACACGTACATGTATGAGCCCCTGCAACTGCCACAGGTTACAGGGGATTTTAGAATACAACAACAGGACTGGTCTACTCACCAAGTGACTCGATCTTTTCATTTGCAACTTCTTCTCGGGCCTTGAGCTGCTCTTCAGCTTCTTCACGACCTAATAGCAGAGGATGGATTGAAGCAGCAATGGCATGGCAAGACCAGAGGATATGAAATAGTAGGTCGGTCGCACTAGCTAGAATATAGTTGCTGCAATCAACCCTCAAACTCATCAAGTGCTATGGCCCCCAGGCACAAACCGCACTGCAAACCGCAATAACAAAAGAATCGTGACAGATACGGCATCAACATTGTAATGTAAGCAGTACCTTGGGATGCCTCCGCCAATAGATCCTGAAGGCTTCGGGCGCCATCTACTAGACTGTCGAGCTTCTGCTTGGCTTCAGCTGCTGTTTCCTGATGAACGAAGAACCAGTAACACACCGTGACAACAAGACTGTATAACTCCACCAGTCCCAAAGAGTTACTGAAATGGAATTCCACCAAACATTTCGCCTGACAGATATAAGTGGATGATAGAGGTCGTCATGAAAAGAAATGAAGCAATGTATATGCACCAGCAGTCATTGTAGGGGAGTGAAAGTGCGTGTACGTGCGTGTGTGTGTGTGTGTGTGTGTGAGAGAGAGAGAGAGAGAGAGGAGAGAGAGAGAGAGGAGAGAGAGAGGAGAGAGAGAGAGAGGAGAGAGAGAGAGAGAGAGAGATGATTACACTGCCCATACCTGGTGAAGGGTGGCTAACTTAGTCTGGAAAGCAAGCTCATTCTTGAACTGGCTTTCCAAATCAATTTTCTCGTCTTGGAGGTCTTTGACCTGCTTCAGGCATGATTCAACTTTGTTTTCACGTTCCTGAAGCAGTTCTCGTAGCTTCTCACAAGTGGTCTGAGATGCAGCCAGTTCATCATTGGCTGTGTTCAAGTTGGTCCGCAGTTCCAGGCCAAGGGTAGACTTCTCCTTACGAGAAGCAAGAAGTTCGTCGGATTTTGTCTTAACTTCAGCATTCAGCCACTCAATTTGGGAAGCCAGCATCTCCTTCTCCTGCTCAAGACGCTTTTCACGGAGCTGGAAGAAAAGCAAAAGGAGAAATGACAATTAGTGATGAACCAATAAAAGAGCAAACTCTCCTAAACAGACACTTTTGTGCCTACATAGCAGTCATTCGGATTCGAACTTGGATGTCCTGTTACAAAACATTCGCTCGAATGAAAGTGCCTGGAGGTTCTCAGTGTACATGATCTCTATAAAAGGAGTAAGGTAAACAATGCAAGGATCAGAACACTTACCTGTCCAGTCATACCAGAAGTGGCAGTCTCTTCCACCTTGGTCTGACAACAACAACACAACAACAGCAACAACGTGAGAATAAAGATTTCAAACAAACAAACAAACGAACAAACAAACAAACAACAACAACAACAACAACAACAACAACAACAACGATTTCACTTGCCGGCACTCTACCAAGCCAAATGTCAACAACACCTTTCTGAGGGCATGTTCCGCACACTACGACACCCAAGCTCCATGGAAAGCATTGGATAGAGAGAAAAAAAAGAATGCAAAACTATCATACCTCTGCCTCAACTTTAGCAGCAAGGGCGGCAGTTAGCTTCTCAGACATGTCTTTCCATTCGGCTGTGGGCAGAACAGTAAATAGATTGAGAGAGAGAGAGAGAGAGAGAGAGAGAGAGAGAGAGAGAGAGAGAGAGAGAGAGAGAGAGAGAGAGAGCGAGAGAGAGAGAGAGCGAGAGCGAGAGAGAGCGAGAGAGCGAGAGAGAGAGCGAGAGAGCGAGAGAGAGAGCGAGAGAGCGAGAGAGAGAGCGAGAGAGAGAGAGAGACACACACACACACACACACACATAAATACAGGTACGAGAAAAATGGAACAGTAAACATTTCACAAAGACAGACACAGGATGCTGCGAAATAAGCAAAGTATGACACCTCCACTCCAGCAGCTAATTGTACCTGCTCGAAATGTGCAGTAATGCCTTACAACAGCCACCGCAATGCCAAGTGACTGTAGGAGATACCATGTCGACTAGCATAACCATCACGAGACCACATCCAATGCACTGCGACGTACCATTGACACGTTCGATCTCTCCGCTGCGAAGCTCTGCAATCTGTGTCAGCTGCCGTTTGTCAAGCTCGGCTTGTTCATTGTCATGTTGTAGGGAAGCCTGAAGGACAGTGTGAAAGACAGTGGAGATACATAAACTATATATCAGGGGTACAAGTAGGCAAGCATAGGAACAATGAACCAAACTGCAAAAATCTTCATAAAGCACAAGGTACCAATGCCACACTCCCTACAAGCTAAGATCATACAATGGCACATACCAACTGCTGCGTTTGTTTCTGAAGTTCATCCTGGGATGACTGAAGCTGATCTTTGAATTGCTCATTCTCTGCAACTGGAGGAAGATTTGGAAGCGAAGGAAAAAAGAACACGGCACGTCACAAAGCTTTCAAATGCTGCACATGTACACTAAAAAAAACTTTTTTTACGAATTGGGTGCGTGGTTTCAAGTAAAAATAAAATAAAATAAAAAACTCAGTCTGAACCCTACCGGTGAACTTGTCAAGGGCAAGTGTTTCACAAGACACAATCTTGATCACTATGTGCAGTATGTGCATGCTCACATCACTGGCACTCGGCAAGTTTCATCGCCCAAATACTACTAGAGGGATTAAAATGTATACCACACAGGTCAGCTAGGCATGTCTGTGTGTGGTGAACCCATGCACAGGTCAGCTAGGCATGTCTGTGTGTGGTGAACCCATGCATGCGTAAGCACAACATACACAGCATGAGCACTAGTGATGGTTCAGCTAACGCACTCAGTTGTTGCCAAATCTGGCAGGCGACGTCACCAGCAGTTGCAAGTAAAATATACCAGGTATGAAGTGAATACAACAACTGGGTAGGCAATACTAGAGTATACAACAACTGTCACAAAGCGTATCATGAGCATACCCGAAAGACTCAGCTGTCCAGATAGCTGCTCTTTGGCTGAAGATTCTTCACTCAGCTGTTGCAATTGATTGACTAGTTGCTGCTCCAAGTCACTCAGCTTCTCAGCTAAAATCATGTTTACAGAGGGGGACAGATTAGCCAAAGGAACAATAGAAATAAAGGTTATTCACAACGTTGACATAGCAAACCGTGGGTGCCTTCGAAATATCATTGGGTTCTTCGACAGGCAAAAGCACAATGAATACTTCGAAATGGCTGTGCTGGCAAATTATAGTGATGTCTACCCACCACTTGGCCTTCGAACTCGCTGATATCTGACATTTACAAGGGCTTGGTGTAGTCAAAATATATGTTTCTCTGTCTCTCTCTGTGTCTGCCTCTGTCTCTGTCTCTCTGTCTCGCTGTCTCTCTCTCTCTCCTTCATTTTCAGACAAAAGCTGATGTAAGCTGCAGAATATCACTAAGTAAAATTTAACATTGTCATTAATGTTGTAATCTGGACCTCACTATCACACTAAACAACTTTACAGTGAATTGAATGAAATTAGCATTGTGTAAACAACTCCCAAGCTCAATGCACAAATCATGGCAAGGAGCCAAGGAAATGTGTCCATGAAAACAACAGTGAAGTGAAACACAATTGCAACACACAGTGGCTTGCAAACAGAAGCGACCAAAATAGAAGGCTTGCCACACCACGGAACCGAAATGGACACGAGTGTATTGTGTACATTTCAAAAATACCCCTCTTGTCAAGATAATGGACATGCAATGGACATTCAAAGGGAAATGCAAACTACAAGCTGGACCAGATCCAAGGTGAAGCAAAATACAACACGTGTTTCATAGTACCTATTTAGTAGTATTACCTGCACCAAGCAACCTTTCGAGCAGAGCAATACTAATACTCGCGAAACAGTTAAAATCAAAAGCAGTGTACATGTATAATAATTATGTATTGACGTACAACAAAAATAAAGAGAAATTGACAAACAAAACTGCCGACATTTACTACATTTCAGGATGTGATGAAAAGCAGACATACCCGAATCTAATTGCTGTTGTGCAAGGTCAGCCTTCAGCGAAGACAGGTCTTCATTCCATGAAGCTCTGATGAGATTATGGTCACCCCAAATACTGGCGAACCGCTCCAAAAGAATCATACAATCCTCGTTTACTGTAAGGTTTTCTAAGTCTGCAGGCGTGAGGCTCAGGGCCTCAGCCAAAGCGTCCGGAATCATAGTGGCGGACTCCCCCTCCATCGAAAGATTTAGAGAAAGAGCCACCAACAACAGTTCATGTCACAACAAATCAGTATTGAATGTTCTTCGCCCTCAAAATGAAATGAAACGTCTTTTTCATTTCTGCATGGGAATATTATTTCAATGCAGCCGCCAACAAAATAAACACAGCGCGAAATCAATGGAAACGCTGATGGGTTTATCAACTCCATGCGTTTTGGCAGCGTATTGATCACGAAATTTGAGGATTTGAAGTTTGCTGCCATGGAGATAAGTATCGTAGCGTCGTGCGTAGCGTCGCGACGAAGGCCAGATGCACGATCGATCGGGAATGATATTCAAAACAGGAAAAAATCTAATCCTGACCGTGCCCCCTTGCCTTGCAAGCTTGCTGTCAATGTTGAGTTATTTTTCTGAGTTACATTTCAGAGGTGCTGACAGTGGAAGGCAAGAATTATTATCACTGTTGTCGATCGTCAAAGAGTATAGAGAAGAGAATGGTGGACATCAAGCGCTAGAATGGAAGACAAGGTGAGGCGATTTGGTAGTGTGACCAGGTGCCCGGCCACGTGGTGCAAATTCGAATTTGTGCTCAAAACGAGGTCAAACTCAGTTCAAAGTACAACCTGGCGAAAAGAATATTTCTCACCACAATTGTGTTTCTGTAGTATACATGTATGCACAAGCAGCAGCTCAGGACTCTCCGTTTGTTGTACTATTCGTAACAGGGAAGAGCCTCGGCTCTGTCGAGACGATATCCAACGAGTGGCAAGCCAGCCACGAGCTATGGCAGAGCCCGTGACGGTTCATCGAGGCTGCCTCCTCTGCAGTCCGCTCGAACGAAGGTAAGCTTTTTTTGCTTTTTCTTTCCTAGTACAATCATTCATGTTATAGTACACACACAACAGAGGCGGACACACACACACACACACACACACACACACACACACACACACACACACACACACACACACACACACACACACACACAACAGAAGCGAAAGGCTGTGTAGCTGTAACTTCACGCATTTCAGGCGATCATCAGACAGCAGCATTTTGTTATTGTACATGTAAGTTTGCACTGTCAGAGCTTGTACAATGTGTGTTATTGCTGTGCTGCTAGCAAGTGTGAACATCATGCGCTGACTAAGTGGTATTCGAATGAGAAGGGAAAGAAGAGAACTGATCGCCCTGTTCTACATTGTATGTAAACAGAAAGAAGGTGTAACGCCCTACACCCACGCACACCCATGCACACGCACACCCATGCACACGCACGCACACACATGCACACACATGCACACACACACACACACGCACACTCCTACTCCTGCCCATCGCTGAAGCAATGATAGCGAACAAACTATGTTAGACATAGCAACTTGTGCTGGGATTACACCATTCAACAGCTTGCAAGGCTGATGAATTGACCACCACTAATTTTAGCCTGGTCTACACTGGTTGAAGTGGCTTTTTCTGGCCAGTGAATCCCTATTTACACACACGTGCACCCACACAGCGGCTGATCCAGCAATCTCTATAGGGGGTTCCAGTATTGTCAAAACTGAATATTAGTAGGTGATGCATGTAGATGGACACGCACATGGTTGCCAGTAGTACATTTACGAAATTTAAGGGGTTCTGCGGAACCCCTGGAACCCCTCCTGGGTCCGCCCCTGCCACACACGCACACACTTACACACACTTATACACACACACACACATACACACACACACTTCAAGTACTAATATGCTTGCATCACAATTTTTTTTTTTATAGTACACACACAACAGAGGCGGACACACACACACACACACACACACACACACACACACACACACACACACACACACACACACACACACACACAACAGAAGCGAAAGGCTGTGTAGCTGTAACTTCACGCATTTCAGGCGATCATCAGACAGCAGCATTTTGTTATTGTACATGTAAGTTTGCACTGTCAGAGCTTGTACAATGTGTGTTATTGCTGTGCTGCTAGCAAGTGTGAACATCATGCGCTGACTAAGTGGTATTCGAATGAGAAGGGAAAGAAGAGAACTGATCGCCCTGTTCTACATTGTATGTAAACAGAAAGAAGGTGTAACGCCCTACACCCACGCACACCCATGCACACGCACACCCATGCACACGCACGCACACACATGCACACACATGCACACACACACACACACGCACACTCCTACTCCTGCCCATCGCTGAAGCAATGATAGCGAACAAACTATGTTAGACATAGCAACTTGTGCTGGGATTACACCATTCAACAGCTTGCAAGGCTGATGAATTGACCACCACTAATTTTAGCCTGGTCTACACTGGTTGAAGTGGCTTTTTCTGGCCAGTGAATCCCTATTTACACACACGTGCACCCACACAGCGGCTGATCCAGCAATCTCTATAGGGGGTTCCAGTATTGTCAAAACTGAATATTAGTAGGTGATGCATGTAGATGGACACGCACATGGTTGCCAGTAGTACATTTACGAAATTTAAGGGGTTCTGCGGAACCCCTGGAACCCCTCCTGGGTCCGCCCCTGCCACACACGCACACACTTACACACACTTATACACACACACACACACATACACACACACACTTCAAGTACTAATATGCTTGCATCACAATTTCCTTGCACTTACGCTAGCTCATCATCCATCCATTTCCATTTCTCACTTCCTTCACATGCTTTCTGGTGTGACACTCACCAGTGTCTGGTAAGTGTAGGCTGCAGTGTGCGTTGTTTGTACTAGCTGCTTTTACTACATTGGTTGAGTTGTAGAGGCCCTCCTTTTCTGACTACAAAATAAACTGGAAATGGAGAGGACTCCACATCGCTTCATGTCGGAGACAAAAGGAGCAACTTGCCTATATGCTTGTCCACGGCATCCACAACATCAAGGCAATCTGTTCGTTACGTTCCAGCCAACCTTGGCCATCAGAAAAATTGATGTGGTCAGGACCAGTTCCCAGGATTATAAGCAGGACAAACTAAAACATGATGAATGCATGGTGAAGTTCACGCAAGTCAGGGGCGTAGGAGGGGTTTTGGAAGTGGTACGACCAAATGTTGGCGCGGCCGAAGGCCGTTTTGGAGGGGGTCCGGGGGACCTCCCCCGGGAAAATTTGTAAAAAAGACACAAAATCCTGCGTTCTGGGAACTTCTGGCACAGTTTATAAGTCATAGAATTATTTCACGGGCAGAAGAGACGTGCATGGACATGCACAGATGCATGGCAGATTTTCGAGTACGAGTCTAGAAAAAGGTCAAAGTCTGATGCGCATAAGCATCGATGGATCCTGATTTATTTATTACGGTTTTGCACGTTCCGGACGGACCACACTTTTCGAAAAGTGGTACGGCCATGGTCGTACCAGTCGTAGCGGGTGCTACGCCCCTGCAAGTACAGTCACACATAGCACTACACAGTGTGTGTACTGGCACAGAGGCCTGAGAGGGTGACATATGACACTAACTGTACAGTGAAATAATCGCTACCTAGGTGCTTGACAAACTACATACATCTATCATGCTAATAAAGACACAAACAATATGGAACAACAGCGCTACATTACACTAGCACTAGTTATGCAACTATCACATTATAGACATGCATAGCCATCATCTAAGTTACTAGTCGGGATCTTTGGCACGTCTCTCCCTTAGGCCTACATCAAGTGCCAACCAAAATTGAGGTCGATGACAAGCCTGTTGTGCTTGATTTCAACAGCCTCTCAATATTTTCGGCGTGAACAGCGTGAATCTCTTGCAGAAATTGTTATTCGACCGGGCAATGATTGTTGCAAAAGATTCACGCTGTTCGTCTCAAAAATACTGGCCAGGAGACTGTTGAAATCAAGCGCAGAAAGTTTGTCATCAACCTCAGTTGGCACCTCAGTTGTCACTAATGGTTGTGTGATGTAGTGCGGTTGCACATTGTTTATTGTATTTGCATGGTGTGGAGTTTTGTCAAGCACCTTGGTAATGATTATTTCGCAGTAGAGTTAGTGTCATATGTCACCCTCTGTGCCAGTACAGTAGTGGAGTGTAATGTGTCTACTTGCATGAACTTTACCATATATTTGTCATGTTTCACTTTGTCCTGCTTATAATTCTGGGAATTGCTCCTGTCAACATCCATTTTCCTGATGATGGCCAAGGTTGGCTGGAATTTAACGAACAAGCGGAAGCAACGTTGAGCGTGTAACAAAGTGGCTTGCTCCTTTGTCTTATAATAAAATGTGTTGTTTTAGTTACCCCTCACTTTGTGATGAATTTCCACTGGTGATGGCCACGTTATGGTAGCTGCATTTGGAGATATTTCTTTTGCATTTACATGAGCGTACAGTTGATTTTATTCGCTGCTCATCCACAGCGGTTGTCTCCTTGTCGGTTGTTGACCATCCTCTAAGTCTTTCATTTTGATAGTCTTACCATCCGGTAATCAATTCTTGAATGCGGCCATGCACTTACCCGCGACCACACGCCATGTATTGATCTCGCATACGTGTGTTACCCGCACTCTTTCTTTTACGGCCCTTTTCACGGCACCGAGAAGGTGTGTCCGTGTCTCCGGAATTTAATGCAGCTGCAGGAGGATTGTGGCATGTTGTGACTGACTACTTCATGCTAGCGATGTTCCTATTGTTTTCGAAATTCTAGCTCGTCTGTTCTTGTTCTGGCTCTTCACATTCACAGAGAATTTTCCAAGAGCTGAGATTCAAAACCCGATAAACGCCAAATTTGAGAAAATGAGATTTTCAACTCAGTGCAGTCAAAGGTCGAGAGGCACCACCAGGCAAACTTTCACCTTCAAAATCTGACTAGAACCATTTCAAAACTGGAATCCAAATTTGGATTTAGATACCAACCGCACACAAAATGAATCCTTTTTCTGGTCAATATCCGAAAAGTGATGAAATGGATTTAGCGAGTTTTGCATCTCAGCTCTTCCTTTGTACACTGTGCATACAGTTTTCCATTAAGAGCGCTGGTGTGCCTACACTTTGGTGTCCGTCCTGGCCCATTCTTAAAGTCCCAGACTCACCGTTCCTTGGTGCACAGTGTTGCCGCAGCTAACGTCACAGATGTGTGTTGTCCTGGATTTCTTCTTTTGTTGCATGAGCAGGAGGGTCAGAATGGCTTGCCATTTACAATGGACTCACTGCCCGACTATTCGCAGCGGCTCACTATCTCTCGGCCACCCAGTAAGTATGCTGCAGTCCTATCTGTGTGCAACGGTGGCCATATCATGGTCCACCACAAGCCAGTCTCCGTGGACAATTTGAATGTGTCTTATAACTTATACTGATCCAAGCATGGTTAGCGCCTGGGGTGTCCATCAGAGAGGTGGTCTCTTTCGGCAATGGCTGCTTGTGATGGATTTTACCATGCCTGTTTGTAAATCATTGAGATTGCCTATTTTGGGCTACGTGATGGCACAATGTTTTCTATTTCTATGATGATGAAAGAGCAAGTCCCCTGTCTGCAACGATCGGCCTCCACGTGAAGCCCAGGGGATGCTTAATTTCCAGATATGATCCTGTACTGTAAAGGAGACATTCGGCTATCTTAGATCCTGATCCCTTTCTGACCACATGCATTGTACATACTCGTTCCTGATAAGTTCTTCCCCGGGAGATCCATGTGTGATTGGGCACCTGAGCTTGGCTGAGGAGATACAAGCGATTAGTAGGGCCGATTAGGGAGAGTAGATGGGCACAGTATGTACTATGTCAAGCTCGTTAAAACAACGGGCTCTAACGTTGCCTGTCCTTACGGTCAGAACTGACTATAGGTCACGCACCTTTAAATACCTGTTTTTCTTTTAAAGGGGAAGTATACCCTAAAATCAAATTTTCACCAGTTGTAGTCTTCTGGGTGCTGAGTCGAATGGTCTTGGTCCGAGGAAGCTGCGACGCTCCCTTCCTACTTGAATCCCAATCGAACTCGTGCACTTCCACCGAAACTGGGTGACTGCGCCCTACTAGATGGGGATTTGTATGCAAAATGTCACTAAAAGCGCCATTTCGTTCTTATAAAAGCACGGATGACCGCGATTGGCCCATATGTTGTAGTCTTTTGGACGATGAGTCGACTGGTTTTGGTCCGAAAAGGCTGCGATGCAGCGTTCCTCCTTTATTCCCAATCGAACATGGTTGAACAAGCGGTCACGTGCTCCTGGGTGCCCAAATCACCTGGTCACCGCGCCAGCAGGCGACAACTTTCACACCAAGGTTCAACTCGAGTTCAACTCGAGTGACAGGACTGCACCCAAAAAAGGTCAAACAGGCTAGTAAGTTGTACCCTGCAGGCACGGTGACCAGGTGACTGGTGTACGCAGGAGCACGTGACCGCTTGTTCAACCATGTTCGATTGGGAATAAAGGAGGAATGCTGCATCGCAGCCTTTTCGGACCAAAACCAGTCGACTCATCGTCCAAAAGACTACAACATATGGGCCAATGGCGGTCATCCGTGCTTTTATAAGAACGAAATGGCGCTTTTAGTGACATTTTGCATACAAATCCCCATCTAGTAGGGCGCAGTCACCCAGTTTCGGTGGAAGTGCGCGAGTTCGATTGGGAATAAAGGAGGAAGGGAGCGTCTCAGCTTCCTCGGACCAAGACCATTCGACTCAGCACCCCGAAGACTACAACTGGTGAAATTTGATTTTAGGGTATACTTCCCCTTTAACAAATGGCTACCAGATGGTTGATATCGCTTAGCACATGTAGCTGTTTTAGAAAGATTTTACTTGATCTCTCTGCACCCATAAATAATCTATGCATCACCCTGTTTTACCTCTTCAGCTGGTCCGCAGCCAAAGACTCACTTGCGAAGTCGAACATGGTCACACCAAATTCCAGAGGGAAAGGAGAAGGAGAAAGGAAAGAAGTACAATCCACAGCTGGAGGCCCTGGCAGCTGCCTCGACGGACATGGCCTTCCGACGAGATGGCAAGTCGAGAATGGGCCGTGATGCCATGACAGCGGCTAGAAAGAGGCAGAGACCAGAAGACATGCTACAGGCCCGCATCATGCGGCAAGACTACCGCGCCAGTCTTGTTAAGTACATCATGTAAGTCTGTGCGTGTGTGTGTGCGTGTGTGTGCGCGTGTGTGTGTGTGCGCGTGTGTGTGTGCATGCATACCTGCACACCTGCGCGCGTGTGCAGGAATGTTTGCTCATGCTACTGTGTTCGGAAAGGCATGCCGTTAACTGAATGTGGGGGGTGGTTGGGGAGTGTCTGTCCTCCGAGTTCTTATCATGGACTGGAGTACTTCGAAGTATGATAATGGTTGGACTACACGTACCAGTCCAGACTTACTTAACTAAAACCCGTATTATCTTATGTCCTATTTCTACATTGGACTCGGATGGAGAGCCAAGGATACGTTTATAGGAAAGAAAAAGGACCAAGGAACTACAAGTTACGCTGATTGTTTAGTAACTGGTGGTGTTAGTGGACATTGTAGCTTAACTTGTAGTTCTTGGTCCTTTTTTTCTATTTCTACATTGTAGGTGCCATGACACGACAAGTTCTGTAACTGAGTCGCTCCAGGAACCAAGGCAACTTGACTCAGCTCTGCCCACCGCGGCACAGAAGACGGACTTTGCGGACAGTGAGACCAAGATGCTTGTGAGTTTTAGCCTTTACCCTCTCCGCCGATGTTTTCTGGAGGCCGTTGGATGTTGTGTCCAGTCATCCATTGTGTATTATTCCATTTACGAAATGTACACGTGGGAGCTGAGAATTTTGATGTTTTGGTGCTACCGGTATTGAGGTTATGTACTGAACGAAACCAACAGGACTAGCATGAGCACTGCTAGTGTTGCCTGGGACCGAGCTGAGAATTCTTTGGCACTGGCGGCACCCTACAGCCGGTCTCCCTGTAACATTGTGTGTGTGTGTTCTGTGAGTATGTGTTGTGTTATGTTGTGTTGTGCCAACGTGTTTATAGCGGTATTACTACTACATCCAGCATGGAATCGACACCAAGTTCATATCACCCATGGAGGACACGTGGATTGAAGCTATCATGCGCTTCGTGCCAAGGCCACTGCGCCAGCGGTTTGGCAAAGACGTGGAGGAGCTTTGTGACGAAGTTCGAGATCGCTATTTGCTGAGCGTCAAGAAAGCAATTGGTGAGGCCTTGTACTTAGGAACTCTGTGCGAATGGGAGAGTGGCATGAATTCTAATTGGAAGCGCAAATGCTGCATCAGAACCAAAGCCATGCTCATTGGCAAGTCAAACTCTCCTGTCCCACTCACCAACAAGAATTGCGACACACCGTTTTGCCTAGCTTGTAAAGCATTTTTTTTCTGAACCTCCCTGATGATGCTCGTATGGATGATAGTACATGTGCGGACAAAATTGGTTTGCGTGGTGTAGTCAAGGGTTGTTTGTATATTGTAGGTTGGATGTTAGCTGGAAAAATTTTTAAGCATTGTAGTCAGTAATACAGTGGAACTGGATCAAGTACACTGGTGTTGTTGCGAAGTACGGTAAACCTGTAACTAATGACCACCGTGACTAGCGACCAGCCTGGTGCTACAGACCACTTCGCCAGGCACGGACGGTCTCACATTCTTATAATGGTTGTGCGGTGCAAACCTCTAACCAAGGACCACCTGCCACTAAAGACCGCTTTCTCTGGCCCCAAGGGATGGTCGTTAGTCACAGGTTTACTGTACTAATACACTGGTATAAAGTGGGCTGAAATGTTTTTGGGCGCTCAAGTCATGTCACTGTAGTAGATTACTCTTATCCTGGCCCTAATCTGTCTCACTGTTCTTGTGACTGCAGTTGACTTTGTCCTGAAGGATCCGCATGCGCCCGAGTTCAACATTGAAGACCGGCCGGCTCACAGACGAGAGTAAGGGAAGATGTGATGTTGGTGGGGGAGTGGGGGAGGGGGGGGGGGGTACTAGGCTGCAAGAGCAAATGCATTAGTCGGCACGCTATTTTGTGGATAAGCATGCCGCTTGATGCTGTATGTCGGCATTGCCACAGCGATTCGCGATCAGGTGGTATACTAGCATTCCAGTGCACAACACCCATACATATGGCTATGCATGATGGGTCTCATGTTGTTCTCACTCAGCACCTAATTTGGTCTGTTTCCAAGCCTTGCTTGCTATGTTATTGACTTATTGTGTCTGTGTCGGCGTCTAGAATTGCCATATGCCCCAAGCCATGGGCCGACGATTTCGAAGGGAGCATGTCTTCCATTCACAAGGGTCTGATAAACTGCGCTACGAATCGCATCCAGGCCGACATCCTGGCACTCTGGGAGCGTCAATACACGTGAGTGGCTATTAAGCAGACTCAACTCGTGCTTATCAGTGCATGTGAGTGGCTACTGTGCAAACTCTAAGCTGTGCTTATCTGTGCCCGTGAGTGATGATTGAGCTGTGACTACACTGCTTTGCCTTGCTAGAACATGTGTCCAGAATGATACCCTGTGCTGCTGTTCCCAGCAGCAAGAATCTGCAGTGCTTTATGTGCATCATTCACTGTGCTGTTCTCATTGTGTGTGTTGGTACTAAGTTCCTAGCTTAGCTTAGCTCTGGTGTATGTGTGTGTGGTGTGTGTGTGTGTGTGCGTGCGTGTGGTCGTGCTTGTATTTTTGCATTTGTACATGCTGTGCAGGAGTCTGCGTGCGGTGAAAACGGAAGACTTCTACATGCGTCAGCCAATGGAGCTTGCTGGTTTCAAGAGAAAGATGTGGCAGCAAATCGATGAAGTGAAGGGTCTGCTGACTAAGATGTAAGAATGCTGTATTGTGTGGTGCACGGGGATAATCTGTGTCCTGCTGGGAGGGTATCTTTTATTTTGTTTTGTGCCTTCTTTCCCTTTGTGTAGCGCAAAGAGAAGAGGGCTGTTAGGGGTTGTGCTAGTACTTGTAAGTGCTCTTTGGCCAAGGCTGCTGAGCCAAGGATGTTGCCTGCTCCAGTCGAAACATCTGTATCTACCTTGCATGGGTGCTATCCGATCTATTTATTATCATTGATCTTAATTTTGCTAGGGTGTTTCCCCACAGACCTATGGTCTTCTTGCGGGAGGCCCCGGGAAAGTGTTGATCATGAGCTGATAGATGTGCGGCACTCAGTTCAAGTGGGAACAGTGGATGGCACCATATTCCGCCCATCATAAACAGTATACAGTCGACTCCAATTATAACGAACTCGCACATAGCGAATTTCGTGACATAGCAAACCGTTGTCCATATCCCAATTTGAACCCATTTCTGCTATAACGAACTTCGGCTATAAAGACCTAATTCTCCTGCACAATGGTGTTCGTTATATCAGGAGTCGACTGTACATGTACCCAGTGCAGGATTAGCCAGGGTGCCGGGGGGGGGGGGGGGGGGCAAGGTGAAGCCGAAGAGTAGGAGACCTGCGATGTGTTAGTGGCAGAGGTGTGTACCCAGGGAGAGCGGCTGGTAAAGGTTACTTTCAGCAAAGAGCTGGAGGTTCCGCTATGCGTGTACACCATAGCGGAACTTCCAGCTCTTGCTGAAAGTAACTTGTTGGCAAAGTGTATACAAGATGGTTGCGAGGTCGGGTGATTGTGTTGGCTCCGGAATCACCTCGATCTTGAAATGACCCTTTTAATGCATGCTCCGTACGCGGGGGCATACACGACCCACACACAGACACAGCAATGGTTGGTTGGCACCACAGGGTAACTGGGCGAAGGAACTGGCAGTGTGTAACCATGGAGGCGACCGACCCGACAGAGGCGGGGACCGAGAGTGAGACCGAAATGGCGGCTGACCTGCCAAGGGCAGCAACCAAATAGAGTGATTCGGGAGAGTAGAGAGAATGCTGCCAGCTACTGAGAGTTCAGTGCCCAATCCCTGCTTGTGTGTTTACCAGAGTGAGTTTGGAAGACGAATGAGGTGAGCAGTATATACAGAACAGGGTGCTACAGAATGAGAATTGTAACACAATGAAATCGGTGTGGGTGGGTGGGTGAAAAAACGGAGCAAGAGTCATGCAAGCCAATGCAACTAACAACGAGAGCCAGGCACGAAGGCTGCTGAAAGGTGTTCATATGCAAAGCGAGCTGCTGAGAGAGTTTGCGCGTACGCACAACGGCGCATCCGTGAGCTGGCGCCATGGTTGTACTCATTCACTACTTGCAGGGTCTTGATATCTACATGCACATGTTGGCCGGTGACCTTGGCGTGGCGCTGTTTCATTACATGGTCGGTAGCTTTTGTGATACGTGGATAACATTGTAGCCACTTTGTGATCCTTCCATTGAACGACAACGGTTTGACCATTCCTGACGCAGCGTATTGGGCCACGCTCACCTTTTTCGAACTGGTTTGTAGTCTTCAGTGGTCGTGGAATCTGCTGCTGGCTGACTCGAACTGTGCCAACAAGATGGCACCCATTTTGGAGCAGTGACTGTGTTGCTAGTTGCGGAGATGTGTAGAAATTGTCGATAAAGACGGTGTATCCAGGCTTGCCGGTAGTTTGCTGCCAAGTTTATGACCGTAGCATGGGCAGTTCCAATTTCTGTCTGACCCTGCACAGCACCAGAGTAGTCATCAAAGTCGACAAGGTGTGATGTTGTAACATCAGCCAAAGCAGACGACTTGATTCCCCATTTCATCGGCTTGTTTGGCATGTACTGACGGAGCGAGCTTCGCCCTTTCATCTTGATCATGCGTTCATCGACACTGATGAATTGGCTCGGGTTACGAATACTTTCTGCACTGCTGCCTCATGTGGGTATCCAACCACCTCAGTCTGCGTAGCTTGTCGTTTTGGTCCTCTTCAGATGGCAGACTAAAAATAATAATAATATGCAGGGATGTCATGAGCGCTCTGAAACGATCACGTGTTGAGATGAAGGCGCGTGCTCACGTAATTTGAAAAAGAGATGTTATCCGCCAATAGTCATTGAGCTGGAGCAGACGAAGCAAATCCATGTACAGAAGGAGACCAATAAGCTTCTGCACCTCATCTGCAGTGCATTCTTTCCATGCTCCATGTTTGTCGGCGTAGCAGGGATAATCGAGTGTTCGGCCATGCACACTCATTTGTAGCATCTTAAATTTTCTGGAACTCCACTGGCTCAATAAATAGGTTGAAAAAATCCAACTCGTTCTGGGGATTACAATTATCAGGCCGGTGAGCTCCCTGGGGACATGGCGGCTGAAAATTCGGCAGCTGTTCTGCACTGGGTGCTACATCTTCATCACTCCAATCACAAACATCATCAGCACCGTCACCACGTGTGTCATCACGTGTGGGAGCAAATTGAGCAAGACGTCCTCGACCACCTTGGCCTTGTCCACGTCCTCTGCCACGTCCTTCGCGAGCGCCCCGGGCGCTTTCTGCGTCCGCCTCAGTAGCAGAATCATCACTGCTGTCGATGTCGCTGCTGTCGATGTTTTCGACTTCACAGTTTTCAAAATCAGGGGCGTCCTCTTCCGAATCTGAGGCAGAATCGTCGTAAACTCACCCTTGCTGGCTGAATAACAAAATTTATCGGAGACGTCTCCGTCTATCCACTCGAAATAGTCGAGGGCCTCGTCAGCATTCATCGTCACCCTCAAACATTGCACTCAATTTCAAGTGTACGATAAAATTTTGGAGCGTGATTTTCGAAGCCGATTTTCAGCGTAAGGCCTCGGTCACACTACGGCAGTTTGAAGCTGGACGCAGCGTCAAGCCGCAGCACTTGACGCAGACGCGGGGTCACACAGTGTTTTGCTTTTCTTGCAGCTCATGACTGCCGCGGCCTGACGCATTTGTCTACGTCACAAAATCACCAGGGAAACTCAATGACGGCACGGATTCCCACGGAAACCGACCTTTTGCTTATTAAAAATATTATACAAAAAAATTGTCGGACAAAGTTTTCAAATTTTTCATTGATTTTTGATTACAAGAAGACGAAAGGTCCACGCGTGCACGGTCGTTGTTGTTTCTTTCCGAATTTGAAGCCATTTTCAGTTGTAGTGTCATGGGTCAGGCAAGAAAAGTCCGCATCGCAGCTGTGTTTCTCCTGACTTCGTCATACTGGTTGTCCTTTTTGGGGCTCTTGACGACAACACAACACTCATAAGTCAACAGGCTCCAGTTGGCCGATGACCCATTCAAACAACTGGTCCTTTCTCGACATCATTTTCTTCTCAGAAAACGCCTCGCTCTTCCGCCAGGTTCGGAGCAGAGCAGCTTCGGCCTCGTAGGTCCACGGACTCATCTCGAACAAAAAGAGGGAACAAAACAAACCTTGAACAGACGAATGTCGAATAACTGCTCAACTCAAGCAAAGACAAATGTCTTGAAACTAATTTTACTTGAAAGACACTGTTTTTCCGCCAAGCGTCACTCCAACCAGCGGCAACGCAGCCGATTTCCCCACGTCAGACGCAGCAGCGTCTGACGCTCAAACTTCCCGCGTTGCGTCAGTTGCCATGGAAAAGCTCATGATTCTGACGCTGACGCAGCATATTTGCCGTAGTGTGACCGAGGCCTAACATTGAGTTGATGGCACCACCTGGCAGCCGTTGAAGCAGCACACTTTACAGCCCCATATGGCCCCTACTTGCCAAAGGCTTTCATGTGTTTAGCAGAGTGGCGCAGCGGAAGCGTGCTGGGCCCATAACCCAGAGGTCGATGGATCGAAACCATCCTCTGCTAAGTTTTTTTTTTCGTTTTTTTCGTTTTTTTCTTCTAGACCTGTGCTGGTGTTCACAGGCGAGCAAGTTGTTGTCTATGTCGTCTCTTGAGTGGGACGACTGTTCGTTTTCGATCTCTTTTTTTGTCTTGCAATATGGCTGCCCGCAGCCAACCCTGCACAAGTTATGGCTGATGTGAGGCGTGAGAAAGAAGGCATGCTTCCGATGAACGGGCACGGATATTTCATGCACTTTCTGCGCACGCATTCATCGACCGAATTCGGTCGATTCATGCACGTACCAATGTCAAACGGTTAAGTTATCAAAGCCAAGTACATGTACTGTTCTGAGGAATGTATGAAATACAGATAGTCATATATTTATCATAGTGGCCTACTTCAGTGATGACTGAATGATACCTAGATAGAAGGTATGCCGTGGTATGTCGAGCATAGTATGGCCAAGATAGTGGGACGTGTGGTAGGCACCGAGTTCCCGGTTGGCAGATCCTATCAAGTTGCCTATTTGTGGTCCGGACGTCAAGTTTTCATGTGCGTGTGTGTATGCGTGCGTGCATGTGTGTGTGCGCGTGTGTGCGCGTGCATGTGTGTGTGTGTGCATGCATGTGTGTGTGCGTGTGCGTGTGGTGTGTGTGTGTGTGTGTGTGTGCGTGCGTGCGTGCGTGCGTGCGTGCATGTGCGTGCGTGCGTGTGTGCATGTGCGTATGTGTGTGTGTGTGTGTCGAACAGCTGGCTACACGAAATTCAGCTGATCTGCTACAGCGGCAACAGTCGTCGGGGCATTCCACCCAACAGGCTGCTGGCGTTCTTTGACGGCATCGTTGTCATCATGAACCGCCAGCTGCGAGACATGATCAACAAATCTCTGGTGCAGCTTACAGATTTGCTTGCACCTGATGAGGTGAGTTTAACCTCTTGCACAGTAGGTAAATCAGCCTGCAGCTCAACATGCCTCGATTCAACTCTCCGTAGTGAGTTACATATGTTTGTACCAGTCAGCAGGACCGATAGACGGAGTGTTTGTTATTGGTCCGGCCATACCCTAGCCTTTCATACGATGTGTATGATATGGAGGGTATACACATGATATGGAGGGTATACACATGATATGGAGGGTATACACATGATATGGAGGGTAGTCACATGATATGGAGGGTAGTCACATGATATGGAGGGTAGTCACATGATATGGAGGGTAGTCACATGATATGGAGGGTAGTCACATGATATGGAGGGTAGTCACATGACCTCCTCAGTAGTAAACACGCATAGGTGGTCAAAGAGTAGAGTTGAGCGCTTGTTTGTACGTTTGATTCCCTAATGCAATGCAATGTGATCAACACGTGTGTGTTGGCAGGGTGGCAGTGGCATGGTCTTCAAGATACGCGCCATCCTTGATGGTGACAAGATCCAGTTCGAGCCGTCTCAGAGCGATTTCGAGGTGAGCAAAGAAAATGGCTGTCGGGCTTGCTTCATTCACTTTGTGATTGATATGAAGAGCAAGCCATTCTTTATGGTGAAAAATAGTTGAATTAAGCCATTCCTTCTTCTTGGTTTCATCTTGTTCCTGATGGACTTTGAGGTAGTTGTGGTAGTCATGCATTGTACATCACGGCTGTAGTACTGACAGTGCATTGCATAATGCCCTTGGCCATATGCTGCTGTTGACCTGGTTTCGCAGTCGACGGATTTGAGAAGACACAATGGCTGGATGTTGATTCTTTCCGTGTGCTTGAGTCTGGAATCTTGCATGCCTACAGTAATGGCACTGAACATTGCCTTCTGGTCTTTCTGCCTTTACCCTGTACATTGTTAGATCGTGTACAAAGCTCTGTACGACACTGTGCGCAAGGCAGCCAATACCATACCAAGACCAGAGTCGAAGCTGATGGATGTAAGTGCATGGTGTACTTGTGTGCGTGACTTCAGTGGGAGAGAAAAATGATTGCCTCGCAACGAAAAAATTCTAGACGAAGTCGAATTGGAAGGTGTTTCGGTTGACCGGGGTGGGTGGGTGGGTGGGTGGGCAGCTGCACACTTGGCAAGAAGAAAAACGATGATCTGCAGAGTCACAGCCACTGCACACTGCCCTCGTACCCGTTCCGTACGCACATGCAACAAATATTAACAGAGAACTAGATTTCTCGTTTCTTTCGCTTCGCTCAGCCAACGAGAAATGAACATTTCTCTGCTCCAAATTTGTTTGCACGAGCATCAGCATGCGAACCCAGCTCCATCACACACAGCAGCCATTTGAACAGGCGGTGAATGCAGACCTACTGCACAAGACGCACAAAGCATAGCTGGGTTTGGAACCCTATCCATGATAGGAGCAGGAAAATCGGTTGAGGTCGCCGGATACTTTGGCTAGTCACGACTTGCGCTGTCCCCGTCTCTCTGATATCCCTCGGCGGCAGTTCGCGTCTCAACGGGCAGATCACTACCCCTCACCAGCAGCCACAGCAGCGTCAACAACATGGTACCTAGTGCCCGGCACTTCGGATCCAGGATCCCAGCAGCCTAGCGTAGCACCCGGTGCTACCTGCAGATATAACATACAGCATGCAAAGGCACACAGAACTTCCGCAGTAAATGTTCTTATATAAATTTTGGAGGGTTGTATTGTATTAATAATTTATTAACCCTTTACCGTTTTAGGTATTTGTACAGCAAAAACCGACCGTCATTGTTCATGCCGTAACTTTTTTATTTTTCACTTTTATTATGTACAAAATGGGGTGATTCTGAAAGTAAAAACCCTCAGGAATGCGATGCAACAACTTTCAAGTCCAGAAAACGAACACAGATTTCACTATTTAGCACTAATAATTATTTGGATTTATTCCCGATCGGGCAAACTGTTGCAATATGCAATAAATCAGATCCTTGCACTGGAGTGGCTCCCTCAGGTAAGTGGATACCAGGTTCGTTCTCTGGGTGGAATGCAGGAGTGTTACCAGTCACAGCGGTGTCAGCATTGTCCCAAGTATTGCAAATATCGACTAGTGCAGGTTGCACCGCTGGCTGTACATAGTACCTGTGCACCACGACCTCAACCCTGACGACGGCCTATTCCACGGCCGAATCCTCTCTCTCTCTGCCACGTCCCCTTCCACCATTAGTGGCACTCATCTCAGCGACACTGTCGTCGTCTGTGACATCCATGTCACTCTCACTGGCGCTGCTTTCACTCGCCATGTCATCGTCGCGGTCGTCGTCAGAATAAATATTTTCAACAGGATTGTCTGGCTCCACAAACTCATCTTCGCTGGATGAGGCAGCGACAGAGTCGTCAGAAAGGGTCTCCAGAAGCGAAAGAGCTTGCTCCGCGTCCATGGCTTGCACAGCAGGGCAGACAGTCGTGAGGCCAGCTCAAGCAAAAGTCGAAATAATCTGCAGGCAATACCAAAAGTCGCAGGGTACGCACTTTTCCCAAAGCGCATTTTTCAAGTCGCGATTTTCGCGATTTTTTATATTGCATCACACAAAAAAATTGTCGGCACCCTCTGCGCGTACATCTTGGCTACCAGTAGGGAAAATCCCAGCTCTCTGCGGTGAACCAGTCCAGCGCTGTGCGCATAGAAGTCATCGACCGCGAGCGGTCGAAATTTGTACGTACAAACGGTAAAGGGTTAAATCAGACACACAATACGACATCAGTCTAGAACTAGCCACACTGAATTATTGTATCAATCAATGTATAAAATAATATAACATAGCTATGATGTCAGATATTGCTGCACTCCTCCGCGACGTGTTCGTATCATTGTTATATTGGCCGCCGATTTTGCTGGCCAGCGGCAGCCGGCTGCTGCGGGCAGACTTTGACAACATGCCCTGGCTGCCCACATCGGTGGCACACCGGAGGGGGCTGAAAGTTACCTGGCATATGCTGAATGGCACCTGGATATGGACGAGTTGGGATCCCCATCCCCTGTCCTGCCTGAACATTAGCATCGACCGCACCTAGGCTACGCACACCTCCTGCCACTTTCTTTTTCACCCCTTCTGCTTGGATTGCGGCCTGGAGCCGCTTCTGCTTTTTGGAGCCTGTCACCAGGTCCATGAGCAGGTTACCTCCTTGGAAAGCTGTCGCCACCTGGTGGCCATGGTTTTCAGCAACAACAAGCCACTCCTGCCTCTCTCTTAGTACACGCTCGCCTTTTTTTGCTGCCCTTCTCCTTATTCTCTTTGACTTCTACTTCATTGAGGCAATGACGTCTAACAGTTCCTCGTTCAATGCAAACTGCTTTGCATAACTGGTCGTCTTCCAGTTCAGCTCCGTGGGTGTTCCGGACTTCCTTTTTCGCCTCGGCGAGCGGGATCTTGAGCTTGACTCCGAGGAGGACGAAGACGAGGACGATGATGATCTTTCATCGGGGGAGTTTCCCACTCGTCTTCTTTTCAGCAACCTGCCTCGTTCTGCTAGCCTTTCCATGCCTCTTTCCAGCATCCGGATCTTCATGCCTAAGAGCTCTTGCTCGCTCTCGAAATCCGTGGCTGCTTTGGACGCAGCAACACTAGCTTGTTGTGGAGCTGCGGTTGGAGGTGCCGAGGCGTGGTGTTCCACTGCCGTTTCGTACTCTGACGACGACGACGTGGTTCCGACCTTATCGGAGTCAGGAAACTCAAATACAGCTGAGGCACTAGCGCCTCCTCTCTTGCTTCTACCTCTATCCCGACCAGAGTTCACAGCTTTTACTTTACGACCACTCATGTTGGCAACAGGAAAGAACAGCACCAGGCCGATCTACATGACGACTACGACAGAGAAATTTTTTGGGCAGCTGCACACTTGGCAAGAAGAAAAACAATGATCTGCAGAATCACAGCAACAGCACTTTCAGCCACAACACACTGCCCTCGTACCCGTTCCATACGCACGTGCAAAAAAATATTAACGGAGAACTAGATTTCTCGTTTCTTTCGCTTCGCTCAGCCAACGAGAAATGAACATGTCTCAATGCATGCGTCGTAAACACACTAGACTAACTAGACAATCGTTTTAATCGTATCAATCGTGATCCTCTTGCAACATACACATGCAAATAACTCGAAACCGAGAATGTATCGGTCTGCGACATCCTCCCCACCAAAGCCCATCTCACACATGCACAAGTCAATCACGATACCTCTGAGGGTGTTGTACAAGACGGGTATGCGTGGGTACCGGCTGCTGCACTTGTGGCTGTGGCTTGAGTGTGGCTTTCTCACTTATCACTTCCTCTGGATCATCAGCACTACTTCTAGGCACGACATCCTCGACATCCTCAGGCTCACTATCATCATGAGCAGTTGGTGACTCATCACGGCTGGAGATCTCCAACGGCGCCAAGCGCTGAATGGGCCGCAGCAACTCATGTCCACTTACTCGGACCTTCGCGACACGCTGACGGCCATCTCGACCAGTGTGGAGCTCCAGGATTCTGGCCAACTTCCAGCAGACGCGCTTCTTGGTGTGGTCTTCCAGGAATACGACGTCGCCAACCGCCAGTGAATAACCCCTGCGGTCATGGTGACTGCGGAGGCTCAGCAAATACTCCGCATTCCATCGGGCAGTAAAGTGTACTCTCAGCTGCGAAAGATATTGCAGACGACGGTTTGTGTCAGTATGGGACAAGCAACTCTCAGCATTCGGGTCTGACTGGACACTTAGATAGAGAGGAGATGGAACTCCGACACCGAACAGAACAGTCGTGCATACGCAGACATGCATACACAAACACACCAGCCAAGGGGCACAATCTCAAGAGTAAAACATTTCCATTTATCTTACTAGTTTCGGCCTCGTTAGGCCTCGTCAGAGAAGGATGAGCTTCTAAAGAGATCGTGTGCTTATATAAGCTAGGAAGTGCAGTGTCTTGGGATAATGCACCAAAAAAAGAAGACCTCCACCAGCACCCAGCAACATTGACGGAGACAGCGGCAAGTCTTCGTCCTCCGTTACATAGGTGATCGGACGGTCATTAACTATATCCTGCACTTCCGACAGCAGAGTACGTAGCTCCGTCTCGGAGAGGAGAGACTTGCCTAACACACGCCGCAGTGGGGACTTGATAATAGCAACCAGCGTTCAAAGAACCCACCATGCCATGGTGCAGCCTAAGAGCCATTCGGGGCAATGTGCCTCATCAAACACATAATCTGTCCGACGCTTATGTGCTTCTTTACGGATGCAGAAAAATTGCACTCCGAATCGCACTTTAAGATGAGTGGCCCTGCCTACCTGCTTACTGTTTTTCTGTCCGCGCTCTCTTGATGGATTCCCGGTGCCTTTCACAAATAGCCCGTTCAACAGTTCGAGGCTTCATCACCACCACATCACTTGCATGCACTTGCCATAACCTACAGACTGACCGATACGAAATCGGCTTTTCTGCCGTGCCCAGTGACTCAATGTACGAGGTGTACATGTTCCGCTTGCGATGTGAAGCAGGTAAATGACTACGTGTGACTTTAGCTCTCCCTCGTGGTGGTGCAGGTGGGGTAGACCAACAATGTTCGCAATATTTCGTACGTTTGCCACTGCATTCTCCACAGCACTGGGATGCTGCATTATGTTGCTTGGCTGATTGCCTTTCGGCTTGTGTCTAGGGTCTCTGCGCTGGCGGTTTCAGCAATGTCCTGCAACCTTTGCCATAGATGTGCTGACCGATTTTGTTTAGATCCATGAATGCTCGCGTACACACCTTTACTTCCAGTACAGTGTGCGTGAATGAATACTTACACTTCTTACCGCGTGACGATGTTTCGCGCAGAGTGGCTGTCAATTGTCCTAAGATAAATAGGCGCTTTGACTTTTTAGGGACTCACTTGAAACTCTCCACCAGGGGCAGCAGCAACTTGTCAGGGTCTTATTTTTCAAAGCAGTTACTGTGTTTGCATCCACAGCCGTCTTCCTGCCAGTCCATGATCTGCGCCATGAGCAGCCCTTCTTCTGCGTCTACCACATCAATGTCAATGTCATAGTTGACGTAGGAGTCGTTCAGCGGGTCGACATGCAGCTCCTCGTCGCTGTCACTGCTGCTAGAGCTCTGACTTACCTTGCCAATATAAAGTCTTTCGGTGAAGACTCTTCATCGCTATCAGCCTCACTATCGCTGGACAAGCTCAGCATGGTTTTGTTGCATGGAGAACACACATCAGCACATTAAAGTGTTGAAACGAGTCACGTTCTCTCTCGCTCAAGGGTGTCCTCTTTTTATCTGTCATTCAAAACTGAATAATGGCACCGTCGAAACGTGGCAGCTATGTGCTTCAAGCTGAGTGTCATTGAAGCTGCCGAGGAAGTAGGCAATCGATCTGCTCACCGTACATCCGGCATTGATGAGTTCATGGTTCGCCGTAGGCAAAAAAGAAACTGAAAACTGAAATTGTCAGCAAAGAAATAAGGGATGCGGCTCACGTACCAAATACAGGGTAGATGGCTGTATTTTGTGGCAAAAAAATCTGGGCGGAACTGATATTCCAGTGCGGCTTATTCTCCGCAAAATACGGTAATAGCGGGTACCGCATAGTATAGCCATTCATGGCAAGACCATCAAGATGGAATCTCTTTACTATCGACCGTGATCGACAAGCAAGAACTTGCAGAGAGCAACGATTTTTATTGCATGTGCATGGTATTTAGTCATGGGGGGGGGGGGGGGGTGCTGGCCCGTCTTAAGTATAGTCTTGTGCCTTTGATGAAAAAAATAGGAAAAGTCATGCACACCTGTTCCTCCTGTATCATACATGTTGCACATTGCGATCTGTCTGCTGCGTTGCTGCATGTGCTGTCCAATCTACAGGGAGCGCAGAGTGGCTTCTTGAAGCCCTACATCGAGATTGGCTGGTGTGAACAGCTGATGAACAAGGTATAGTCATGCTATTACTGCAGCTTGTCTCACAATAGTAGACACTCTAGACAGCCTTCAAGAATGTGACTCATCCAACGGATACAAACGATTAAATGTTCCTTGGAAATGCACGGAAATAAGATGTTGGGTCTTTCTGATTATCGTTTCCAATTTATGCAGTTTGGTTTAGCTGTCGTGTGTGAACACTCGCCCATGACGGGTTCACAAGACCCCTGCCCCCCCCCCCCCCCCCACATCAGCATTGCTTTCTGTGAGGGATGCATTCGTTCTTCTCTTGTCTGTGTGTGGTGATCGATGGTGCGTCTTCTCCTGGCGATCTTCTCGTGTTTAGGCACTGGAAAGACTGGCAGACTCCTTCCGCGATCCAACGCAGTACCTGGATGAGTACAAAGCGTACGAAGATCTGATCTCAAAGAAGGTTAGAACAGTTGTATTCCGGGAAACTAGCATGTAGTACGACCATGTAGTAGTGGTAGTAGTGATAGTGTATTCCGACTGTAGAGATGGTATTCAGCAACAGCCAGGGCTGTGCATTCTGAGCCGTACTGAATGCTCAGCTGGAGCAACGACTGCTCATGGTGGAGAGAAGAGTGGCATGAAATTGGGAAAATCTAGATAGTAACATATAAGGCTTGACAAGTAGCTAAATCGAAGCAAATCAAGCTAACTAAACATGTATGGCCATCTTGCTGAGTGAAAGAAGAAGGCAGAGAAGAAATGTTGGAACGTCTCCATGACGGCCTTGCGTTATAATTTTACTCTGAAAAATGAACACAATGCCTGCATGCTAAGCCAAGTATAATGGATTTCCGTAGAGAATGCACACACGAGGGAGTGCATTGCTCTGAACCACCTCACTGATTGTTGCCCGTGTATAGGCCTTATGCACGTTGTACAGATGCACGAAATCCCGTAGAATCCCGTAGACCCGGTTGGGTGTTGAATGTGCAGGACCCTATTGTGTTTATTGCTATTTCCACAGCGAAATGGGCCCTGAAGGCATTTCGTACGAACACTTTTTCGACAGTGATCTAGCGAGTCGTTAGTTCAATCCCAAAGTGAAGAAGCTGGAAAAGTGATTGTTCGCCGCGAATTATGAGGCTAAATGGGTCAAACACGCATGTATAGCACACAATGAACACCCAACCGGGTATGTACACACCTACGGCCCTAGTACAGAACTTCGTACATCTGTACAATGTGCATAAGGACTATTATGTGGCCATTTTGTTTGCATTTGTTTTCAGGCGGAAGAAGAACTGGAAGCGTTCTTATCAGACGAGGATCGGAAATTTGCCGAGCTCACTGAAGTAAGTATTTGGAAGCTCTCTGGTTTCTTTATATCGCTGTCAGTGTGAATGTCGTGTCTACTGTTTTGAACGGGTGGCAGACGAAGTTTATTGAATTTCCAACTATTGTTCTGTTGTTCCGAGTTGGTGTCATACATTGCGTGCTGTTTGAGGCGATCTCTTTGTGTGCGGTGAGCGCCTTGTTTTGCCTCGTGCCGTATTCTATCCGTGACACTATTTGTTTGGTTGTATTGTCCTCTCTGGCTGCCATTGCTTTTCAGGAACACGACAAGTTCTTGCAGATCACGCGTTCTTTGAAGTACGGCAAGAGAGAGGTAGGCAGTGCTCGTGTGCATGGTATGTGTGGAAGAATATGACCGTTAGCATTGTACGGAATGGCTGATGACAAGCCTGTGCCAGGGAGCAGGGAGCCCAGGTGCTGTATGCGGCAGTGACTTTACTTGTGCAATTGTGCTGATCTACCATTGTGCACTGTGCTGTGTTGTGTTGTGTTGTGTTGTACTACAGACGGTTCCGATGGGTCTCATGGAGCTGCATTTGGGTGACCTGCACCGGGCTCTGATCCGCCGCTCCGACGAGCTGAAGAACCGTATCCTGCAGTCCGTACTTTCAAAGCACGGCGAGAAGACGCAGACGTGAGTGCGCCACGCTGACCGTGTATGTGTGTGATACCTGGGTGAAGACCGCTGTGACTACGGTGACATGTGTAGAATAGTGGTATGTCCTGAAAGTGTATGCGTCCCTGTGCCGTTATGGCATGTGCAATAGTGGTGTGCCCGGACAGTGCATTCATCTGTGTCGTCATCACTGAACTACCAGCAAGGGCTGTGTCAGAAACCACATGAGTTTGAAGACCGCGGTAGGGCATTGCCATGGTGGATGCTGAAGCCAGTACTTACGTGTCGATGGCTTTGTGTATCCTGTGATCTCTGTTCTCCTGCAGGCTGGTCTCGGAGTTTGAGACAGTCACGGACAAGGCACTTACAACTCCAAGAGACACCGATCACATCGTCGAGTTGAAAGAGTACATGCAGAACGTGCAGAACAAGGTGCTGCCGGAAATGGAACGATCCGTGCTGGAGACGAAAGACCGCCTGCTGTTCTTGGTCAGTTATCTTTGAGCTGGGCGGACATGTACATGTGTCTTGAATAAGTCAAATTTCTTAGACATCAAATACATGTAGTGTATAACAGGGTGTTGTGACATCTACAGTCCATTTCAAAATAAGAAGCAAACAGGTTTGTCGAGGAAAGGGATGAAGATAAAGGAAGTTCGAAGATCAAAGTGCATAGAAGGTTTTTCTGGGCATGGCGATTTTTCTGTTCCTGCAGGTTGAGTCAATGACTTTGCCCACCGCTGAGCAGAAGATGTGCATGGATGTGTTCAACTGGAACAACCGCATATCCGATGTCATTGCCCAGCACAAGGAAATCATCCAGCGCGCAACGCAGCATGGCCAAGACGCTCTCAGGGTTGGTCCAGCGTGGGGTATCTGTTGCCTGATACATACATTCTCTTTCAGGGGTGATCCTTGTGTTTCTTCTGGTATCAACTGCATGATAGGCCACACAGTGTGAAACATGTCGGGGCAACCACTCTGATAACGGGACTACCTGACCCAGAGGACCACTACAGACAGTACCAAGAGGTGTGTCTTTTCCACCAATGTGAACCTGGATAAGGAGATCGCCTGTACACAGATGCCGCATTTTGAAGGTCCCCTGAGCATTTGGCTTGCACAGCTTTCACGGTACTTGTTTTCACATCCCTGGAAACTCGGGTTGTCAAAGTCTTGGGTAGCATAGTGTAGTGTTATACTTGTCTTTATATATAATAAAGTCCTTGTACTCAATCTCTTACTTTATTGCAATTGCAGTGATAGACTTTGGTGATGACGGTGTTACAGAGATGATATTCAAACTAGTTTAGGAATTAGATTCCATTTCTTTCTTTTCCATTGTGCCACTTTACATAGCTGATTTCGACTTCATCGATGATTCATTGTGCGCATCAATTGCTTACTGTGTTGTTTCGGCTTTTCTGAACAGCTCAAGCGTGAGCGTTTCAAGGAAGAACTGCAGGGTTACAAGCGGCAGCTGGCCGAGTTTGTGGTAAGGCCGTCCGTGCCTGCCTTCATGTCTACGTGAATATGTGTGTGTGTGTTTGTTTGTGTGTGTGTTTGTTGTGTGTGTGTGTGTGTGTGTGTGTGTGTGTGTGTGTGTGTGTATGTGTATGTGCGTGCGTGCATCATTGAACAGAAGCACATGGTGATGCACATCTACGCACATGCACACACACGCGCGCACACGCGCGCGCACACACACACACACACGCACACACACACGCGCACATGCACACACTGATGTGCAGATCGTCTACCCACCATTTACACCATGTTTGTGTTCTTTTCCTGATACGTGTGCTGTCAATTAAACAATGGCTCTCTGCTTTCTTATACAACTGCTTGATCTAGACTTTTGATGATCTGAAGAAGATGAAACTTTACGTCAAGAAAGCCAGTGCTTTGCAAGCTAAACTGGACACTGCAGCAGAGAAAGCCGAGCAGTTTAACCAGGAAGAGGACGCCTTCGACTGGGAGAGAACGCAGTACCCAGAACGTATTGAGGCTGCTAACACGCTGGCACCATACGTCAAGCTGTTCGACACCATCCACAATTTCGACGTCAAATCCAAGTGAGTTGCGAATTTGCTATTGATTTGAAAATTGAGTGTGCATGTGTGCGTGTGCGTGTGTGTGTGTGTGTGTGTGTGTGTGCGTGTGTGTGCGTGTGTGTGTGTGCGTGCGTGTGCGTGCTTGCGCGTGCGTGTGTGTGCGTGTGTTTAGTGCATACAGTGCAGTGCATGTCCTAAGCTTACATTGGATCCTGTGCGCTGCACTGTGCTGCCGGACCAGCTACAACGTAGCAAGCATGATGGCAACACGTTTTCTAAGTGTACACGTTCAGCAGCTACCCACTGTACCCACTATACACGTGGTCACGCTCACCTTGTGACCTACACAGTGCACTATCAGTATCAGCAGAAAGAATGCAGGGATTCATAACTTGGAGATTCGCATGGCATGCTTATGTGTCTCGTGCATTTTTTTATTTGTGCGCGCTTTGCCGCAGCGATTGGATGTTCGGTCCGATCGACAATGTCGATCCCGATATCGTGGAGCAGGACGCCGGCAGCATGTCCAGGAACCTCTACAAAGCGGAGAAGCAATTCCAAGACAACCCGAACCCTCTTGCCATGGCCAAGGCGGTAAGTGGATGACCTGGCCTGGCCTGGAGTCTCTTGTCTACTACTTTCAGGGGAGGGGAGGGGGGGGGGGCATTCCCAGAGGAATATGCTGGTAATATAGGGGCATCGGAACTGGTGCAGCAGGTGCGGCGAAAGCTGCACCAATAATTTTATCTTGTGATTTTTGAAACAGTAAAATACCGTAGAATCCCGCGGATAAGCCCATGGGCTGATCTGTTTCACAAGGACATTTCGGTGGGCTTATACGAGAACATGGGCTTATGCGCGGGCATGGGCTTATACGCCGACACCAAAATTATGCTTTTGAAAAGTAGTCAAGTGGTGTGCTTCACTGTCCGAAGAGGGCAGAGCCTTGTACACAAAGTATCAAGGAAGTGAGAAGTACATTGTTGAAAACCACTGTGCAAACAAAAACAACCGATGATTGTGTTGAAATGTTAAAAAATCTACATGTGCTATGTACGTACATGGTACGACCAAGAGTCCGGACTCTTGGTATGACCTAGGCCCATGGGCTTGTATGACGAAGCTTTGTGATGTTCGAATTAACCCTGGGCTTATGCGCGAGCGTGGGCTTATACGCGGGTGGGCTTATCCGCGGGATTCTATGGTTGGCTATTTGGGCCTCATTTTCCAAACGTTTTTCCCAGGAGAGGGTCCCAGATCCCAGGCCTGTTCAGGGCCGCTCGCCAATGTCGAATACCTTCTCAACACCCATGTAATCGTGTACCATTACCGTTCCTGTGTGGTCTGTTGTGAATGTGGTGGTGGGTCGGGACAGTATGAGCACTTTTGACCTGAGGAGGACAGTCAAAGGACCTGCCTTGCGAACATAGTGCAAACAAGCTGGGTTGAGCGCTTGCTGTGGCACAGGAGTCTGCATCGGTGCCTTTGGCTTTGTGCTCGATACCTTGGTGACAAGTTCTTGACTGGTCTCTGGTTTCTGATGGCGGTTCACCAGCCTCTGTACGAGAATTCAGCCCAAGGCGTTTTCGCTTGCACATCCAAACTCCGAACACATCCAAACATCACTACACATCCAAGCTATTCCTGGCCATCATCGTGTTGTCACCACCGGCTGGTGTGTGTGTGTGTGTATTTGTGTGTGCGTGTGTATATGCGTGTGCGTATGCGTGTGTGTGGGTGTGCGCGTGTCTGTGTGCGTGTGTGTATGCGCGTGTCTGTGTGCGTGTGTGTATGCGCGTGTCTGTGTGTGTGTGTGTGTGTGTGTGTGTGTGTGTGTGTGTGTGTGTGTGTGTGTGCGCACGTCTGTGTGTTCTCCTTTCCAGGTCAAGCTCAAGGTTGAACACTTCAAGGAGTACTTACCACTGGTGTCGTCACTCTGTAATCCTGGCCTGCGTGATCGCCACTGGGAGCAGATGAGCGAGGTAGTGGGCTATCCACTACGTCCTGACCCGGTACGTACTGTGGAGGTGGTTTTAGTATTGTGGCCGTATAGCTGAACCTAAGTACTGTCCTGCTCGATGAAATCCAGTCGCGTCACTCAAGTTTGCGCCTTGCACCTTTTCACAGCCCAGTGTGCGCAACGCCCGGCGTGTACTTGAGTGACGCGACTGGATTTCATTGAGCAGCCCTCTAGTTGATGTAGTATAGCCCATGAAGGAAAGGCTAGGTTCTTGTTTCTGATAGCTGCTTCTTTTACCCAAGTTTCGACATGCGTAGACTTTGACTGATCATGAAGCATCGAAGTACAGAAGGTATTTCGGAAAAAAGAGTCCGATCAAGAATTTCCTGTCTGTTTGGTATCAAGTTGGTCTGAGTTTGCACTTCAAGGAGTACAATGTGGCAGGAATGGATGTTAGCGTTTGACCACTGAAGAATGCAATGCAGTTTCCGACCAAGTTTACCAAGTGTACTTGTGTGCCATGTATGTATTTATGTGTCTCCAGGATACGACATTGAAGAGTCGCATCGACATGAACTTGGAGGCTCATCTGGAACGCTTCGAGACAATTAGCGAAGCCGCCAGCAAGGAATTCTCCCTGGAGAAGGCCATGGAGAAAATGATCACCGAATGGGACGAGGTGTGTGTCCGTATGTCCGTGTGTGTGTGTCCGTGTGTGTGTGTGTGTGTGTGTGTGCGTGTGTGTGCTGTGTGTGTGTGTGCTGTGTGTGTGTGTGCATGTGTGTGTGTGTGTGCATGTGTGTGTGTATGTCCGTGTGTGTGTGTGTATGTCCGTGTATGTGTGTCCGTATGTCCGTGTGTGTGTGTCCATGTGTATGTGTGTCCATATGTCCGTGTGTGTGTGCATGTGTGTGCATGTGTGTGCATGTGTGTGCATGTGTGTGCATGTGTGTGCATGTGTGTGCATGTGTGTACATGTGTGTGTGTGTGTGTGTGTGTGTGTGTGTGTGTGTGTGTGTGTGTGCTGTGCTGTGTGTGTGTGTGCATGTGTGTGTGTGTGTATGTGTGTGTGTGCACGCGTGTGTGTGCACGCGTGTGTGTGTGTATGTGTGCTGTGTGTGTGTGTCCGTGTGTACACTGTGTTTGTGTATGCACATGCGTGCATGTGTGTGCATGTGCATAATGTACGTCATGAATTGTAGCATCGTGTTCTAGAGGTGCAACCCAGAAAGTTGGAAGCTGGAGCTACAGTAAAACCTGTGACTACCGACCACCCGTTGGGGTCAGAGAAGTTGTATTTCTCGCCGGCCGAGCGCAGCGAGATAGGCGAGAAATGATTTCTCGCGAAATATTTTCAGTTGCAAATATGGCATCTGGTGTGTTCTTTGTTGTCGCTTATTTTCCTGACTTCTTCAGTCAGTTTTGAGTCTCACCAGTGTCCCTGCCCTCCCACCCTTTTTTTTCCGTGCATATTTTCAATGCTTTTTATCACTGTTTGCTGTGATGTGCTTGCCATGCCTACATGATGCCTAATCGCCATTGGGGATATACACCCGGTTTTTTCCCTCACAAATGCGTCCGTCGGCGCGAGGGTTTTTTCCCGGCTGGCTCGGTCCAGGAAAATTAATCTGACGGTCCCAAGTGGTTCTGCATCATGGCCTATTCTGCTATCCACTGGCACGCCTATTCTATCTGAGACACTCTGTTCTCAGTCCTTGCTTGCTTCCATACCTCACTCATTATCCGGTTCACATCTGGCTGCGGCCAACTACCCTTCACTTTGTGTGTTGTCGCTATTGCTGTCTATGTCTCTGTGTATGCCAGTATATGTGGAGCGAGAAAGCGGTTTTTAGTGGCAGGTGGTCCTTAGTTAGAGGTTTGCACCGCACAACCATAAATGAATGTGAGACCGTCCGTGCCTGGCGAAGTGGTCTGTAGTACCAAGCTGGTCACTAGTCACGGTGGTCTTTAGTTACAGGTTTTACTGTACCTGCATCTTGTGTTCATGTGCATTATGATCCTAATTATTATTTTATCTACCTGTGTGATTTTAGTGCCTAATGTGTATAGTGTATTCCCGTGTGTATGCATCCACAGATGGAGTTCACCATGATTGCATACCGAGACACTGGCACAAGCATTCTTTCATCCGTCGACGACATTCAGAACCTGCTTGATGACCACATTGTCAAAACGCAGACAATGCGTGGCTCACCGTTTATCAAGCCGTTTGAGGCGCAGATCAGGTAGGCTGCTTGTGTTTCGTCATGCACTGGATCCGGGTGAGAAAGGTGTGTGTGTGGGTGGATGGGTGTGGTGTGTGTGGGTGTGGGTGTGGGTGTGGGTGTGGGTGTGGGTGGGTGTGTATATTGTGTGTATTGTGTGTATTGTGCGTGCGTGTGTGTGTGTGTGTGTGTGTGTGTGTGTGTGTGTGTGTGTGTGTGTGTGTATTGTGCGTGTGTGTGTGTGTGTGTGTGTGTGTGTGTGTGTGTGTGTGTGTGTGTGTGTATTGTGCATGTTCGTGTGCGTGCACATGGGTGGGTGGGGGTGGGAGGTATATGTGAGTGTCCGATTGTCGGCGTTTGTCTGCACCTTAGAACTAGTATTGCCTGGTTGCCATGCAAGGCTGTAGGTTCGCTGGTGAATCTAGGATGTGTGATTCATTCCTTTGGTACCTTGGTGTATCGGCAGGTCATGGGAGGGCAAGCTGCTGATGCTACAAGAAATCCTGGACGAGTGGCTGAAAGTACAGGCAACCTGGCTCTATCTTGAACCGATCTTCAGCTCTCCGGATATCATGGCGCAAATGCCCGAGGAAGGCAGGTGAGAAAGATGTTGCAGAGTGCATGTGGCGTTACTGGCATCTGCTGTGCGTATTGATGTTGAACTCTTAACCAAGGCAATTCATTTTGGTGCATTTTTGAACCTGAAGTAGCGTACTTTCCATCACAACTGAATCTCGTTTTAATAATTTCAATGCAGCATTATACACGGTCTCTGTTGTGTTGGTTCAATCCTACAGGCGCTTTACCACCGTGGACAAAACATTGAAAGCTGCCGTTACACAAGCGCTCAAGGTAGAGTCAGCATCAAGATATTAGAGTCGCTTCTGCCAATAAGCATGTGCTTAAATTCTCTAGCTGTTGCTTTAATTTGGTGTGGGAGAGAGAGAGAGAGAGAGAGAGAGAGAGAGAGAGAAAGAGAGAGAGAGAGAGAGAGAGAGAGAGAGAGAGTGAGTGTGTGTGTGTGTATGTGTGTGTATGTACGTGTGTACGCGCGCGTGTGTGTGTGTGTGTGTGTGTGTGTGTGTGTGTGTGTGTGTGTGTGTGTGTGTGTGTGTGTGTGTGAGAGAGAGAGAGAGAGACAGCCACACACACACACACACACACACACACACACACACACACACACACACACACACACACACACACACACAAACAAACATACACACACGCACGTGCGCACACACACGTGCCCACACACACACACACACAGCAAGGGAGCAAGAGGACATGTTGGTGACCTACATTGTCCTGTTGTGTTGTGCTTCGTAGGACTTGCATGTGTTGAAGGTCATTGACATCGACGAGTTGCTTCCCAAGATGAAGAACAACAACGAACTTTTGGAGCTCATTCAGAAGGTACGTATGCGGAATGTGTGCTCGGTGTACATGTATAGCGGTTGGCTGTGAGGAAACATTCTATTTGAAGAGCTGGGGTGTTTTTGATGCCAACGACATCAGATAGCGGCAGCCCAGTCAAGCTAAAGCCAAGGTTTTGCGTTTCATCCCCTTATATGTACATGTACATGCAGTCAGTCACTGACTGCAGATTTCAGCAAACCTGAGTAGTAAATGTTGCTCTCTGCCCAATTTTCCAGGGATTGAACGACTATCTGGAGAAGAAACGTCTGTACTTCCCGAGATTCTTCTTCTTGTCCAATGACGAGTTGCTCGAGATTCTTTCGGAGACCAAAGATCCAACTCGGTAAGCCTGCTGCTTCCAGTGTCAGCTCAGGGCGCCAAGCTACTCTATCCAGCTGCCAACGTTGTTTCCCACATGGCACATAGAACACACAGTTTTGGAATAGCCTTTTGAAGGGTTTTCGCAAGAAGGGAAGAAATGGCGTACATGTTCTGCTATGAATGTTGCCATGGAGCTAGGCACAAGTTTTGTATTTGCGGGCTACTAGTAGCAGCCTTCCCTGGAGGCAAAATGTTACATTTGACTTTCAACTTGTTATACCTGTTTGCATGGCATAACTGGTTTTAAATGGTGTCATTGATGCAATTGAAGATATTGATTTTCTTATTCTGGTAGTATCCTTGCGTAATCATACTGTGTGCTCTTTGTGGTCTCTCCCCCCCCCCCCCTTCAATACAGTGTGCAGCCTCATTTGAAGAAGTGCTTTGAAGGCATTGCAAAGCTCGAGTTCACCGAGATCCTGGACATCACACACATGAAGAGTTCCGAGGGCGAGGTACGGTACTGGATGCTGCACTGCACAAGACCATGCGCTGATTGGCCGGCTTTTTTATTTCGTGACGTCGGGCTGCATCTACGTGCCGCTCTACACGAACAGGCTCTGTATGTCGTGCAACAGCTTAGTGTGCTGCACTGGTCAGCACAAGTGCATCACGAATCTGCTGCATTGGCGCAGTTGCAGATAGTAGCTGTGACGACTAGCTAGCTAAGTCGATGTGCATCAACGCACAATTACAGATAACTGTGACGATTAGTTGGCTATGCCAACGTGCATCAACACAGTTACAGATAGCTGCAGGTGACTGAGTAGCTAAATCTATGTGCATCAACGCATAGTTACAGATAGCTGTGACGGCTAGCTGGCTAAGTCTATGTGCATCAACACACAGTTGCGGATAACTGTAGACGACTGGCTGGCTAAGTCGATGTGCATTTCTTGCCTGTTCTGTTCCGTGTACTTAGGTGGTGCCACTGATTGACACCATCTCCACTGCCAAGGCTCGAGGTCAGGTAGAAAAATGGCTGCTGGAACTCGAGATTGACATGATTGCCAGTTTGAAGAAGGTAATCTAGATGCTAGCGGGCGTAAAGATGTTGCATGAATACCTGTTCTGTGTATATCAACTACAGTAAAACCTGTAACTAAAGACCACCGTGTCTAGCCACCAGCCTGCTACTACAGACCACTTTTCCAGGCACGGACGGTCTCACATTCATATGGTTGTGCGGTGCAAACCTCTAACTAAGGACCACCTGCCACTAAAGACCACTTTCTCTGGCCCCAAGGGGTGGTTGTTAGTCACAGGTTTTACTGTATGTGTGCTGTGTAGCTGTGCTCTGAACTACTTCAGTTGTTGTGTTTGGTGTGCTGCATCTTACCCAGCAGACACCCCTGTGCTGTGAATTAACATGCTGTTGGCTAGTTTCACACATGGTACTAGTGTTGTGGACTGGACATGCTATCAAGATTTGTATGTCCAAGTTCTTCCGCAATATACGAAACAATTTTTTTCCCGCAAGAATGGAGTGCTCACTAGCTCATACATATGCCTAAGTCCCACTCGTCCTCCATCTGTGCTTATTTCGCAGGTCATTGCTGACGCCACACAGGCGTATATCAAGCGACCGCGCATCGAGTGGGTGCGTGAGTGGTGCGGGCAGTCTGTGCTGTGCGTGTCACAGCTTTACTGGACAAAGTACACGCACGACGCGCTCAAGACTGGGCCAAAGGTAGGTTTCAGCTCTGTTGTGTGTCTGGTGTGCCTGCTGTGGCTCAGTTCGGAATGGCCGATTCAGTACAGTGTCAGTATGGATGGTGGTCTTCACAAGAATGCCACACTCTTCTGTAAGGTCTTGAATATAGGCTTATCTACCGGTCTGTAAGAATGCTGGTACAGTCAGACTTCGTCTAACCGCACATATCCGTTTTCCACAAAAATATCCGGATAGGCGAGGGAACCTGATTATCGAACACACATTCTGTATATATCCACTACATATGCTGTAAATCGGTAACCAACGATTTTCTTCCGGATGGCGAGGGATCCGGATAAAAGAGGACTGGATAAGTGAGGTCTGAGGTCATATCGGTGTACATCCACTTGATCATTATCCCTTCACTTCGTCGCCTTTTCGTAACGTGGTCCCGGCGTTGGGTTTTGTTCATCTCCCTGCCAGGCTATGGAAGAGTACCTTGCCTTGAACACCAAGCAGATTGAGGAGATTGTGGCACTGGTGCGAGGCAAGCTGCCGAAGCAGAACCGCACCACGCTGTCCGCTCTGGTCGTGCTGGACGTGCACGCCCGTGATGTGCTGGCCCTGCTCGTGAAAGACGGTGAGTCATGGCGACTTGTTTTGGCCATACTCTGGTGTACAGTGGGTTTACTGATATGATTCAGTTCCCCTTTACAATATACACACATATGCATGAACCAGGTACAATCACTATAGTTGTAAGTATTATGTGAATTATTACTTTCGTGAACGGAGAGGAAGGACTACAAGAAGGAAAGGGGAAATGAGATAAGCTTGACATGTAGAAGAAAAAGCGACAAGGTCAATCGTGCACCTAGCCAAGTCTATGAAGACCAAACACTAATTGTAATATTACAACACAACTCATGGCATGCGACACCAACTATAGCATCACTACTATGGATCGTACATTCATGCATTCACAAGACAGATAAGGGTTGTTCGAAGCTAGCTTACAGGGAAACATTGGTCACCTTGGTCAGCATGTTGATTTCTACTGGCGCCTCTGCTGCCTCTGCTGCCCGACACTCATACTAGTGGTGGCTGATTTATTGGTGTTGTACAGGTGTCCAGGATGAAATGGACTTCTCATGGCTGAGTCAGTTACGCTACTACTATGAAGTAGGTTATTGTCACATACATGTACTCTTAGCTGTTGGAGTTCAAATGTTGGTGTTCAGCGCTATCATGATTGCTGCATGTATTCAGGATGCTGTCTCGACCTTGTATTGAAGCCCTGTCGTATTTTTGATTTCAATCTCGCTGCACTCTTCTTTCCTGCATGAAACCAGTACCAGGCTATCAACAATTTGTTTTCGGAGATCGCTGGCGCATGTGCAGGGGTGGCAAGTGAAGTCCGATCTCACGACTGCAACCGCCCGGGATTGTGTGGCCCTAGTTGATAACATGGGCGTTGCGGTGAAAACGGCTCTGCTGTACTCATGCAGCTGAACATAACTCACTTACAGCACCGGCACCACCATCACTCCCATCACCACTTCTACATCTCAATCTATAGAAGTTATGCGATTAAAACAATAATAAGAGGATGAAAAAAGTGTTTTTGCTCAGTGTTTCACGCACTAAGCGATCACCAGAAAACAGAAATGAAGTCATCCGATTACATCATCAGTTGAGATGCTTTTGCGAAGTTGCGGCCTCGCGTGGCGCAGCGCTGCACTTGCACTAGCGACTCACGTTGCATACATAGCGCCCATTAGTGAATCCGCTGACTCACGCTGTATGCTTAGCGCCCATCAGCGATTCCGCTGACTCACCCCATGGAGTCATTCGCATAACCTCTACGGAAGTGCTTATTTATCTCTCACGTTTCTGCGTGCAATTGTCATTGTCTTGTCCATCGTGCCTGTTCACAGGAGGGCGAGCGGCTTGTGACGCGCATGATCAACTCCATGCTGGCGTACGGGTACGAATACCTCGGTAATTCATTCCGTCTAGTCATCACACCGCTCACTGATAGATGCTACAGGTCAGTTGTATGCATGTACAGTGCACATGTCATGAGTACTTGACTACTCGAAATCCCTTTGTTCATATGTAGCTGCTAAGTAATTCTGAATACCATGATGACAACTCTTGCTGCAGTTGCTGCAGTATAAAAGAAATGCTCATGGTCTGGTTGCTGTCACGCTGTTCTTGTTTGCTTTGCAAGTTTGCTCTCTGTATGCCAGTTCAGGCATGCACGTGTATCTGATCGTGAAACTTATTTTCCCATCCATGCTTGCTCCTCAGGACCCTGTTTGGCGCTCTGCATCTTCATCTCGGCGGAGCGCCAGAAGGCCCGGCCGGTACCGGTAAGACGGAGACGGTCAAGGACTTGGCCAAGGCCGTCGCCAAGCAGTGCGTTGTCTTCAACTGCAGTGACGGCCTCGATTACATCGCTCTGGGCAAATTCTTCAAGGTAACACGTCAGTAGCCAATGTTATAAGCTTCGCGATACATGGAAAATCAATAAAAAATTCAATATTTTTGGCCGGAACACGGCACAATGGTTACTGGTTCTCCAACTTAGTACAATTCGTACCCATTCTGGTGTTATTCTCGGGTGCTGAATGTTACTGGCATGCACTGTGCCGGCATGCATGCACACTCTCGTCGCTCTAATCATTGCAACAGATGTGGAGGGCATCAACCCGGTATCCCTGACAGACCTGGAACATCTTTCTGGTATTACAAACTGGACAACCTGGTGCGGTGATGTGTCTGTTGAATGTGGAAATCAGTGCCAATCAATGACCGTCACCGGATCACCATTGCAGTACCGTTCCGTGTGGCCAACAGTCATCTCTGTTGATCCTCTTTTTTTTGTTCTTGCTTCTTGTTGGCCGGTAGGGTCTTGCATCCTGTGGAGCCTGGTCATGCTTTGATGAGTTCAACCGTATTGACCTGGAGGTGCTGTCTGTAGTCGCACAGCAGATTCTGACCATTCAAATGGGTATGTTGTGAATTTTCTCTTGTGTATCTATGTTTTTTTCCTGTGCTTGCCGGCTCACAGGAGCGGATGACATAATTACTTTCATAAGTGTTCTCATATTGTTTCTTGTGGCGCAGGCATTTTAGTGTTTTTAGTAGCTGCACTTTGTATCGATTTATTTGAGGAAGTTCTATACCCATGTTGTCGTTGTATACAACGCTGTCAATTTTTGGCTGATACCTTTACGTCATCACCTGTTTTACGAGCTATGCACCTCGACTGTGTTGCAATCCCGTGCGCAGGCATCAATTCGGGAGCCAACACACTGCTGTTTGAAGGTACCGAGATCAAGCTTGACCCGACTTGTTCGGTATTCATCACCATGAACCCTGGCTATGCCGGTCGATCCGATCTGCCAGATAACCTCAAGGTGCGTGGGCCGTCGTCCCCTTGTGTGAATAGTATTTCCATACCCACTGTAGTTGGCATAGCAGCTGGTCAGCAACTCATGTGCAGCGTGCGGAATAGAGATTGGGGAATGTGTGTGTTTATGAATTTGAAGACTCCAACGCAGCTGTGTTTATGGTTGAATAATGTGGTGTGTCAGGGGTATCTTTATCACTATACTATTCAGCCAGAATGTGTGTCTCCCTGCTTTCACTTTGAAGGTCCTGTTTTTGATGTACTACAAGACTCGTACCCCCCCCCCCCTCCCCTCCATTCCTTGAACTCTGCTGCTAGTATTGGTCCTTACCATAAAAGCTTCTTGATCCTCAGGCATCTGGCCTGATGCTCCTCGCTGCTACAGCTGTCAGTCCACATGCAGCCGGGCCAGTCACATTAGGTGGACAAAAGAACGAGGAGCAAGAAATGAGGTGTTTGTTCTGGCTTTTGACCTCTGCTGCTGCCGCTGCTGACACTGACACTGACGCTGATGCTGCTGCCGCTATTGCTGCTGTTGTTGTTGTTGCAGGCTCTATTCCGCACTGTAGCTATGATGGTACCAGACTACGCCCTCATTTCCGAGATCATGCTCTATTCATGTGGATTTATCAGTGTGAGTACACTAGTCATCCAGCCCTGTAGGCTGTAGGATGTAGGCCGTCAGAGGTGGAAGCGCAATCTGCTTGAAAAATGCTTGTGTTGTTTCGATAATTTCCCATTTCGCAAGCAATGTAAAATTATGTAGTGGAGTGGGAATTGTATAAGGAGTTGGAGGTGAGATATAACTATGTTTGACCCTCACGATTTACGCGATTTCATGCTCAAACACAGCATTTTTTTTTAAGTTTAATATGTTACTAAAGCTGTACTTGATGCAGCTCATCCAAGGCCCTTTCAGGCCTATTTTCATGGTGAACAAACCCAAACAGGGTGGGTGGGAGGAACGTACCGGTAGTTATATCTCACCTCCAACTCCTTATACAATTCCCACTTCACTAAACAGCGGTCCGGCCGTGTCCAAAACCTCACTCTGAACAGTCCACAGAAAACGGTCTGGGTCAGGTCCACATAACCGCTTGCCCGTATCCCGCCGTTCACCCACAAAATCATCACGACGAGGTGTGGCAACACTGGGTACATTGGAGGGCCTCGTGCACTGCGCGACCGGGCGCTTGTGTGCCTCACGCTCAAGGCGATGCCTTATGTGCTTCCCGAGGTAAGCAGCTACCTCTGGCAGTGGCATCCGGTAATTCTGATGGGTCAAACGCTGACCGCTTCACAGGTGGTGGATGTGATTGGGACCGTTTGGCCCGCTTGCGACGCCCGAGGTGGTGGCAATCAGCACTGTCCTGGTCTGAGGACTCCCAAGTCGGTACTAACACTGGAGCTCTGGCTAGAACTAGAGTAGCACTCACCCTCATCTCAGTCAGAGTATGTCTTTGATGAATCAGAACAGTCAGACTCACGCTCGGAGGCACTGCCAACAGTGTCCGCCGGACTCGTAGGCACCTAGGCCAAGCAGGTCGTGAGACCGTTCAGGCCGTTTAGGCCATTAGTGCTCGTCCTGCTGGCCATTGAATTTGGGTAGTTCCAGCGGCTTTATCTGGAACTGCGGAACACCAACATACCCAGCACTGTGTGGCACACTGTTTACCCAGTTCTGAACGTATCGTGACGTGGGATCCTCTGGACCATGTGGACGGGTGGCTGGATTCTGTGCGCTCACAACCCGGTGTGGCGCATCAGAGTTGGGGTGCGTCCTACTGGCTGCACCAGCCTTTGCTGGCCTGAAGCTCCTGGCTGCAGCATTTATGATGGGTGGGCGCTTGGCCTGTACACGGTGTACAGGAGACTGTGGCGGTGGTCTGACAGGTCTTGTCAGCTCAGACTGGGGTACGACAGTTACTGCAGGTTGGACGCAATCTCCTCTGTGATTGCTCAAACTAACGTTACTTTTGGCTGTCAGGCTCCACTTCCTGCACTGACTGCTCATCCACAGCGTTCATGTATCCAGAGCTGCGGTTGATAAAGTGAGCACCGCTGCGATTTGAGCGCACACTTGCAGTTGAGGAGCGATGTGAGCTGCGATGTGAGCTGTGTTGGCTGCTGTCGTCCGGAACACTTTCCTCATCGGATAGCCTAGCTAAGCCCTTGGCCAACTCCAGCTCCACCAGTCTTTTGTCTTGTTCAAATTTCTTTGCCAGAAATTCCTGTTCAAGACGTAATGTCTTTGCAGCGGCCTGAATCTTTGCTTGTCGTCGTGAAGACGATGTTGTTCTGGACGTATTACTAGTACATGACCCACTTGACACTGAGCTTCTTACAGATCTAGCATCTGCATCTGCCGCTTTCCTGGCTGCCAACGAAGGGAATTTGAAGCCTTCTGCCTCATCCCTTGCTGGCGGAATTCCTTTTAATCTCCTGCTTTTTCGAACTCGCTGTTCGCTCTCAGCTCGGTCTGACTCTAAGTCCGCCATCCGGCTCGAAGGACCAGTATGTTCTACTCGAACATGTCTGCGGACAGCGCACGACTTTGGTTTTTAGAAGACTGTATTATGTTACTCTCGCAACTCGAAATCATCCTGCCAAGGCAGTACAAAGGAATGTTCTGCTTCTCTCAAAGCAGAAGTGGAGATTCAAAAAACATTCGAATCACAAGATCGCGCGAAAGCAGTGTACGCGACTACGCGCATTAGACGTCAGCTGACGTGAATGCAACATGAGGAACGAAAGTAGTGTACGCGGCTACGCACATCAGACGTCAGCTGACGTGAATACAACATGAGGAACAAATGCGTGGTAGTATAATAATGCACAACAGTACAACAAGCAGTGCTGATAGACATACATAAAACGGAGTGGCTCTGCTGCATCACCTCTGCACCATAATCAGCGGGCTGGATATAAACTGTACATGAACCAAAAAATGGCAACGACGAGTAGTGAGCTAAATGATTTTGTTGGCAATGTGCCTGGTGGACAAAAAAATGCAAAACATCGTCGCTTCGCTTGGTTTGCAGTACGACACCTTTGCCTTGCGATGACTGTCGGCTTTCCACTTCCAGAATGTGAATCATGTCTTCCTAGGGTTCGGAAATGTCATCTAGTGGTGTTTCAGGCCGACAGAGCCACACAGAGAGCAACAGAACAGCAGCGAAAATTCGTGAAAAAAAGGCACGAAGGTGTTGTTTCCGGAGGAAGTAAGAGGAAAAATATCCAAGGCACGTCTTGTTCAAGCATGAAAAAGGGCCTGAAAGGGCCTCGGATGAGCTCCATCAAGTACAGCTTCTATAATATTAAACTTTAAAATAAATGCTGTGTTCAGGCATGAAATTGCGTAAATCGCGAGGGCTAGACATAGTTATATCGCACCGGAAACTCCGACATGCAATCACCGTCATAGTACGAGGTGTGCTCACACATGTGGGTATGGTGAATGCGCAGAGTGGTCAACTCTCCCTTCCCTTGAAGAACATCATTTTGTTGCATGTATTTCTTCGGCCACCTCTAGTCATGCGATTACTCGAATCCCCCGAATAGAACGGCTATAATGACCGTGGAAGGAGTGCTGTGTATGGTTTGACAATACTGGTGCTTCATCATTTCTATGTGTTGCTGGTGCTCCCTGCAGGCTCGACCACTGTCTGTGAAAATCGTGGCCACGTATCGTCTGTGTTCAGAGCAGCTCTCGTCACAACATCATTACGACTACGGAATGCGAGCTGTCAAGGCTGTGTTGACGGCCGCTGGAAACCTGAAGGTAGGATGGGATGCCGCAACACTAAGGAAGAGCACACCATTCAGGTTCTTCCACAACAACAGAGTGGCTGCTCTTTCTTACTGTTGTAGTGTGTTGTCTCCGAGGAAACTGTTTGTAGGATGCCACGTGTACAATTTGTGACAATGCATACCTAAGATCACAGTTTCACCTCCCTGGAAATTGAGCAAACTATTGTACATGCACATACCTCCCAGCTTTGCATGCAAGCCCGGAGTCACCTCCTGGGGGGGGGGGGGGGGGGGTACGGTCCCAGATCGGCTTCAGGGCAGATCATTCCCCATGCCAGATTTCAGTATCATGGGAGAATGCATGTCTTGTTCTGTGCATCACAATAATCTGGCTGATTCAGCTACACGTCATACTAGCGACAGATGTGTAGCCAGCTCAGTAGACCTCATTGGACACGAAAAACAGATCAGGAAGGAGAGCCTCTTAGTCTAGCAAGGAGTACACAGGAATAGCCTATTAGTACTTTCACGTAATGAATTGAACACTGGGCATCCCATGGACGCTGGGATTGGTAACATCTGGTGTGGCCATGTCCGTACCCACCGTGCCAGTGGCTCTGCGCCAGCCAGGGTATGAGTGGCTCCGCGCCAGCCAGGGTACAAGCGGAGTCTGCAAAGCGAATTACACTTGTTGCATTCCTTGCATGACAGCATTCGCTCCACACTCCAATATTACTAACAGAAACTCTGTAATCAGCGAGCAGTAGTTCCGCTTTCGTGTTCCGCTCAACTTCAAAAATCGTGTTTATCCTGAACATGTGATGGCTTGTTTGTCTTCTCTACTTAGCTCAAGTATCCCGAAGAGGACGAGGACATATTGATGTTGCGATCGATCATTGATGTCAACTTGCCGAAATTCTTGTCCTTTGATCTACCGCTCTTTGAGGTGAGCGCGTTTGGTTTTTGCTGTAGTTACAGCTATGCTACGTCGACTTGTATGCAGGCTGTATGTTGCTCCTAGAAGGATGTTCTTGCCATCTCAGAACAAGCTGAGACAAATGATAGTTGTTTTGTATAAAATTAAGTATTGCTTCCAAGCAGCTGCAATGACTGGCTGGGTACATAAACCGATGGCCCGTGATAAGCTACACCAGCCCTGTACTATCCTCATGTTTCCCTCGCACCATACATGTACATCTTTGTCTACATCGTGCTGTACATGTATCTTCTTACACTGCTTGTCCAGGGTATTACGTCTGATCTCTTCCCTGGTGTCAAGCTGCCCAAATCGGACTATGGTGACTTCATACAGTGTATCGAGGAGAACTGCATCAGATTGAATTTGCAGATGACCGAGATCTTCCTGACCAAGATTCTTCAGGTAGGCGTGCCTCACCCACGTTTATGCATTCCTTGTACACGGGTCAGCCGCAGCGGTACATTGGTCCCCTGACGTACATGTACACTGAGGATCACATTTGACTGCAGTATACCGGCAGTGGCCCAAGATCAAACGTCATGCCACATTGCCCATGTCCTTGTTTCTGTCAGATTGGGGCAGGGGCTCTTATCTTGTATTCTGGATTTCATTGTATATTGCATGGCGGTGCAATACTGGCTTATCCGGTGATTATCTTGGTGCTTTCATTCGCGGCTGTCGTAGATCTACGAGATGATGATTGTCCGTCACGGCTTTATGATAGTCGGAGAAGCCTTTGGAGGGAAGACCTCGGCATATCGTGTGTTGGCAGGTGCACTGAAGGACGTAGCAGAAAAGGTATGTTGAGTGCTGAAACAAGGGTTGCTTCATTGATGGTTATCACCTCATGTCATGTCATCGAGTTCCTCAATGGCTGTTTTTTGTATTACCAAGACAAGAACGGCATTCCACTAACCAAGGTACATTGTACTATTCAGGGTACAGTATCTGACAAAGTCATTCGTTTATCATACTTCCCCTGTGTGCTACTGGTGCTTGTTGATGTGTAGAAAATCATGGAGGAGAACCCTGTGCAGATCACTGTGATCAACCCCAAGGCCATCACGATGGGCCAGTTGTATGGAAGCTTTGATCCCGTCTCCCATGAATGGTCCGATGGCATTCTGGCCGTCAGCTACCGTGCGTTTGCCACGTCGCCGTCGAATGACCGCAAGTGGCTGATCTTCGACGGGCCAGTCGACGCCATCTGGATTGAGAACATGAACACCGTTTTGGATGACAATAAGAAGGTTAGTTGAGCTGGGTGGTCAGGACTTCAGTTTTGAAAACCATGGTCTCAACATGGAAGTCTGGTTCATTGAAATGAGCTGGCACCAACACAGCGTCACTCCCAGCACTGTGCTTAGGAACATGACTAATTGAGTGGCTGGTAGCATGACAATATAGCCGCTTCTGGATTGTGTTCCGTGAGATAGCAGTACATTGTAGATATCATCTGGATGGCTATCGGGGCATTTTCCCCGGTGTTAAATAAACCATAACATTATGTATGCACAAAAGTCGGAATGGTCGGTTGCAACTCCAAGTTTCATGCTGAGCGACCATCAGGCAAATTAGTAACGTTGAACGGGGAGAATAAGCTCTTATATTATGTCATTACACTCTCTGCATTGTGTGTGTTATGAGTCTACTCATGATGCTCTCTGCATTGTGTGTATGTACCTCTTTTGTGTGATGTGTAGTTGTGTTTGATGAGCGGTGAAATCATCCAGCTAGCCAACACGACCAATCTGATCTTTGAGCCACAGGACTTGGAAGTAGCGTCACCAGCTACGGTCAGTAACCTCCAGTATGTGTCGGACACCTCGAGGGAAAAACAATTAACACAAGCGGCATTGGAGTGATCAAATTCTTGATTACTGTGTGAATTGGCAGTGATTTAGGTTGAGTGTGATCGATCAATCCATGCTTTCATGTGGCTAGGGTTTTTTTTTAATCATTGTCTGACTTGCGCTGCAGGTAGATTGAGAGAGGGCAGTAGAGACAGCATGCAGTGTATGTTGTGACAATGATGTCTCCCCATATGAAATGCTTGAATGTGTATTCGGTTTAAGAGTGCCACCGGTCCAGACTCACGGATGGGCCTGTTCTGCTCGCAGGCAGTGGACAGTCCTACACTTCCATGTGTGCAGCTAGTACGCTGTCGGTGTTGTATCGCTGTGAGTGTGCACACCTGCATGCATGCGTACATGTGTACGCACACAAGCACAAACGCACGCACACACGCATGCACACACACACACACACACACACACACACACAAACTCTCTCTCTCTCGCACACACACAAACTCTCTCTCACACACACACACATACACATACACACACCATATGCATGCACACACACACACACACACACACACACACACACACACACACACACACACACACACACACACACACACACACACACACACACAAACTCTCTCTCTCTCGCACACACACAAACTCTCTCTCTCTCTCTCTCACACACACACATACACATACACACACCATATACCACACACACACACACGCACGCACACGAACACACACACACATACTCGTGCACGCGCGCGCACACACACACACACACACATCAACTCTCTTCGTCTCCGTGCTTGCAGGTCAGTCGCTGTGGTATGATCTACATGGAACCTCACATGCTTGGCTGGCGTCCACATCTGCTCTCCTGGATCAACACACTGCCGGAGACCATCACTTCTGATCAGAAGAAATTCATCACGGAGCTCTTCGATCACAACATCATGCCAGGGCTACAGTTTGTCCGCAAGGGCGGCTTCAGTGTAAGCCATACAAAAGGTTTTATCAGACACTTGACTTGACACAAGCTACATGTGCATGCTAGTAGAATATCCTAAGCTGGCTGGGCCCATACTCCCATACACAGTGCACTAATCTTAGTTGACAGTGCAATAGTAAGGGTTCCTCCTCCATATGTTCCATGCCAACTAAGAATGAACCAAGGCTCTCTTTCTGTTCTTCTGTTCCACGTCGCGTGTTGTGTACAGGAACTGTCTCCAACGTCCAACACCAACCTTGCAAAGTCGTGCATGAACCTGATGGACTGTTTGCTAGATGATTTCACCGATCCTGTAAAGTTTAAGGAACTCAGCGCCCACCAAGCCAACAGGAGAATCGAGGTAGGGTTACCGTGCATTGCGTTTAGATTGTGTCTGTTAGCGGGAAACTTGTGTTCTGGAATCTTCTTTTGATGAAGCTTGTGTGGGTTGTTTGACTTGTCGGAGCATGTTCGTTAGGACCCGTCGGCCGTCTCAATATGGTTTGTACATTGTACATTTGTGGCTGATTTCCTTGTTGTCTCTGCAGGGCGCATTCCTCTTTTCCTTTGTCTGGTCGATTGGCGCCTCCATCAGCAAAGCTGGCTGGCAAGCTTTCAGCGACCTGGTTCACGAGCTGATGAGCGTGAGTCTGCTTGCGGCACATGTGTGTGCGCGCGTGTGTGTGTGTGTGTGTGTGTGTGTGTGTGTGTGTGCGTGCGCGTGTGTATGTACATATATGTGCGTGCATGTGTGGATGTGCGCGCATGCATGCATGCGTGCATGTTTTGGACCTGGTATTGCGCCCATGTCGGCATGTGTATTCAAAGACAGACGTGTTTTATGTGTTTCAGCGTCTTAGTAGAACCTTCAGTCCCGTCACCTTTGCTTGTATTGTCATGACAGCAGAACTAGGCAAGTTAACCGCTGGGTGCAAGGAGAAAGCAATGCTATCTTCCAAATATGGAAAAACTGGCAAAGTCCACACATAGCAGCACCATGGAAGGCATGCTCAGCATATGCAGCAAATTAGGAGTGCTCTTGTCATGTGAGGCAGTTCACTTACAAGGATATCCTCCACCATCTACTCCTTCATTATGTTGTTGGTGCAATACAAGGTGTGTACTAGTTTTGAGTTTCTGCAATGTTGTCCAGAATCATGTGGATAGTGCTTGTTAGATTTGTTCTAGAATATTCCGGTCTTTCTTTTGTTTTGATAGTTGTAGTCCAGTGCATTAGTGCTGGTCATGCTTGGTAGGTCGACTGAGACTCATTCATGGCTGTTACATGCATTGTATGCTATAGCCTAGCCGTAGCTGACCACTGTTACGGATGTCCAATCCAGGTCAGTGTCTAGTGTTTGACCATTCATGTCTGAGTGTGTAACCTGAGCACACTCTCTATGTGCACCGTACCATATCCGAGCATGAATAGTTTAGTAATCTACGCACTGTCCTGGCGTGCTCGTTTTCTATATCTTCCGTTGTTCTCATGTTCTTAGTTAGTTGTTTTAGTTTACAGTCTTCGTACCTTTCGTAATGTAGGTTCTTTACTGATTGCTGCAGTGCATTTAGTTGGAACATTTTCTGGTCCTTCGAGCCGGATCCGACGATGTCGGAGAAAAGAATTAGCTCGAGAACTACGAAGGGTAGGCCGCCTTCTAGGCTTGGTGAGTGGGACAGTGTCTCAAAGGCCTCGAGAACGTCCAGCAAAGCGGCTGAACTAGAGGTCTTAGTCGCGGAGAAAGAGTTCGAAGCGGCTGAGGAGCTGGCTCAACTTGAGATGGAGACAGCGGAGCAACTGGCGAAGAAACGCTTGGAGTTGCAGAGAGACGTGATTCAGAAGCGCCTAGCAGCAGATAAGGCAGCTGTTGCACTTGAACTCTCCTCCGTTGGGAGTCGGCACTCTGTTGCAGGCTCCGAGGCAATGATGCCAATCGCCAGTGCAGGCAAGGAAACTCAGAGTCCAAGATTGACGACGAGTTTGCTGGAGCGTCATGCCCAGTTTCTACGTAGGCTGGAGCTCAGCAATCTGGATACCGGAGCTGGTAAACCCAGACAAGGAGCTGTCACGCTTAGTCGTGCTGGCTTTGACGCAGATCCTCGTCCGGAGGAAGAAGGCGATCTAGATCAGCAAGGCCCGGAGAATGGCGCTCAGAGTTTGCCTGACCTCAGCAAGGTTCAGTTGAGTAACAGTGTGGATCTACAAACTGCGGCGGCAGATTTACTAGGTTCAGTGCCTGTGCCTGTAGACCGTGTGGATAGCTCGGGAGCTGCAGTAGGTGCGCAGGGCACGGGAAGTGTTCCTGACGACCACAGCTCGATCGCTTCTGTGTCCTGGGATCATCACCAAGGTGTGAACAGTACAGGTCGTGCACTGGCTGTAGCTAAGCCGCCTGTGCAAGCTCAGCCAAGTCGGCCCCAGCCTTCCAGTCACCAGAGCCAGAGGCAGATCACCATTCATCCAGCCACTCAGGTGAGCCACGTGCACAGCAGCCTCAACCCTGGCCCAGGGCCAAGTGCATTGAACTACAATCCAGTGAGCTCAATCAGACCAGGACTGGCAGGAGTAAGATATGGCTTACCTGCCATGACCCAGCCAGTGACAGCATCAGTGAATACATGCCTAGGGCCTGGTGTTGGCAGATCATACAGTGTGGCCACTACTACTAGTACTAGTGTTACATGTGGTGTCACACTCAGTAATTGGAAACCAGTGACTGTGCAGTCCAGTTTTGCACCCATCAGTTCTGTGCAGGGACAAAGTCACAGGGCACAGAAGTCAGCAGCTACCACAGTGCCAGCACCTGCTGCAGCAGTATTGTCTGGTCCAGAGCAGCTGCAGATTTACAACAGCATGCTGTCCAGACAGCATTTGAGACCACTAGAGCTGCCAAGATTCAGTGGCAAGACAAACGATTACAGCCGGTGGAAGCAGCGCTTTAAGCAACTCATCGACGACGATGCATTCTTGTCAGAGGGGCACAAGTTCGCACGTCTGCGAGAAGCGCTGACAGGTGGTGACGCCTATGAGTTGATTGCCGAAATTGTGGATGGTCCTGGTGCCTACAATGCCGCACTGCATGAGCTAGATGCATGGTATGGCGGGCCAACACGGGACATCGACCGGTATGAAAAAGAATTGATGTCAGCGCCGCGACTCGTCAATGAGCGAGACCTCGACGGGTTGAAGAGTTTTGCCGTAAAGCTGAGGAATGCACTCATCAATCTCAGCGCCAGCGGCATCACACCAGGGCGAGAGTTGTACCTAAGTGTCACGCAGAAGGTACCCAAGTCAGTGTTGACACGCTTTATGGAAAAGCACGACGACTCGCAGTGCGACATTGGTGCCTTCTCAGAGTACCTGCTCAAGAGAGTCCAGCGTCTGCGCCAGGTCGAAGAACGAATGAGTGGCGCCGAGCTGGCTGAACAGCGACCAAGTAGTGGTGGAACCAAGTTTGGCAAGCGGCCCGACCGTACGTTTGTAGCAACTACTAGTGGCCAGAGCCCAGACAGCCGCAACGATTGCATATACTGCAACAAAGACCATGCACTCAGCGATTGCCGAGAATTCAAGCAGTTGACAATCCCTCAGAGATGGGACTTCATCAAACCAAAGCCCGTCTGCATCTGCTGCTTTGGCCCAGGCCACAAGGCAAAGTCATGCAAGCAGTCCAAGTGCAGCATCTGTAGTAGGCCACATCATCGCCTGCTACACTACACGAAGTTGAACCAACGGACAACCGGAGCCAATAGTCAACACAGCAAGGACCGCTCAGCTTCTTGTCAGGATACAAGCACGGAGGCATCAGCAGCTGACAAGGCAGCACACACCCAGACTGCATGTGGCACTACCATCGAGCCCAAGTCTGTCGCGTTCATGACTGTTGCCACCACCGCAAAGGGTCCGACAGGGTCAAGGAAAGCTAACGTCTTCCTGGATTCAGGATCTTCTTGCAGCTTTATAACCACAGAACTCGTCAGCCAGCTCGGGCTACAGACAACGAAAGCTAACGTCCCGCTGGATACCGCTGTTCTGGGGGGAGAGAAGCTCCGTCTGGAGCATTATACATCAGCTGAACTATGTCACGCTGATGGCCAGTCGTCAACGACCGTCAGAGTGTGGATGCTTCCGCGCATCATGCGTCCCGTCCCAGCCTTCGACTGGACAGAGGAACTGAAACGCTGGCCGCATCTCAGTGACGTCGTACCTGCAAGCAACGAGTCCAGAGTGGATCTGTTGATTGGTCTCAATGCGCCGCAGCTGCACATTTCACTTGCCGAACGATTCTGCAGTGAGGGAGGTCCAATTGCCAGGAAGACACCGTTGGGCTGGGTACTGTTCGGCGAAGGTCCGACTGACAGCGCATCAGAGATGACGGAACAATCACTACTGGCTGTAAGTGACAGTACACTGATAAACACCGTCAACAAGTTCTGGGACCTCGAGAGCGTTGGCATGCAGGCCAAGAGCACATCATCCTACCTGACTCCGGATGAGCGTGAGGCTGACGCAATGACCGTGCAAAGTCTCCACCACAACGGCACACGGTTCGTTGTCGGCATCCCATGGCGAGGCGACGGTAGCAAGCCAAAGATTCAGCAGAGATCGGAACAGTACGCCAGGAAGCGGCTCTGCTCGCTACACCGTCTGTTCCAGAAAAATCCTACTGTACAGCTGCGCTACTCAGAAGTGCTTCAGAACTACCTGAAGAAGGGCTACATTCACACAGTATCAACGTCCGCAGTTCAGGCTGCTGGTGTCGACCAGTGGATTCTGCCTCATTTCCCAGTAATCAGAGAAGACAAGGCCACAACAAAAGTTCGCGTGGTGTTTGATGGCTCAGCCAAGGTGCACGGAGAGTGCATCAACGATCTCATGCACACCGGTCCGAAGTTGCAGAGTGACTTGGTGAAAGTTTTACTCCGCTTCTGTCATCAGCCGATCGCACTCGCCGCAGATATCTCTGAGATGTTCTTACAAGTCGAGCTGCGCGAGACGGATCGCAAGTACCATCGGTTCATGTGGAGTGAGTCACCACAGGACCCAGTGGTGTTCTTTGAGTTCTGCCGGGTTGTATTCGGCATGCGTGCATCACCTTACCTCGCAGGAAGAGCACTGAAAGCAACGGCAGAGAAATTCAGCAGCGAGGCTGGCGCCGAGGTAGCAAAGGCCATTGATGACAACTTCTACGTGGACGACTTGCTGATGTCGCTACCGTCAGTACAATCTGCAATCGTCACTCGGAGTGACCTTCAACAAGTTACACAGCGTGGTGGTTTTCACTTGCGGAAGTGGATGAGCAATACGGCAGCGGTGTTGGATTCCATCCCACCGGAAGATCGAGCCAGCAACAAGATGATGACCATAGCCAGCAGTGAACTGCCACCTCTTCCTCACAAGGCTCTTGGAGTCGCCTGGGAGCCAGATGATGACCAGTTCACATTCATCTATCCAGAACCGAGCAACGTCCAGTTCACACGGCGAGGAGTGCTCAGTCAAATGTGCCGACTGTTTGATCCCAGAGGACAGCTGTGTCCATTCACCATCCGCAGTCGCATTCTCTTCCAAGCCGCCTGCATCCGTGGAACAGACTGGGATGATCCTCTGGACAGTGATCAAGCATCAGAGTGGAAGCAATGGTTCTCAGAGTTCCCAAGTCTGAGAGATGTGAAGGCAAGCCGATGCTTCACCGAGATCAGTTCAGATCAGCCTCTGACACTCCACACGTTCACAGACGCGTCTGCATCAGCTTACGCCGCCGTGACGTACGCCCGACAAGAGCGTGATGACGGGACTGCAAAGGTGACATTAGCGCTCGCCAAGGCAAGACCAACACCTATCAAGCGCAAGACCATCCCCATGCTGGAACTGCAAGGTGCAGTGCTAGGCACTCGGTTGAGCTGCTCAGTGGGTGAGGCACTTGATGTTCCTGTATCACGGCAGTACTTCTACACTGACTCGATGAATGTGTTGTACTGGGTAAGATCGCCCAGCAGGAAATTCAAGATCGAAGTCGGAAACCGCATCTCAGAGATCCAAGAGTTCAGTAATGCAAGTCAATGGTGTCACGTCAGCACCACAGTCAACCCTGCTGATATGCCAAGTCGAGGTGTTGGTGCGACGCAGCTGGCCGATGATGCAACATGGTGGACAGGTCCAGCCTTCTTGTCCAAGCCCACCTCCACATGGCCCAGTAAGCACATCGTGCCGCCAGCAGAGCTTCCAGGTCAATTGAAACGAGAGATCACGATGGTAGCCACTACGCAAGAGCTGCCCACAAGCCGTCTTCATCCAGACCACTTCTCCTCCTGGGATCACCTCGTACGGATAACCGCATGGTGTCGACGATTCGTCAACAATGCTAGGCGACGCAGCACGCAAGCCGCCAGTCCTGAGATTGCGACCACGTCCATAACTCTACCAACTGGGAGAAACGTCTCCGTGCCAGAGTTGACAGTGTCCGAGCTATGGAGTGCTAAGTGTGTATGGATCAGCTTGGCTCAGCGAGAGGTTTATGGCAGAACGTTTGCAGATGTCACAGGAGGCAAGGGCCTCTCAGCATCCTCACCGCTACAAAAGCTTCAACCAGTACTAGACGCCACTAGTGGCGTTGGTGTTCTCAAGGTCAATGGGAGACTTCGCACAGCACACCATCTACCACCCGGCATTCGGACACCAGTGATTTTACCGAGAAGTCACAGAACAACAAAGCTGATCATCGCAGCAGCCGATGCGAACGCCAATCATGCCGTCGGTACGAACCACCTTCTATCACTGCTCGCTGGTGAATACTGGATAGTCAAAGGCAAGGCAGCAGTCAAAGAGCACAGGAGCAAGTGCATTCTCTGTCGGAAGCGCTACGTCAAGACGGCAACACCAGCAATGGCACCGCTTCCTAACTTCAGAACGTCTGGACCACAACAACCATTTGCGAAGGTCGGAGTGGACTATGCTGGACCATTCTACACACGCCAGGGTCGTGGTCGATCTCAGGCCAAGCGGTATGTATGTGTCTTCACCTGTCTCCTGACCAGAGCATGTCACTTTGAGCTCGTCTACTCTCTAGATACTGCCGGTTTCCTGCTAGCTCTGAGCCGGTTTACTAAGCGCCGCGGAGTGCCACAAAAGATGGTGTCCGACAACGGTACCAACTTCGTCGCGGCAGATCAAGAACTGAGAGCAGCTGTAAAGTCACTGGACAACTCCAGGCTTGCCGCGGAGATGACGTCACGTGGCATCTCGTGGGCATTCAACCCACCAAGGGCGCCTCATTTCGGCGGTGTGTTTGAGGTGATGGTCAAATCCATGAAAAGAGTGCTACAGGGTGTGCTGTACAGAGCTGATTTGACAGACGAGGAATTACACACGGCACTGGTTAACGCCGAAGACCTCATCAATAGTCGTCCTCTCTGCACGATGACGTCAGATGTTGAGGACCTTCAGCCATTGACACCACAGCATTTCCTAGTTGGACATGCCAATTCTACAATGGCCGCTGAAGTCAACATAACTACAGAGACGCAAGTTCACCCAAGGAAGCGATGGGAGGTCGTACAGCGCATCATCGACGATGTGTGGAAGCGCTGGCTAAAAGAAATCGTCCCAAAGCTGAACGTTCAAGTGAAGTGGTTACAGAAGCAGCGTAACGTTCAGGAAGGAGACGTTGTGCTTGTGATGGACGAGCACACCGCAAGGTCACACTGGCCGCTTGGGCGTGTGACAGAGGTCTATCCCGGCAAGGATGGTATTGTTCGAGTGGTGAAGGTCAAGGTGGCTGAAAGATTCTACAAGCGAGCTGTCCATCGGCTTGTGCCCCTTGAAGTCGAAGGTACTGAGTGAACACTACTTGCAGTCTGTTAGTTCACTTCATTGCTACGTTATTTGCACTTTCTTTTTTTTGACTCACTCAGATGCTAGTTATCACTCTTCGTTCGTGAGGGAGGTATGTTAGATTTGTTCTAGAATATTCCGGTCTTTCTTTTGTTTTGATAGTTGTAGTCCAGTGCATTAGTGCTGGTCATGCTTGGTAGGTCGACTGAGACTCATTCATGGCTGTTACATGCATTGTATGCTATAGCCTAGCCGTAGCTGACCACTGTTACGGATGTCCAATCCAGGTCAGTGTCTAGTGTTTGACCATTCATGTCTGAGTGTGTAACCTGAGCACACTCTCTATGTGCACCGTACCATATCCGAGCATGAATAGTTTAGTAATCTACGCACTGTCCTGGCGTGCTCGTTTTCTATATCTTCCGTTGTTCTCATGTTCTTAGTTAGTTGTTTTAGTTTACAGTCTTCGTACCTTTCGTAATGTAGGTTCTTTACTGATTGCTGCAGTGCATTTAGTTGGAACAGTGCTCAAATGTACGCATTGGTATTCTTCCGTCTGCCTGATCCGGAATACAATGAGTGCTTCCACCTGCCTCTTCCGGAATACAATGAGTGCTTCCGTCTGCCTAATCCAGAATACAATGAGTGAACTTCAGACGAGCCTTACTTATGCTTCTTGTCAGCATTGGAACAATTTATTGCATATGTAGAATGCCTTGCTTTTCCCTCAACCCTTTGACACACTGCTCGTCATTTGTTGTTGCAATGTTTCAATTCTAGGGCCCGCTGTCCCAGGAGACGAAACAGCGCTTGTTCATTCACGAAGAAGTAGGCGCTCCCAAGCAAGAGTTTCAGCTGCCATTCCCAAAGGGCCATCTTGTGTACGACTATCGCTTTGTGCCAGAGGTAGGTTGTTAGAGTAATGGTGTGCTGTCAGGTTGAGTGGCAAGGTCGTCTATACCATCAGCACAGTTGACACAGGAATAGTAATGCTCATTACAAACTGTGCAGCGTGAGTCAGCTAGCAATGGGGGCTAGTATGGAGCCCCAGACCTACAAACACTTGACTGTGCACTGGTACAGGGCACTGTGCAGCCCAAGACCTGCACGCATTTGACTGTGCACTGGTGCAGGGTGCTTTGTTGTCCCTGACCTGAGAACACTGGGCTGTTCATTGGTGCAGGGTGTTAGCTCAGTCATTCGCCTGGCTTTTGTTGATCATGTTGATCATGTTGATGATGACACACTGAGGCACTGCACTACCAAGCAGACCAACTTCTAGCAAGCAATTTCTGCGTGACTGCGACAGGTATTTGTGCCGGGGTGTGTGACCGTTCTTGCAGCTTCACATTCCATGCTGCTCTCTGCAGCTTCTGGCATTCACTGTCTGCTGTTTGTATCTACTGATGTTACAGGGTGATGGCAGTTGGGTGCCGTGGGTTAACGAAATCGAGTCAGCGCCACCAATACCAAAGGTACATGCAATTATTTCCCTTGTAAAGTGTGTAGTTTTCATTTCAATACTTTTTCTATCTGTGGGCCACTGTGTTTGGTGGCTATGGGCCAGCCTAGTTACTTCACAGAAACTTGTAGAGTGGGTATGGTTATTATTTGTCTGCACACAGCCTCCTGCCTAAAATAACACCTCTAGCCCTGAATCCTATACAGCCCCCACATTCACACGCAGCTTTTCATACAGCGCTACAATACCCACCCTCTCCTGGCGTATATACCGGCGTGGCCCGACCATCCTCATGTTGCCTGGTGATTGCGAAAGCATGAAACCTGAAGTAGCGGCAAAACAAGCCTTGATTGCCCTTGTCGCAGTACAGTCCTGTAGAAGTTAGAAAACGAAACAACAAGACAACTGGACAAATGGCAGGCAGGATGAGTCTTGAGGTGTTTCTTGAGTATCCAGGCGATGCGCTCATACTATCCATTGCTTGCCAGTTGATTATTGTGGTCACACAGTTGAATTGACTCCTTTTATCCGAAGGCAATTCAGCATCGGCTGACCAAGATCAAGTTTAGAAGAAAAAAAGACTGTAGGTGACTCTTGTCAGTTGAACTCTACTGCATGGAATGTGCGTGTGTGCTGTACAGGATGCGGCTTTCAATGAGATCATTGTGCCGACCGAGGACACCATCCGCTACACCCACCTCATGGACATGCTGGTGACGCATCAGAAGACAGTCCTGTTCGTCGGCCCCACTGGCACGGGAAAATCAGTCTACGTGGTGGTAAGTGTGCTATCACAGACTTCATGCTGGATTTAGTGGCTGACGAGTGCACAGTACTTGAGCTAATAGGGAGTACCTGTTATTCGTGGGAAATGCTTGGTTTATATCTCCATCAGTATGATCATCTTAGTTTGCTTGTACAATTTGCTGGAAGTGAGTGAGCAGTGAACACCCTTGCCTCCTTTCATCCTTCCATCATTCTGCAGGATTTCTTGCTGAACCGGCTGCCAAAGAACGTGTACAAGCCGGTACTGATCAACTTCTCAGCACAGACTACTGCCAACCAGACGCAGAACATCATCCTGGCCAAGCTTGATAAGCGGCGTAAGGGTGTCTTCGGACCGCCCATGGGGCAGAGGACGGTAAGACAAAGCCAACTTGTGAAAACGTTCTTCTCCGGGCATTGTTCATACAATCTGTCCTGCAAAGCTGCATGCTGATTCGAGGCCTGAAAGCCACATTCCGTGGCACCTCGAAACAATGGGCGATGGTATTGTTGCTGCTGCTGCTGCTATTGCTACAGGTTGTGTTTGTGGATGATATCAATATGCCGGCGAAGGAAGAGTACGGCGCCCAGCCGCCGATTGAGCTGCTGCGCCAGTGGATGGACCACTGGAACTGGTACGATCTCAAAGAAAACACCATGATGAAGCTGGTTGACATCCAGCTCATGGCCGCAATGGGACCTCCGGGCGGTGGACGTAATGACATCACCATGCGATTCCTGCGCCACTTCAACACCATCACCATCAACAACTTCAGCGACGAGTCGATGACGCTGATTTTCGGCCGCATCATGGACTGGCATCTGTCCAGGTAACTATGCCGCTTTGGTTAGACTCTCTGATAGCAGGGCTTTCTTTTTTTTTGTCTGGGGTTAATGCAACAGTGTTTCCAGTTGGTGGAAATCATGGAATGGAACTGCTAATTTCTGTTAAAATTCCAGGGCGGTGATGCACAAAGTAAGAGCCCTCCTTTATCTGGCTAACATGCGATAGTAGCCAGGTATCTTCACTTAGTGTTGTGGGTCTGCTGACGATGCACCACTTCTCTCTCTCTCTCTCTCTCTCTCTCTCTCTCTCTCTCTCTCTCTCTCTCTCTCTCTCTCTCTCTCTCTCTCTCTCTCTCTCTCTCTCTCTCTCTCTCTCTCTCTCGCGCTCTCTCTCTCTCTCGCGCTCTCTCTCTCGCTCTCCCTCCCTCTCTCGCCCTCTCTCTCTCTCTCTCTCTCTCTCTCTCTCTCTCTCTCTCTCTCTCTCTCTCTCTCTCTCCCTCTCTCTCTCTCTCTCTCTCTCTCTCTCCCCCATGCCTGTGCTGGCGTACACAGAGGATTCGGTCCCGAGTACGCTGCTATTGGCAATCACATGGTTGTGGCCACCATGACAGTGTACAAGGAAGCCATGAAGAACCTGCTCCCGACACCGCGCAAGTCACACTATCTGTTCAACTTGCGTGACTTTGGCAGAGTGATCCAGGTAGGCATGCCGCTGCTTGTACTTGAGCGTGTACCATAGCAGGAAATGTCATCATACAGTGCTGGCAACTGAAATCCGACCCCTGAGCGGTGCGCTCACATCGCGAAGACCCAACACGAGATAGTAAACCTACGAAATAGAGACCGCTAGGATGTGAACGTATCGCTCAGTGGTCGGATTTCAGTTGCCAATACTGTATGTAGCCATGTATAGACAGGCACACAAGGTAGCGCTACCCTGATCACACACATCACGTAGTTCATGTGTCAGCGTTCCCAATCGTGCACACGGTGTTTTGGTTATGGCTGCGTTTTCCTGTCACTCTCAGGGATGCCTGCTTTCAACGCCCGATGCACTGGCAGAGCCCAACGTTCTGCGCCGTCTGTGGGTTCATGAGGTGAGGTGATTGTGTGGGTGGCTGCTTATTGGGGTGACTTCTTCCTGGGATCACCATTTATTGGGTGGACTGCTTACTGGGGTGACTGCTCACTGGGGTGACTGCTATTGGAGTGACTACTTTAATTCTGGAGTGATTGCTTTCTTGGATGACTGCTTATTGGAGTGACTGCTCACGGGGTGACTGCTCAAGGGGTAACTGCATCCTGGGGTGAATACTTACTGCGGTGACTGCTTATTGAGGTGATTACTTACTGCTGTGACTGCTTACTGGGTTGACTGCTTACTGGGTTGACTGCTTACTGGGTTGACTGCTTACTGGGTTGACTGCTTACTGGGTTGACTGCTTACTGGGTTGACTGCTTACTGGGTTGACTGCTTACTGGGTTGACTGCTTACTGGGTTGACTGCTTACTGGGTGACTGCTTACTGGGTGACTGCTTACTGGGTGACTGCTTACTGGGTGACTGATTATTGTGGTGACTGATTACTGGGGTGACTGCTTACCAGGGTGACTGCTTACTGGGCAGGGGCGGATCCAGGATTTTTCCAAAAGGGGTTCAGTTTTCTTCCACCCTTACCAAAGTGTGTTAAAATGATGACATAAAAAACTAAAATGTGCATTTTGAAAATGACAGTTGCTGGACTACAGTGGTTAAGAAATTGGCTGCCGACTGATCGCCTGCAAATGTACAGTGCCTATAAAGTGGATAATCAAAAGTATTGTAGAATGGAGAGGATGACGACGACTGATGGAAATGAAATTTGCTGGAATACAGTGGTTAATAACAGGGTGGTTGCTGTCCTGCCGACGGATAGGCATGTATAGTATGAGCAAACAGATTTTAGCACTTTTTCAGCTCAAAAAGCTCAAAAAGGGCGATATTCACCAAAAAACGCAATAAAGGGCGAAAGAAACGGGCTTTTCCAAAAAGGGCGGGCACCTTTGGGAAAGGGTTAGAGGATAGGCGCTCTGATCCCATTGTCGAGCGCTCGAGCGCAGGTAGAGCTTCAGCCGTTTCAAGGCAGCGTTGCTGCGCTCATTCTCCGCAGAGGTGACGGGTAGTGTTGAAGCAATCCGGAGGAGGACGTGGATGTTCGGAAAAACATCGGCATCGCAATGCACAAGAGCTTCTTGTGGGGTAGCTGGAAGTAGTGTTGAAACGAACGTATCTATAACAAACGAGCGATCAGTTCCACTAACGAGCAAGCTATCGAGCGAGCTAACGAGTTTCATTGATGTGGCAAATATGATTATTTTTTGAATAATTTTTTTTCTAAGTTCGATTTTTTCAGCTGGTTCAAATTATCACCGCCGGCATTTGGGGTTGCTGCTGCTTCACTTCGGACTGCTGTCTGGTGTAGAGATGTCTTTTCAGCGCCGTCGTCGATTAGCCTTTGTAAGAATAGACCGTTTTGCAAAGATTGCAAGCAGCCCTGGTCTTCGCTGCATCGCGGGAGAAAACTTCCAAACGACTGAGCGTAACTTTCACTCGAATGGAGAGGTGACCGAAGCATATCCTGCGACAGGTCAGCAGATGCGGAACAAGACATCAGTAGAGTCCACCAAAGCTGCAACGACAACTGAAACAACTCAAGTGTCGTGCAGGCATACAGTCACCTGTAACTGCGAGTGATTTTCACTTTGCGCGGGATCGGGACTGGACTCTCGATCGACCAGGGAGTCGTAAAATATTTTACGACTCCCCGGTCGACATGTACTGCCATGTGTACGGAGTACGGTGTACGGTATTCGTTAGTGCAAACGAGCTGGCCGCACAAACGAGCCGAGTTTCTGGCGAGCGAGCTAACGAGTATCCAGTGAGATCGTTTCAACACTAGCTGGAAGTGCACCAGACTTCTCTGCTGCGTCCTTCCATTTCCTGACCCACTTTCGGATGTCAGTTGATATAGTTGAAGAGCTTGGCAGATCATCAGAATACATGTCGATCAAGCGTTGAATGTTGGCAAGTAGGCCTTTCCCATATCGGCCGGCCGAAAAATTCGCCGAAAAGTAGCCTTTTCAGAATATCGCCGATCTTTTCGCCGAATTCTGAGATTTTACCAAGAAATCGCCGAATATACATGTAATCTACGTGGAGATAATAATTTTAATATACATGTACATGTACATGTAGCTATCGATTCTGGGTTTTCGATCATATTTTTTATAAAATACACAGTAATACATGTCAAACAAGTAACGTAGTTGCGTGATGTCTGCGGCCTTCATCCTATTCATAGCTATATTGAATATACATGTACATGTAATAATAATATCTTTATTAGGATGACCCAGAGGCTTGTCGCCTATCAATACCTTATTCCTTGGACTTTTGCTGACTTGGCTCCTAGACTACAAGGGGTTCACCGCTTTGAAGGGTGTACATGTACATGTACATGTATGAGCTAAAGTGAAAGTAGTACATGGACATGTTTTGCAGGGTCGTGGGCAACTGGCCATGACCACTCGTACGCGCCTGCGTCACGGCCCGTGGGCATTTCCCAAATCGGCCGAAAATAGTGGTTTTGAAGAAATCACCGATCTTTTAGCCGAATACGCAATTTTCGCACTGAATTCGCCGAAAATTGATGTTTTAGTGCCTCAATAGGATGCAAATACAATTTCTGTAGCCATTATCTGCGAAAGGTGGCTGCGACTTTAGAGCCGAATTTCCACCTTTTACAGAAATTTTCAGCCGATTCTGGCGATTTTTTCAGCCGATCGAAAAGCCGAATAGGCCAAGATAAATGGCTGATTTGGGAAAGGCCTATTGGCAAGGTGTTCGTCTGAGGGTCATATCAATGTACATGTATCAATGTAACATCTGCATGATTCAGCTCGGGCTATATATGCGCTACGGCAGGCCAGGATCCTAGGAGCAATTCGCATGCCTGGCTTTTGTAAAAAAAAAAAAAAAAAAAAACTGCACCATGGTCGGAAAAAATTTAGGGGGTTCGTTTGAACCCCCGAACCCCCTGGATCCGCCCCTGCTGGGGTGACTGCTTATTGGGGTGACTGCTTACTGGGTGTCTGCTTATTGTGGTGACTGATTACCGGGGTGACTGCTTACCGGGGTGACTGCTTACTGGGGTGACTGCTTACTGGGGTGACTGCTTACTGGGGTGACTGCTTATTGGGTGTGACTGATTACTGGGTGACTGCTTACTGGGTGACTGCTTACTGGGTGACTGATTACTGGGGTGACTGCTTACCGGGTGACTGCTTACTGGGGCGACTGCTTACTGGGGTGACTGCTTATTGGGGTGACTGCTTATTGGGGTGACTGCTTACTGGGATGACTGCTTACTATTGTGTTTCAAAAGTATAGACCTCTAGACTTTGAAATTTTTCAATTCAAATTTGGTTTGAGCTTTTTGAGAAATTTCTTCGGAATGTTGCTCCGGTAGCTCCCGCAATTCTTCTCATAATTATATAAATTTTTAAGCGATTGAATAACAAACGCCTAATTTCGGAAATTTTAAGCACAAAGTGTTCACAGATTTATGTGTTGTAGACGCTGGCCTAACGGTTTTTTGAAACCAGAGGTCTGGACTTTTCAAACACACTATAGGGTCACTGCTTACTGGTAGTGACTGCTTACTTGGGTGAATACTTACTCCCTTTTCGTGACTGATTACTGGACGTGACTGATTACTGGGGTGACTGCTTACTGGGGTGACTGCTTACTGGGATGACTGCTTACTGGGATGACTGCTTACTGGGGTGAATACTTACTGGATGTGACTGATTACTGGGGTGACTGATTACTGGGGTGACTGATTACTGGGGTGACTGCTTACCGGGAGTGACTACTTACCGGGGTGACTGCTCCTGGGGTGACTGCTTACTGGGATGACTGCTTACTGGGATGACTGCTTACTGGGATGACTGCTTACTGGGGTGAATACTTACTGGATGTGACTGATTACTGGGGTGACTGATTACTGGGGTGACTGATTACTGGGGTGACTGCTTACCGGGAGTGACTACTTACCGGGGTGACTGCTCCTGGGGTGACTGCTTACTGGTGTGACTGCTTACTGGGGTGAATACTTACTGGATGTGACTGATTACTGGGGTGACTGATTACTGGGGTGACTGATTACTGGGGTGACTGATTACTGGGGTGACTTCTTACTGGGGTGACTGCTTACCAGGAGTGACTGCTTACCGGGGTGACTGCTTACTGGGGTGACTGCTTACTGGGGTGACTACTTACTGGGAGTGACTACTTACTGGGATGACTACTTACTGGGAGTGACTGCACACTGGGTGACTACTTACTGGGGTGACTGCTTACCGGGTTGACTGCTTGCCGGGTTGACTGCTTGCCGGGTTGACTAGGGCCGCTGCTTACTGGTAGTGACTGCTTACTGGGGTGAATACTAACTTACTGGGACGTGACTGATTACTGGGTGACTGCTCACTGGGCCGACTACTTACTGTGGTGACTGCTTACTGGGGCGACTGCTTACTGGGGTGACTCCTTACTGGATGTGACTGCTTACTGGATGTGACTGCTTACTGGGGTGACTGCTTACCGGGGGTGACTGCTTACTGGAATGACTGCTTCCTGAGGTAACTGCGTCCTGGAGTGACTGCTTACTGGGATGACTGCCTACTGAGGTGACTTCTTACTGGGGTGACTGCTTACAGGGGTGACTGCTTACTGGGGTGACTGGTAACTGGGTATGACACAGCTGTACGTATACATAGATGTACTGAAGTGTTATTCTCTAATTTCACTCTGATACTGATGCAAGGTGCTATGATCAAAGGTGTGTATGGAACATCGTATAAATGGTGGTTTAGCGTGTGCGCTAAGCCCTGTTAACGAACGTGGAACATCTACCACTCATACTTAGTCTGATAATCATGCATCTGATTATGATGTCATTGCTATACATGCGCATGCGCAGCGCGTGCCACTCTCCCACGCGTGCTTTCCAAATCTTGCTTTAGAGAGAGAGAAAGAGAAAAGAGAGACTCCTTTGTCACTTTTGCTTTCCGACGACTTGACTGTTCACTGGTTTGTCCGTCAGTTGTCAATTTCCCCTTCCCTCCCAACCCCATTCGACTGGGGATCACTATCTCTCTCCCCACTGTCACCATAATTTCCTCAATCACAGTGTCAGTACAACTCTTGTCAATATACTTATATCGGGTGAGGGCAGTCTATCTCCGCAGCTGGCTCATTTCAATCACTACCGGTCGCAGCTCCTGCCCACTGCAGGCCGACCATCTCTCGTTCACACTCTGTGTGCTCCAGGTCACAGCTCATGCGCAGAGCAGGCCGACCTGTCTGTCTCTCTCTCTCTCACACACACTATGTGTGCACCGGGTCACAGCTCCTGCGCAGAGCAGGCCGACCTGTCTTTCTCACGCACGCCAGCTGCTCCGCCCAATATCCCTGATATGCCAACCAGAAAACAATGTGTTCTGAGCCGGGTGCATGCCTGTATGTGGAGAGTGTGTTAATTATGTGTGTTAGTCATACAGTGATTGATGTCTTGTGGCGGTACAAGGCGCACTGACAATGAACGTGAACAATGAACACGGGAAAGAAGCCACTCAAGCTATGGGCATTAGTACTGTTTCATCCGTAAGGTACTCATCAGCACGATACAGGAATTTGTTGAATTTGACCATACATGAAGAGTAGTTACCAAAGAAACAATCTGATTTGTACTTCACATGCCAGGAAGGAAGTTAAGTGTGCCGTGGGTAACTATGAGTATACACTTAGTCTTGTTCGTTTTGTTTACCTTCTCAATGCTAGCTGCTTCTTGTGTGTGTGTGTGTGTGTGTGTGTGTGTGTGTGCGTGTGCGTGTGTGCGTGCGTGCTTGCGTATGTGCTTGTGTATGTGCTTGCGTACGTGCGTGTGCGTGTGTGCGTGTGTGTGTGTTTGTGTGTGTGTGCGCGCTCGCGCGCGTGCGCGTTCATGTGTGCGTGCACATGTGCGTGTGTGTAACATTTCATTGTGCACCCACAGGTCATGCGTGTCTTCTATGATCGTCTAGTAGACGATTCAGACCGCGAGTGGCTCGTCGAATGTCTTCGCACTGTTGTGAAAGAGAAGATGACGTCTGACTTTGACACGATATTCGCACAATTGGATGCTGATAAGGACGGTGAGCTACGTGTGGTCTCATGTCTTTCCAGCAGCAATAATAACTGCTGATGCCATGGTCTTGTTTGATCACATTACTACCGGTGTACTGGTATGCCCATTGGCCTGTTGCTGTTCTCGTTGTGAGAAGAGTTTTTGTACAAGCAGTGCATGCCTTGTGATTAGCCAGTCACCACCACTCATCGCTGGTTTGTTACCCTCCGCTGCATCCTTTGCTGACATTTGCATGCTTGGTGTGTGTGTGTGTGCTGGTGTGTGTGTGTGTGTGTGTGTGTGTGTGTGTGTGTGTGTGTGTGTGTGTGTGCGTGCGTGCGTGCGTGTGGGTGTGGGTGTGGGTGGGTGTGCATGCATGCATGTGCATTATGCGTTTTTCTTCTATTCCTAGGCACTGTGACGGAAGACGATCTGCACAGTCTGCTGTTCTGTGACTTCCTTGATAATAAATCAAGTTCATACCGTGAGGTGCTCGATCTGGACAAGCTTCGTCGCACTGTAGAGGGACAACTGGAGGACTACAACAACATCAGCAAGAAGCCCATGAACCTTGTCCTGTTTAGGTGCGTGTCTGTGTCTTGTATCGTGGTGTGTTGGTGATGTTGATGTGTTCCCTGGCCTTCCTGGCGCACTTTGATGCTGTCAACCCGCGTGTGATATTGCGCATTAGTTCAGCAAGGTGTAACACCAGCTTAACTACGTAGAGTTGCTCTATGCTGAGCTCTTGATCATGGCATGTGTTTGTGCGGAGTAGAAACTCATGACTCAAGTTTGCTGGTGGTAGGGTTCCTGTGTTTTCGTTTTCTGAACACAACTTTTCGTAGGCGTATTGCATGTGACTAATGTCGTACCCATCGTCTCTCTGTTCCAGGTTTGCTATCGAGCATGTGTCAAGAGTGAGTCGAATCATCAAGCAGCCTCGCAATCATGCCCTTCTTGTCGGTGTCGGTGGTAGCGGTCGTCAGAGCTTGACCCACCTTGCCTCCTCCATGGCCGAGTTTGAACTCTTCCAGGTAAGAAGACACTTGCTTGCTGGCACATTTCTTTTTACATAGCTTGGATGGTGCTCACAGATTGCTGGTGTGGTACCTCATTAGCTACCGGTATCTCTACATATAAAAAAATCGTGGTGATTCCTCTCGCCGGATTGTACTTTTTGATGATGACACCTGGGCTCCATAATATTACCATTTTTTCAGTTAGCGAACCCAAGAGAATGTGCTTGTATCCTATCAGGAAAATTGAAAAGAGGGTGAAGAAGAGAGGTCATACCAGCATCTGTTCTTGAGAAACATGTTTGCTGCTGCTGCCGTCTTCTCTTCTCCCGTTCAGGTGGAGATCAGTAAGAGCTATACATCGGTGGAGTGGCGAGAGGACTTGAAGCGCATTCTCCGTCGCTCCGCCGAGGGTACCAGCCCGTGTGTGTTCCTCTTCACCGATACTCAGGTATGGCATGTAAAGTGATCTGACTGGAAGGAATACAGTATACACCGGCGTGTTGTAGCATCCAGGGAGACAACACGGGCAACTGGAGCATGACATCATGTGGGTTTAGACCCCGGGCTGCCCGTGGCATTCACTCTGGGGCAGGGCCGATTTGTATCGTCACGTATGGCATCACTGGTCCGGGCCGCACTTGGAGTCGGCAGGTCAAGGTCACGAACGCGACCTTACACACCATGGCTCACATAGAATTTTCCTATCCAGGGTTTGAAAGGACACATTCCTCGTGCACATACAAGGTGCAGACCTCTGTATAGCACGTGTGCGTGCGTGTGCGTGTGTGTGTGTGTGCGTTTGCGCACACGTGTGTGTGCGTTTGTGCACACGTGTGTGTGTGTGTGCATCTGCGCGCACGTGTGTGTGTGTACATATGTGTGTGCACATGTGTGTGTGCGCGCTATATTATATAGATATGAATACATGTGAATTTGGGCACACACGTATGTCTAGAGAGCTGCCATGCACTTTGCACCACATTGCTCATTTCGATTGTTCTCCCTGAACATGTAATCACGCAGATCAAACAAGAGTCATTCCTCGAGGATATCAACAACCTGCTTAATGCCGGTGAAGTGCCCAACTTGTTCGCTGTGGATGAACGTGCTGAAATCTGTGAAAAGATGCGCCAGATAGACAAGTAAGGGACTCGGCGCAGAAGTCGTTTTGTTTGGTGTGTTGGTTGGCTGCTGTATTTGAAGGTTTCTCCATTGGTGAATGCACGCCTCTCAGGTAAAAGTCTTTGGGGATGGAAGTGCTCAATCTCCGTAGGATACTTGTAGAAGTACACTCCAAAGCATGTGCTACACATTAGTGATCATGTGCAGCCGATTTAATGGTCTTTGGATAAGTTTTCTTTTTGGCTGAACACTATCTCGCTGTGATTGTTCTTTTCCGTTGTCACTGCCAGGACACGTGAAAGGTCTAAGCAGACGGACGGCACGCCAGTCGCCCTGTTCAACTTTTTCATATCACGTGTCCGCGACCAGCTGCACATCGTCCTGGCGATGAGCCCTATTGGCGATGCGTTCCGGCAGCGCCTCCGCAAGTTCCCGTCGCTTGTCAACTGCTGCACCATCGATTGGTTTCAGGTGAGTTGAGCGTTGCGAGACGTCCTCCTGGCAAGAGCACGTGGTGTTGCACCGCGTGGTGCACAGTGGAAAGCCATCACACTTCCGTGGCACTTTTGTTTATATCCGCCTTGCAAGCATGCTCACTGCCCGGCGTTCATCACTAGGCCATATACGACCTGTGCTGCACATGAATTACCACTGTATCTGTGCGGCCTACACAGTCATGCACATGTACTAGTGCGAGGTTTTCATGTTCGTAATCTGCGAAGTTCACACGCGTGTGTTTTTGACTATGTACCGTGCCTGCTATGATCTACCTTCCTGCAGTCATGGCCGGACGATGCGTTGGAGGTTGTGGCGGAGCGATTTCTGGAGGACGTAGAGATGAGCGACGCCGAGCGGGGTGGCTGCGTGCAACTCTGTAAGATCTTCCACCAGAGCACACGTGAGCTGTCTGAGAAGTTCTTGACCATGCTGCAGCGACATAACTATGTGACGCCGACGTCCTACTTGGAACTGATCAGCACCTACAAGACACTTCTCGCAAAGAAACGAAGGTGAGAATGCCACCGCCGTCGCTGCTCATCGTGCTCGGTTGTTCCTACTGGGAATAACTGCACTGATGTGAACAGAGAATGTTTGCCTACTGAAGCAGTGATGTCGCTATCGGTATTGATACTGTCTTTTGTTTTCTATCACTATGCTATCTCATTCCCACACAGTGAAGTAAGCAAGCAAAAGAACCGTTACAGTGTTGGTCTGCAGAAGCTGGCATCAGCTGCTGAGCAGGTATGGCTATTATGGACGTGTGCATGCAGATATGGCTACCATTGAGCAGTACAATCATGTAGTGCTAGCTACTGGCTGATTACTACTGCATATCAGGTACTAGCGCAGATACGTGGAGAATACTTTGATTTTACTTCCCCCCCCCCCCCCTCCATGTTGCCTGTCCAAGAAGCGTGATGTATGTGTCTGTGTGTTGTGCATGCGTGTGTGCTCATATATGTGTAGGTGACGGGTATGCAGGCAGAGCTCAGTGCTCTGCAGCCGCAGCTGAAGGAGGCTGGCAAGGAGGTGGACGAGATGATGATCGTGATCGAGTCGGAGAGCAAGGACGTGGCGGAGCAGGAAAAGATCGTGAAGGCCGACGAGCTGGTTGCCAATGACCAGGCAAAGGAGGCGCGTGGCATCAAAGAGGAGTGCGACTCTGATCTAGCCGAGGCCGTCCCCATCCTAGAATCTGCCCTGGCTGCTCTGAATACGCTAACGCAGCAGGTGAGGGCAATAGGCAGTTCTCCTACTAGTTGGGCAGTTTAGTTTCTTTGTGTGGGAATAGTGCGGCAGAGATGACGTTGACAGCACTTCAGTATGTGTATGGTGTTCTCTCTCGGGTGAGGGATGTCTGCTGGCACTGGCAATGTCTCCTCTGGACCCGGTGCTCACAGCACTACACACATACGCCCGTCAAACCAGTAACTCATGTCAACTGTACCTCTATTTTCTCTGCGAATTGTGTGTTTCATCTTTGATGTGCTTGCTGGAGAGGGAGATGGAGAGGGAGAGGGAGAGAGAGAAGGAGGGAAGGGAAGGGGTGATTCTTGTGTTGATTCTGGAGTTGTGAGCAAGCCCTGCTCCAGGTCATGCTTTTGTGTACGTCTCCCTGGCACTGTGCACCGCTGTGCATTGTTTTTCTCACATGTGATGATGTGTGTGTGTGTGTGTGTGTGTGTGTGTGTGTGTGTGTGCATGTGTGTGTGTCCATGTGCAATCATACGGACGTGTGTGTATGTGTGTGCATGTTTGTGTTATGCGTGCATGTGTGTTCCACCCTACTTTGCAGGATATTGGTGTTGTGAAGACCATGAAGTCTCCACCAGCTGGCGTGAAGCTGGTCATGGAAGCTGTTTGCATTCTGAAGGACCTCAAACCGGACAGGATCCCCGATCCTGGTGGCACTGGTAAGGTCCTGAGAGTAGCGTGGCTGAATGGAGACGACGGTATGCGTGTGCATGCATGCGTATGCAGTTGTATATTTGAAAGCGAACTGGTGCTGCTTTAGACATCATTCTGTCATATGATGTAGCCGTTCTCATTGTGTATGTGTGTGTTTGTCTCAGGGCGTAAAATTGAAGACTTCTGGGGACCATCTAAACGTCTTGTCGGAGAAATGGGTTTCCTCAAATCTCTACACAGCTATGATAAGGTATGTTGTTTTAGGTGGTAGCCTGTCCTATGGGAACTTGGCACTGCTCTTTGTCTCTATGCGGCGTGTGTAACATATTCCGGACTAGTTCGAGTGGGTTGATGCCAAGGTGCCGTTGCGTGGTAATTAGTTCACGAGACTTGCATGTGTGTGTGTGTGTGTGTGTGTGTGTGTGTGTGTGTGTGTGTGTGTGTGTGTGTGTGTGCGTGTGTGCGTGCGTGCGCGCGTGTGTGTGTATGTGTGTGTGTGCGTGTGTGTGTGTACGTGTGTGTGCATGCGTACGTGCGTGTGTGAGTCTGTGTGTCTGTCTTGATCTGTCTCATTCAGATCTTGTCCGCTATCGTTGCTATAAGAGAAAATCTGTGGGTGCACATCCAGTGCATTTGCAGATCTGCGTGCTTCTCTTGCGACGTGCGTATAACGTTACATGGTACATGGTGTCTGTCTGTCTGTCTGTCTGTCTTTTTGTCTGTCTGTCTGCCTGTCTTTGTGTCTGGTGTGTGCGTTCACACTGCTTGCAGGACAACATCAACCCAGCCCTTATCAAGAAGATCCGCGACATCTACGTTCCTAATCCTGACTTTGTGCCGGAGAAGATCCGAAACGCGTCCACTGCCGCCGAGGGTCTTTGCAAGTGGGTGCTGGCCATGGAGAAATATGACAAGTAAGCACGTCAGAAAACTGACCTGCTGTTCGTTGTCATCAGCTAATTGGCTGCTGTATATTTTGTGTAAATTATTTGTTCACTAGCCAAGCACATACAACAATCCTTTTTCAAATTGACCAATGGTGGCTGCTGCACTGTGGCATTGTGGCATGTGATTTTCTGCTTCATCTTGGTGTGCAGAGTGGCCAAGGTTGTGGCTCCAAAGCGAGCCAAGCTGAAGGAAGCGAATGCTGCCCTTGCCAAGGCTATGGAGGTGAGACGCAGGGGTGGTTGACATAAAGCTGAGCCACTGGCTGGCGACCGTCTCCTCCGCTCGGTCATCCCGGTGTATTGGTGTTTGATGTCCATGAATTGCGTATCTTGGTTCCTAAGCTGTTGTCCTTGATAGCTACGCACTGCACTGGCTTGTCAATTGCTGTCATGCTCAAGCTCCTGAGCACATACTCATTGGCTGCCAACTGCAATAATCATTCAAGCTCTGGCGAAACAAAGGATGCTCAGGAGCCTGTTCTCTTTGAATGTGGAGAAAGAGAGCTGATTGGAAGATATAAGCTACTCAGTGCAAGCAATGCACAGCTTTCTATCATCTGGCGAGGTGGTGGATTCAAGACTAGGTGGCGAGTACTAGTTGGTGTCGATTAGAATACTGCAATGTTGGAGAGTAGGACATAGAGGAGGAAGAAAGACAAGAGAAATATTGAGAAGAATGAGCATTGCATGGAAGCATTGCAACCTCAGAAGTGGACCTGCATGACATGAAATGCCTATGTCGGTCCGTGACTACCCTACCAATGCAGTGGCATTGGTGGTAGTGGTGGCGGAGCTCTTTACCTGGCATCATCTCCTGTTGTTCCTGTTTGCCCTGTGTTGTTCCCTGTGTTGTTCCCCGTAGGCTCTGAGGGCCAAACAGGCTAGTCTGAAAGCAGTCCAGGACAAGCTGGCACGGCTAAGGGAGAAGTTCGACGCCAACACGCGCAAGAAGCAAGATTTGGAAGAGCAGGTGGGTAGTAGTGAGTAGCTCTTGGCAAGCCAGCCCGTAACCGTTGAGATTGCTATAGCCCTTTCCGCCTGGCTACTAGTACTTACTCCAGGAATTCCCGCCGGTGCCCGCGCTGCCGCCTACAACAATCCCAGTATACATTTGTTTAAAAAAAATTCCAATTCCCTGACCAGTTTCGGAAATGTTTCATCTTCGTCTCTTTGGAAAGCTATAGATCTCCTCTCGCCACATCCCACCTTTCCGGCCACTTGATACCCAGCAGGAGCAACAGAATCGCCATCATGCCCTTTGAGAGCTGCCCTACTGCGCCTAAGCTAGATACTATACCAAAGTCCACAAATACAGGATCCGCTCTGTGAACTGACTATCGGTGTGGTGCTTTGCTGTGAACTTGATTTCGGAAAGACCGTTAAGGTTTTCTGTGGGCCGTCGGTGTAGGGTATATTCTGTGAGTTGATTTTCGATGACATTTCGTTCTGTGAGCTAGGTTGTTTCATCAGGCAGGTCATTGTTGACTTCTTTCAGACCAGACTAGGCTAGTCGTGTCATGGCTAAAACACAGGTTTGCATTGCCTTCGTGTTCTGGCTGCTTGCTAGGTGGATAACTGTTCCAAGAAACTTGACCGTGCCGAGAAACTCATTGGTGGTCTCGGTGGAGAGAAGAAACGGTAAGCGAGGTCATCAGGTCTCCAACGTACTATTCTGTACATGTAGTTTGATTGCGGTTATGCAGACCCACTGCCTGCTGATGCTGTACTCTGGCATAGTTTGTGCTGGCATCGAAATAATTCTCGGCTACTGTAGAACGGGTAATTTTAGCGACTATTAATTTTAGCATTTTCCCATTGTCAACCGGTTAGCGACGTTTTATTTTAGCGATTTGCAGCGATTTTACTCACGCCGTCACGGATCACCAGTGCACTACTTATGTCTCAACGGATTAGCGACTTGAAACTTTAGCGAAAATGAGTCGATCGCTAAATTCGCTAGGGTTTTACGTCGCTAAAATTACCCGTTCTACAGTAATTTGTCGGTTGACTTTAACCAGGTATGTCTATAACGGTATTTGGGATTTGTGACATAGCACAAGGCTAACATGGATGCAGCTAATCGGATTTTCTGATCTTTGACACTGTGGCGATGGGTTTTGAACTTTTGATCCACTCGCCACCCAGCGCTTTAGGAGTGGCATCTGACAACTTGATTCACTAGAATAGAGGCTGCCTACGGATGCAGAAGGTCAATTTGACTTGGCTGCAAACCATTATTCTGTACACAGGAACAAGTATTAGAATTGAGCAGTTAATGTGTTGCACTGCCTATGCTTGTGCTCCTTTCACCGCTTGTAATGTGTGTGTGTGTGTGTGTGTGCTGCGTGTGCTGCTCCTATTCTATCCATACACTATGCAGCTGGTCTGAAGTGGAAGCTCAGCTGGGAGTCGTGTACGACAATCTCACTGGTGACGTACTAATCTCGGCCGGCGTGGTGGCCTACCTCGGTGCATTCACCACCGCATTCCGACAGGTTAGTCCCTTTCTTCCGCTCGAAGAGAATACTTCGCATGGTTTTTACTTTCTAAACTCTGCTTTGCCTTGGCTCAAAGACAGCCCTCCTCTAGTATGCACTGTCAACTCCTCCACACGAAGAATAGATTCCTGCATGAGGCACACCGTCACCAAAGGTAAAACCCTTGCTCGGCAAGTATGTCTTTTCTGCGACTAAATGCACTCTACTCGCAGTTATGCCTATATCCGCACCGTAGTTGCTGAATGGGCTAATCTGTCTTTTTTATTAGTGTGGAAGTACTCGTGTGTAGTAGTAGTAGTGTGTGTGTGTGTGTTTGTGTGTGTGTGTGTGTGCGCGCGCGCGTGCGTGCGTGTGTGTAAATCAATCCTCAGCCTAGGATCTGAATAGATGTCAATACTTTGCTGTGTTATACAACCTAGGAGCAATGCAAGAAGTGGTTGGAATGCTGTAAGAAGGGAGGTATCAGCTGCTCTAATGACTTCTCCCTGTCGACCACACTGGGCGAGCAAGTGGCCATTCGCAGTTGGAACATAGCAGGTTTGCCGACGGATAGCTTTTCTATCGACAACGGTATCGTTATCAGGTAAGCCGTGCACAACACCACCAGGACGTTTACCCCTCAAGGTTTTGTAGAGAATAGTGCACATTGTGTACTTGCTAATTTGTTGATCCTAGCAGCATATTGGCCGCTGTACCCGCATTCATGCAATTCTAGCAGTACGTGTGTATTGATTTCTATGTGGCGCAAATGCACACCGACTGTACAAACGCATTATTGCAATCCCGCTCATGCAATGCCGTGTACCAGTGTGCTCATGCTATGTCAAAAGTGTTTGTTATGCTTATGTGTGTACATGTGTCTGTGCATGTGTATTGTGCTTGTTTGTGTGTGTGTGTGTGTATGCGCGCGTGTGTCCGTGCACGTGTGCATGCGTATGTGTGTCCGTGTATGTGCATGTGCATGCGAGTGTACACGCACGTGGTTGGTGCATGCACGCATGTGCATGCATGCGTGCAATGCTGCGCTTGCTTATGTGCTTGTGGTGATGACTGTACCCAGTAATGCACGTCGCTGGCCATTGATGATTGACCCGCAAGGCCAGGCTAACAAGTGGGTAAAGAACATGGAGAAAGCAAAGAACCTACACGTTGTCAAGATGACAGACAGCGACTTTGTGCGTACACTGGAGAACTGCATCCAGTTCGGTACTCCGGTGAGTGGCTTGTAAAATCGGTTGTGGCAACAAACGCGATTAGGCCGGCTGCAGGGACGCCGTAATGTCGCACTCGCCCCAGCACCATTCAAACAATTCCCTTTGGCAGTTCACGGCACGAACTTCAACAAAGCCCCGTGAATGCGTACCAGGGGAAGGCTAGACAGCATGTCTCTAGACATCAATAGGCATCGTATGAAAAGCCAGTCAATAGCACTAAAGAGCGAAAGCCTTTGTCACGGTTCGGTTTCACTCGCGCACCGGGCCCGAGCTGGCAGCACAAACAAACGCCGGACGCGAGCTGGCAGCACAAACAAACGCCGTACTCACACGAGCGTTGGGCGAACGGATGGCCACAGCCATGAAAAACAGGAACAAACCCATCCACGGCTCTTTCTCTTGCTAGCTGTGCTGCTGCGTGCATCCAACTGTTTTGCAATTTCTCCCTCCCACCCACGCCTCCTGGTATTTATTATCGCTCTACACTATCCTACGTCTCACAATGAGTGCCACTCAGCATGATGGTACTCCAAGCTACATTGTATTTGATCTGTCCTAGCTCACTATTCTGGACAAAATATTAATTCAATTGCAATGAAGCGCCGGGGGCCGACGGGGGCATTCGGCGGCTTGGTCTGATTCCTAGCTTGTTGGTAACCGGCTTGAGATTTCCAAGGTTGCTATGACAACGTGCAGTCATGCGCAGGGCCACCCAACATGCATTTGGGGGCCCAGGAAAGACAGAAACGCGTTGCTAGGCAACAGCAAAAGCGCTCGGCGAGTATCACGCTACTCATGCAGCACGCACGTTGGCTTAGGGTATCACGCTACCCTTGCGCTGCGGGGTACCACATTGCCCCTCGCTGGAATCAGACCCGCGCCCCGGATACCTTGCGCTGGCCTCCTGACGGCCAAACTCAACCAACTACTTGTGCGCTGTGACTGGGGTTGTGCATGTATTAGCAACATAATGTGGCCGAGGTCGGCAGACTTTCAATTAGCCAAGCGAGCTACTCAGGCCAGGGTGCATGATCACTATTCGCAGCACTTATCGTCCATGCAGCAGTCGGGTTAACTGATTAAATTTCACGGTTCGCTTGAGACTCGGTGTAATAGACTGAGTTTTCAGCATCCGTAGGAACGCCGCTACCCTGTGAAATTTGTCACGGACATGAGTCGTGATCATTTCTGTGCTCCCGGGTTTCGGCACCAGTTTCGTGGTCGTTGTCATCGCATCGACAATCAAAGATCAAAGGTGCAAATGTAGCTCCTAGCTGATTGATGAGAGTTTTTTTTTTTTTTTTTTTTTTTGTATTCGCAACCTGGATGCACACACCTTTCTTCTTCACCCTGATTTTTCTCAGTTTTGGACTGCAATCACCAATCTTCTGGTTCACCGAGGGATGTCCATAGTGACGAGAAATTGAGATGAGAAGCTTTGGTGATTGCAAAACGAGACTGAGGAAGACAAAAAGAATATGTTTTCTAACTCTACACTGCTACATCCTGACAGCTTGGTTTGACTTCCCAGTGTGCACTACAACAAGATGTTTGCCAGCCGTCTGATAGGCGCCAAACTAACCAGTGGTACCAAGAGTCCATAAACAAGAGTATGCAACTGTGATCGCTTTTCTATGGGCCAGATGCGCGGCGCGCTGCCTTCATTACATCATGCAGCTGCAGTCCGCGCACTGCGGAAAATCAAACACCGCAATTTCCCTCTGGTTTGAAATGAACTTTCGTACGGAACTGGAGTTCACGCGCCAGAATTTAGAGATCGCGTAGGTACTGGAACGAATTGAGCAAAAACGGATGGGCTCGTACAAGAAATTGTGAGTTTGAATGCATGCTTTCAGAACGTGATGAAGGCAAGTTATGTAATGAAGGTAGCGCACCGCGCACTGGCCTATAACCACAGTTGCATACTCTTGTTTATGCACTCTTGGTGGTAGTGGTAGGTAAATCTTGCCTGAGCTTGGAGGGCAACTGCTTGAATGTACAATTGCCCTATTCGCAGCCTGTTGAAATCCAGCAGTTCTTTACTCTGTGTCATATTTTGCAGTATGACTTTCATTATTGTGTTGCTTGCCGTCTGATTCCTATGTGTGCCGTCTCTTGCACTGGTGTATGTATGTGTGTGTGTGTGTGTGTGTGTGTGTGTGTGTGTGTGTGTGTGCGTGCGTGCGTGTGTGTGTGTGTGCATGCGTGTGTGCGTGCGTGCGCGCGTGTGTGTGTGTGTGTGTGTGTGTGCGCACGTGCATGTGTGTGTGTGTTATCCAGGTCTTACTGGAGAACGTCGGTGAAGAGTTGGATCCTCTCTTGGAGCCGCTGTTGCAGAAGCAAACATTCAAGCAAGGAGGTGCCATCTGCATTCGCCTTGGTGACAGCACGATTGAGTACTCTAAGGACTTCAGGTGAGTAATGAGAGTGCGAACAAGCACAGCGTGCATGAAGGGGGACCGAGAGTGTGCTGCACCATGGCATGCATATAACCTAGTGCTGTCCACTGTACGGTACATGATGGTACATGCTCACATCTGTGCTTTTGTGCATTGTGGATCACCTGCAGGTTTTACATCACAACAAAGCTGCGTAATCCACACTATCTACCTGAGACAGCCGTTAAGGTGAGGACCATGATTACTCATAAGTTTGAGGGAGTTGGAAGCGGGAAACAGGAAACTCTGACTACAGCGGATGGTGTTTTGTTCTTGGCTTTTATACTCTGGTGCTACTCCTTGTCTACATTACTTGCAGTTGTCCAGTGAACATGGGTCCATGTGTACAGCTTCTGTTCCGATATTTTCAACAAGTCACTACTTTTTTGACACGGCTCTGTGGTTAGCTAAGTTGGCAACTGATGCATTCTTTTTTGAAAGGTTCGGACAACGCGAAGCATCCCCATTGTGACTGGCCTTCCCTATATGTGTTCTGCAGGTCACGCTGTTGAACTTCATGATCACCCCCGAGGGCTTGGAGGACCAGCTGCTCGGTATTGTTGTTGCCAAGGAGCGCCCTGAACTGGAAGAGGAGAAGGTGCAGCTCATTCTGCAGAGCGCAGACAACAAGAGGTCAGCCACTGTATGATTATGCCAACCATTTCTTTATTTTGCAATAGGCAGCTTGTTACTCACTATTGGATCGCATGATGCACACGTGTATTCACTCGGCTATAACTTACACATGCCTTTTATCCTGTTGTCTGCAGGCAGCTGAAGGAGATTGAGGACAAAATTTTGGAAGTCCTTTCGTCGTCCGAAGGCAATATCTTGGAGGACAGTACTGCCATCGAGATCTTGTCGTCTTCCAAGGTCCTTGCTAACGAGATCTCACAGAAGCAGGTGCGTCTTGTTAGAGAGTTCTGCTTCGATGTCACCCGTGCATTCTCTGCTGATATACGCATGCATGGAATGTAGTGTCTAGCCCCAGTGTGTGAGTGCTGTTCATTTCGCAGAGAACATGCTGATCGTGTAACTGTTCTTTCAGCTGACCTCCGTATTGCACACCTGCGCTTGTATTTGCCCAGGCCATTGCGGAGGAAACGGAGCGCAAGATTGACGACACGCGTGCTGGCTACAAGCCCATTGCCGTGCATAGCAGCGTTCTGTTCTTCTCCATCGCTGACCTGGCCAACATTGAGCCTATGTACCAGTATTCCCTTCCCTGGTTTGTCAACCTCTTCACCAAGTCCATCGACAACTCCGACAAGTCCGACGATCTCATGAAAAGGTAATTGCTGGTGCTAATGGTCCTCTGTACATGTAGTCGTTGATAGTGATCAGAGTGGGTATCAGACAAGCACGACAGGAGGTCACTTTCACGGATGACTTCCTGTTGCCTTGTCAAAGTGGCCAAGAATGGCGCCAGAGCATAGCGAATCTTCCCTGATCACATGAAGTTTGTGGTCGTTCAGCAGTTGCGCGCGCACACGCGTGTGTGTGTGTGTGTGTGTGTGTATGTATGTGTGTGTGTGTGTGCGTGTGTGTGTGTGTGTGTGTGTGTGTATGTATGTGTGTGTGTGTGTGTGTGTGTGCGTGCGTGTGTGTACGGGTGTACACTGTGTAGTATGTTAGCTGACTGTGTACTAGTCTTGCTGTGTCATGTGTCCTGTGCACATCGTGTTCTGTGGTGTGTGTGCAGACTTGCCATTCTGCGTGATCACTTCACCTACTCTCTGTACTGCAATGTGTGTCGATCTCTATTTGAGAAAGACAAGGTAGGTTGTGCCCCGCTGCCTGATGTGTCTAATGCGTTAGTCCATGCTGTTGATGATATGTATATGTCCAATGTGCATGTGTGTAAGTTACATATGTACGTGTGTGCACATGTGCCTGTGTGTGTGTGTGCGTGTGTGTGCGTGTGTGTGCGTGTGTGTGCGTGTGTGTGTGTGTGTGTGTGTGTGTGTGTGTGTGTGTGCGTGTGTGCGTGTTCGCCTGTTCACATGTGCGTGCATGTGCGTGTACGTGTGTGTGTAATTTGTGGTGGGATGCTCACTGTCTTCTCAATGATTCTGATACACTACATGTACCTGTTGTTCACTCCTCTGGTGCACAGCTGCTGTTCTCACTGCTGCTCTGCGTCAATGTACTGAAAGGCCAGGGAGAAGTGAAGGAGGCAGACTGGCGCTTCCTTTTGACCGGAGGTGTTGGTCTGGACAATCCACACACCATCCCATGCCAGTGGCTACCGCCTAAGGCGTGGGACGAGCTGTGTCGCTTGAACGACATATCGGGGTGAGTGGCGACATGATCAAGTTTAAGCTGCCGTGTGCACCCATGCGTGCAATTCAGAGTTTCATCAACCATGATGCTCTCTCTGCTTATACTGGCTTACAGGTTGTTAAGAGATTCGGAACTCGAGAACTCGTGATATACTCGCTAGCACGTAATACAAGTAATTCAGGCTCTTCTCAATTCACACACTCGTGGTGATTCCTTGGAAGTACAGTGTACATAAATTATTAGCCTGCCAACTAGAGAGTTGAAACTGAAGCCTTCTCACTCCAAGGTTTATTAACCGTCATATAAAATGGCCGTTTTCACGCATTTTCAACATGATCACGTATATGCATCACTTACACGGAACAGAGGCACGAAATGTATATACATGTACAAGTAAGCATAATATGCAACTACATGCAATACCCTTCCGCATTCAGCAATTTTATGATCATACCATCATGTATGATGACCCTACACCAGGTTGAATTTTGCGAGTTTTGCGAAAAAGGATCGATTTCGGCAAAATCACTGATATGGTATGGATTCTGAGTTGCATTTTACTTTCAAAATGGAACGCAAACACAGATTGGTCGAATCTAATGCAGGCACAAGCTAAAAACAGATATATACATCAATAGCTACTGTTCAGCCAGGAAGACTGGCATCGTCGCAAAGCGACAAAAAAGAAAAAAACTGAGAATTGAGAGAGGAGATGAGAAATAGAGAGAATGCCCATATCACAGCCTTATGTCATCAGCCTTAGCACTGTGATAGTCCGTGAAACAGTTCCGAGTGTCATTTAGGCACAGGTTGACTGGCTTCTTCGTTGGTCCTTTGCAATGCGAACATGTGAACGCGATTTTCACATGTTTCTTCCCGTGCTTCTTTGCACAGTACCGGCAGTTACTGCGTTTGCCCACGACAGGCAGGTGGGGGTACCGCTGTGCCACCTTGGCCTTCTTGCCCTTCTTGGGGGCCATTGGAGGCTGTGCATTCAATGCAATGCCCGTCAGCTGCCGTGCTGTCGCCAGTCGGAAGTCAGTGGCGTTGAAGTGCACCTGGCATGCAATTGCATCAGGGTTCTCCTTCCTGAACTCTGCAAATAGTTTGTGCGCTTGTGTGGCACACAGATTGACCATGTGGAAAAGCATCGACTTCCAGTAGCGGCGGCTTCGTCTATGCAAATCATCCGTGGCGAGGAGTTGATCACCAACATCAACTCCTCCCATATACGCGTTATAGTTGGCCACCGCCAAAGATCGTCGAACTTCGATCTGGACGTGGTGTCCAGTGTGATCACAGCTGTTCCGCACACACATGTCACTGTCAGTTGCACAGTGAAGTGTTGACGCCACTGTCACTGGCTTTTTGTCCATCCACTGGATCACCAAGATGTTGCCATCACGTACGTAGCGCATATCGCCGCCGCGAGACACTCTTTTGGCCCAAGGCTTTGGCTGCCGAATGGGACCAGGTGGTCCGGTTGGCACGGAGCGTACCGGTGCATCGTGTGCCATCGTGATAAAGGCTGCGCAGTAACGGCAGGGACGTATAGAAGTTATCTATAAAAAGCTGGTATCCTTGCCTGAGGTAGGGTGCCATCAGCTGCTGCACAACTGCTTCGGATATAGGCAGCTGCTGCGGGCCGCGGTTGGCCTTGCCAGGGTACATGTTGAAGTCTACCGGATACCCAGACTCCGATTCAGCTAGCACGAACAGCTTGAAACCAAAGCGAATCGGTTTGCTGGGCAAAAACTGGCGGTAGCTAAAGCGTCCCTTCAATTTCACCATCCTCTCATCAAGCGACACTTGCTGCTTTGGCTGGTAAAGTGTGCGGCATTGATGTCGGACGAAATCATAGAGTTGACGTATGCTGCGCAGCTTATCAGCGAGGTCATGATTGCGTGTGTCTGTCACTTGAACAAACCTCATCAGGCCCTCTGCTCTACGAATGGTCGGTATGAACGAACTTGCCCAGAGGCCATTGTACAGTGATGCTGAACTGTACAACTTGTCGAAGTCACCAACATGTACCACACTCATGTGCAGCAGGAGTCCAAAAAACTTTCCAATTTCCTGGGAGTTTGTTTTGTCCCACTCACCATTCGGGTTCTGGAAACGAACAATGTTGTGGATATGGTCCTCGACATACTCATTCGTGAACGTTGCCATTTTTTTCTAGTTGCGACGTTGGCAGATACAGGCTGAAGAAGTCGATCTCTCGCTCATAATTTCCAGGTGGCAAATGTAGACCAGCTGGTCGCGCAGGTAGGAACGGTGGCGGACTCGGGTCATGATCGTCAGCTGTGTTCCACGTCACGTCAGGGAAGGGACCAGCAGCTGGATTGACGGCAGCACCACCACGTCCACGAGCAACGTCCTCTGGCGACAGGAGCGACAGGTCCGCCACCTCGTCCACGGCCACCGTCACCTCGTCCACGGCCACCGCCACCTCGTCCACGGCCACCGTCGCCTCGTCCACAGCCACCACGTACCCCTCGACCATGTCCACGGCCAGCAGCAGATGCTTGGTCATCACTAGAATCGTCTGACTCTGAGTCCTCGCCGCTGGAGGAAAAGATAAGCAATCGAAAAATTAAAAATGATGATCAGCTGATCGCCGTTGTTCTCAAAGCAATTCCTTGCATTTACTGCTTACCTTTCTAGCAAATCCTCAGAATCGATCCCTGGTGCATCTCCATCACTACTATCGCCTTCCTCTCCTTCTCCTGAGCTACCGGAGCTCTCCATTGGGCTCTCTTCGTCCGACATAGTCACAGTAGCAAGGAAGGCTGACAAGCGCACTTCGATCTACCATATCCTATTATCCATGATATCTCACTTACTTCAAGTGCAAGCAGACCGACTTGCCGCGTGTTCTGATTTGCCCAGGGTCAAAGGCTTTGAAAATGGCGAAATCACCATGTCAACGTCTCAGGAGAGAGTACACGGGATCCACACGTAGTAGTGGGTCGAATTCGACCCACAACGTATGTATGACGGTTAAAGGGTTTTTAAAGGGTTAACCAAAACGAACTCAAAAACAAATCCTAAACAGCAAATCCCGCATGCTGTATTTGCAACAGGAAAACTGTTGCACTCAAAATCATACCTCGCCTATCTTGCTGCGCTCGGCTAGCGAGAAAATTATCGTCTTTTTCAAGCGCAATAGCGGTAACGACTACGGCAATTCCATTGTAAGAAAGTTTGTTGCTCCAAACAATGGAACCCGACACACTGTCTATTGATTAGGTAGTGGTGTTTGCCGAGTCGAAGGTGCGATGACCTTTCCTTGTGCTCAAGATGGCAGTTGTAAGTCAATCAAGTGTCAAGTCCAGTCGGCGAGACAAGCGCAGGCTCCAGTGTTGGCAGCAACCAACTTTCTTACTTGGTCCGCGTCAGCAATATTGTCGCTTATCTTTTGACAATTTGAACTTAGACTTTGGACATGAACGCGTGCACTTGAAGTGATAAAACTTTGTAAGATGGACGGTAAGGTATAGAATGACAACTAGCTGCGAGGAATTTATTGTCCAAGGAAGGGTTCCTACTTTTTTCGGTCCTCCTCATCGCTGCTCTCGGCGCTGGCGACAATTATTTTTGTTCAGGATCGACTGTCTTGCTTTTGCAAGCTCATCTCTCTTCCTCTCCGCTGCCTGGCTATTTTCTAAAAAGAAGTCGATCGTGACGGTCGCCTTCTCTATAGGACTTCGCGTGGGCAGCACGACAGCCTGTGTGGTTCAAATCAGACGCCGTTCTTTGCAAGATTTCATTTTGAACGACGACGACGCGTACAGTACTTGCAAATCTCCACGACGCGCTGGATACTCCGAGCGTTGAGCTGGAGGTAAGGGAGCTGCGATCTCAGCTTGATGAGCGATCCCTGGGGTGAGCGATCTCGGCTGTTCAGCAAAATGAAGCTGATTCCGAGTAGCCGATTGCATTCTTGTGGCTTGCGCTGCTCTTGCCTGCTCAGCGTAAAAAGATAATCTATTTTGATGCGGCGCTATATCAATCAGAATCACCCACCTGTCGCTCTCGAAATCCACTCGAACTCTAGCTAGACCTTTCAGGTACTAGCAAACTAACTTGCTTACCAAAATTGGGATGAAATGGGCTGCCAAGTAAGCATTGGCGACGTATATACAAAGCTGAAAGATAAGCGACAATATCGCTGACGCGGACCAAGTATATTATTTTTATAACAATCATGTCAAACGGCGTTTTAAATAAACTAGTGTACGGTAGATGTTCTTGTCTCTAAGAGTTTGTTGATTTGCACTCTTTGGTTTATTCTGTGTGTGTGCGTGTGTGTGCGTGTGTTGTGTGGCATAGTTATGATGGACTACGAGATAGTATGGGCAAGCAGAATGCTCAGTGGAAGGCTGTATATGACAGTTCAGTAAGTACATGCACAGACATCTGAATGGATCAACATCAATGCGCTGCTGCAATTTGATCGGAATAGCGGGAGTTTTCTGTTTTTCCCACTGTAATTGTGCCGGACTGGCTGCTTGGGCCGAGGTGACTCGTTCGTTGGTATGGCCGACCATATCAGTGAAGCCCAAACTTAACTATTACAGCTATGCCGGACAACTGCATACTTGTCCTTAAAATGTATTCCTCCCTTATCCATCAGTTCATCACTCCACTGACCATCACTCCAAGACAGAAACCCGTTTTGTGACCAAGGCAGTATTAAAAGTAATCCTCCACTAACGCCAGCCGAAACACTCGTGTCCTGATCCACCGTAGCCCATTTAGAAAGATGAAAGCTGGCTATTGGCCAGTTCCCAGGATACGGTCACATGTCCCATAAGAATACAAGTTTCGGTATTTTGAATATCTAGTGTCGACTGGTTTATCACTGTGCTTCATCATCTGCATGTCTTTGCTTGTTCTCGCATGCACACACACACGCACGCACACAGGAGCCACATAGCTGCACTCTGCCAAAGCCATGGTGCGATTTGACCACGTTCCAGAAGCTGCTCATCCTGCGTGCACTCCGGCCCGACAAGGTAAGTGTAGCTGATCACATCGCGTGTCTTACCAATTAGAACTCTGAACCCGTCCTGATTGAGTCGCTGCAGACAGCCACGTGTGACTGAAAACTTGAAAAGTCAACATACGAGCCGCAATCAGCGAAAACGACCCTTAGAGATTTCGTAATTTTTTTCGAGAAAAAGGTCGATTTGTGATGTTCAACGATTTTTTGATCGCGCTGCAAACAGCGCGACGACTTGAACTCTTTGCTTGAAGTAATTTATTTTGAAGTTGAAGGAGTGTCGAGTGGCAACTCCAGTGTTCCTTGATCTTGTTGCGATGGCTGCGGACGCCAGAGCTGTTCGCAGAGCACACACGGCAGTCATTGTCTACAGCTAGCTCGAGCCTGGTGGGGAGTGGATGCTGAAGTAGCCGCTGAAGTTCAGAATGAGGATGAAACGTTCTTTGGTTCCGACATCGATGTCGACAGCGAGGCGGATCGCAGCCGTCATCTCCTGCTGCGATGCGGCTCAAGGTGGCCTATGACTCGTCAGAGTCGGAAGATGAGGAGTCGTCACCTGAGATAAATTCTGTGTCTGGGGCTAGTGACGGCAGCGACGTCGTGTCTTCAGCTGCGGAGGAAAAAATGGAAGACGAGATTGCGGAACGACTCCACGCAGGATGAAGCTGCGAATATGTCGATCATCTCTCCGCACTCATTAGCTATTCTTTGTCATTATAGCTGCTTACTTCACTATTTCAAAAGTATTCAAGCTGCCCACCCACCTTCGAATGCTGAATATTCATTGTACACATACATCGTATACATACATTGCACCAATTTGGAGTACATATTGTATATTGGTGTATACTCCCGTTTAGAATTGCAATATTGAACTTTTTCTTGGCTGAGGTCCTTCAGTAGATGTGGTTCAACAAATTTCTAACCAAAAAGGAATTTTGAAAATGTTGACCCTAAGGGCTGTTTTCGCTGGTTGAGGCCCATACTATGACTCTTGGTTGCTTGTGGACACTGATAGATGATTATCTTACCAAGAGAGTCGACATTTAATAACTCATTGTTGATTGCTTTGTCCGTGTCATCAGGTTGTACCAGGTATCCAGGACTTTGTCACGGAGAAGTTTGGCAAGAAGTTCATCGAGCCACCGCCATTTGACTTGGCAAACGCGTTCAGCGACTCACACAACGGAGCAGCACTCATCTTCGTGCTGTCACCGGGTAGCGATCCAATGGCATCGCTGCTCAAGTTTGCTGATGATAGGGTGAGTGAAGCATTGTGCATGCGCTGTGTGTGAGCCAGCATTGCGCAATCATTGAGACACCCTGCTTAGTGTAATAGTGAGTGCAAGGGGGGGGGGGTGCATTTACTCAGTACACGAAGCTTGATCTAGCATCGGCTGCACTCACTCACTCACGTTGGGAGCGGAGATCTGTTTGTATGGTACTAGTGTTCGTGAGCACTGTCTTGACATCACTGCAACCTAACGAAAAAGGTGTGCAATAGTCTGTAGTCAATGTGCAGTGACAAAGAGTGTGCCAAGTAACAGTTCAGTAGTGTTGTTCGAAAGAAGTGTTAACACCGACGCAAACCACACAGTCAAGTAAAGCCAGTTCTATAACTGAACGTTTTCGTTTCCTTCTCATCATGGGTAAGTACAGGAAATAATGGAAAAATGTCAAATACAGCAACTTAGGGGTCATCGCAAAAGTTTTCCGTCGTCCCTGAAATGAACATTGTTCATTTCGTACTCGGACCCCCTCTCCTCCCTCTGAAACGAACACAGCTTGCTATGCTGGGCGACGAAAATCGCATGCATGTACATGCCATATGTACAGTGTCGGTCGACTTGCGATTTTGGCTCGCACCCCCCCCCCCCCCCCCAATGAATCATGTTCGTTTCAGGGACGACAAAAAAACTTTTGCGACGACCCCTTATAGGGCCATAGTAAAAGCATGGATCGAAACCCCGCGCTATATGTGTGAAATAAAATTCAGTAGAACAGGTCCAAAAACAGGGTGAGGGTGGAGAGATGACTGAAACATAGTGGATATTATTGTTCGATTAACTTTTCCACCGCTAGGGCTTCGGCGGCTCCAAGCTGACGTCGTTGTCGCTGGGTCAAGGCCAGGGGCCGATAGCCATGCGCATGATAGAGAACGGAGTACGCGACGGCATGTGGGTCGTACTGCAGAACTGCCATCTGGCAGTCTCCTGGATGACAACGCTGGAGAAGCTCTGCGAGGTGAGTGCTTCACTCCCTGCTTGCTTTGCATTCTGAAATGTGTTTTTTTCTCTAAAGTGATACATCAGTAGTGTGTTCTACGTTTCCTCTGTGGCAAACCTTCAGCTAAACACAGCATGCTGATCATGGGCAGTGTGGCAATGTGGCAATGTGGAGCAACAAGCTTGGGTGATGCTCCGTGATGTGAAACACATACCTGACAACCATCTCGATTTGGCCGGGACCATCCCGATATCGAGGGTGGTGATAGGCACCCAAATGTGCATTTGCCGCATGCCTCACGGCTACATTTGCGTACATTTACATACCTATAGGTATGTCATTGTGCCGATCTCAGGTCTGCAACGGTTGGCAAGTATGAACCACAGGGTAGCAATGGGGTTGAGTGAAGCGTTTCTTCTGACATGCTTTCCCGGCACTGCATTTGTGCCATGTGCCTACCTTGCAATACATGTACATCACATGTACCTCTTGTTTGTGTTCCCAACCTCCAGGAGCTCAACCCAGATACGACTCATCCAGACTTCCGCCTGTGGCTGACCAGCTACCCAAGTCCACACTTCCCCGTCTCCGTGCTACAGAACGGCGTGAAGATGACCAACGAGCCGCCGAAGGGCATGAAGGCAAACCTGCTCCGTTCCTACCTCAACGATCCCATCTCCGATCCAGACTTCTATGCCGGCTGCACGAATAAGGTATACTGGCTCGGTCTGGCGATCTGACTCGCAGTTCGTCAAACTACAGTGCTGCTCAATGAAATCCAGTCGCGAGAGTCAACTTGGCGCCGTACACCTTTTCGCAGCCCAGTGTTCAGAGGTCTAGGGCTGCGCAATGCCCGGCGCGTACTTGAGAAACTCGACTGGATTTCATAGAGCAGTACTGTTGAGTCGCAATTGGGTGAAACCCCTTGCCAGCTCTCAATCACTTCACTTCAATCATGTGTAGCCGTCTTCTTTAGAGTATGTTTTTGTTATGTTGAAAAGAACTGTGTTTCTCGCTCCACCACTGCTCGACCAGCGAGAAATATGACAGCTACATTAATGTAGGCATACCTGGGCAGTTCACTTCGTATCAGTGGGTGCTACTGTGGCTGCTGCCATGACACATGAATAGCGTCCTCCTCGACTGCAATGTGTTATTTCTACTCTCTGTGTTTGTTTTGTGAGCAGACTGCGTGGCGTACTCTCCTGTTTGGCCTCTGCTTCTTTCATGCCCTTGTGCAAGAGCGGCGCAAGTTTGGCGCACTCGGATGGAACATTCCCTATGAGTTCAACGAGACGGATCTGAGAATCAGCGTTCGTCAGCTGCAGATGTTCCTGAATGAGTATGAGGTGAGAAAACTCAATCTCATTCACCCAGGCCAATGTTAGACCCGTGTGTGTGTGTACGTGTGTGTGTGTCCGTGTGTTTGTGTGTCCGTGTGTTTGTGTGTCCGTGTGTTTGTGTGTCCGTGTGTGTTTGTGTGTGTGTGTGTGTGTGTGTTTGTGTGTCCATGTGTTCGTGTATGCATACATGTCCTTGCTTATGGTGTGGCAGATATGCTTTGGGACGATGGAAGGATGATTGGTGCAACAATTGATACAGCTATTGCTGGTGTGTGTTTGTGTGTGGGCATGTGTGCATCCATGCGTGCGTGAGTGCGTGTGTGTGTGTGTGTGTGTGTGTGTGTGTGTGTGTGTGTGTGTGTGTGTGTGTGTGTGTGTGTGTGCGTGTGTGCATGTGGGCATGTGTGCATGTGGGCATGTGTGCGTGCACATGTGTGTGTGTGTGTGTGTGTGTGTGTGTGTGTGTGCATGTGTGTGTGCGTGTGCGCGTGCGTGTGTGCGTGCATGTGCGTGTATGTGTGTGTATGTGTGTATGTGTGTGTATGTATGTGTATGTGTTTGGTGTGTTACTATATCCACGTTGGCATGCATGACAGGTTGTACCATTTGCTGCACTCAAATACCTTACTGGTCAGTGTAACTATGGTGGACGTGTGACAGACGACTGGGATCGGCGTACTCTCATCTGCCTGCTCGACAAGTTCTACTGCGCAGAGATGCTGGACCAGGATCGCTTCGCCTTCTCCGAGAGTGGAATCTACCACGTCCCGCCCGTGGGCGAGGTAAGACTGATCCAGTTGTGTGCATGTACGCGGAGGTCTGCTCGTGATGTCTGTTCATCAGCCTTGCAAGCTATCCCAACTCTGCTGTACCTGGCATAGTTTACCACTGCCGTTTTATGCGATGATCTGTTTTTGGTGTGGATGTACTCAATGAGGTTTGTGTGTAGTCCCAGGCCTGGAGTACTGACATAATGGCTTCATCTGCACTAGGGATTGCTTGCTCCACCATCATCGCTCTTGGGTTGTATGTGTTTTCACCTTTGTTAGATCTAAGCACTTTGTGTACACGTGTTTTCGTGTGTGTGTGTGTGTCTGTGTGTGTCTGTGTACGTGTGTGTCTGTATACGTGTGTGTGTCTGTGTACGTGTGTGTGTGTACGTGTGTGTGTGTGTATGTGTGTGTGTGTGTACGTGTGTGTGTCTGTGTGTCTGTGTGTCTGTGTGTGCATACGTATGTGTGCACATGGGGTTCTGTTTTTCCAGTACGAATCTTATCTAGACTACATCAAATCGTTGCCACTCATTCCTGACCCGGAAGTGTTTGGCATGCACTCCAACGCAGACATCACCAAGGATCAACAAGAGACCAGCATACTCTTTGACAGCATTCTACTAACTCAGGTATGATAATGATCATGGTGATACTGATGATCATGCTAGTAGCAATGGTACATGTAATGGCTGTGGATAGTGCAGCATAATGCCAGGATACAACGGGCTTAGCTTACCTTGTGTATGTGTGATGGGCATGGATATACATGTAGATAGTGTGTTGTATGAGTGGAAGTTCGGCTTAGCTATGTTCACCTTGTATTGCAATAGACTCTCAACACGAGAGGGCGGTGAATGCAGAAACACTACAGAAGTAACGTGTCGGTGTCGTGCACTGCAGCATAGCATCGCATTGCCTTGTCCCGTCATATCGCTGTTCTCCGGCTACTAGTAGTAATTCACACTCAATCCACTCGCTGTGTTGTGTGTTTGGTGTGTGCGTGTGCATGTCTATGCATGTGTGTGTGTGTAGGCGCGCGCCAGTGCCGAGGGTGGCAAGTCCAGCGACGATGTTGTGCTGGAAGTGGCCGCTGACATTCTGGCCAAGCTGCCGCCAGCGTTCAACACGGAGGAGGTGTTACGCAAGTACCCTACTGACTATAACCAGGTTAGAGTCTTAACAAGTGTCTGACATTATGTTGGTTTATGGAAATAGTATTCTTGTAAAACTCGGATGTTGAGCCAATATCATAAGTAAAGAGAAAGGCCCAATACGTTACGAGTTATGACTAACAATATGCTGTCAGTTTTGTGCATTGTTGTTACACTATCTGCCTGTATAAGATCTCGTTACCTTGGTGGACTGTTAGTCATAACTAGTAACTTATTGGTCCTTTCTCGTTAGTATTCTCAAACTTGTAGGTTTGTTCTTGTTGAATTGGGCTTGTGTCCACAGCTTTGCGTATGCCAAACCGAATGGGAAAGAGTGACATGAAACTGGGAAACGAAATTAGAATATGAGAACATTTCCTGGTGACAAGCATCTGTTTGTAGGCTATCTGGTCTTGTTTTTCAGTGTACATGTATTAACCTAGTCCTGTGTTGTTGCTGCTGTTGTCGTTGCTGCTGTTGTCGTTGCTGGTGCTGTTGGTGTTGCTGGTGCTGTTGGTGGTGGTATCGCTGTTGTCGTCCTTGTCCAGAGCATGAACACTGTGCTAGTACAAGAGATGGGCCGTTTCAACCGTCTGATAGACACGGTGCACGGTAGCCTGGTCAACATTCAGAAAGCAATCAAGGTACATTGTACATGTACAGTCAACTTTGCGTATAACGACACTCGGCGGGGCATCAAAAAAGTGTCCTTACTCGCGAAGTGTCGTTATACCCGAAGTCTCATCATATGTATTACAGTTGGAAGGGACTTTGCTCTGGGCATGGACATGATGTCGTTATTCGCGAATTGTCGTTATATCCGCAGTCGTTATTAGCGAAGTTGACTGTAGCTGTTATTCCTGACCTAGCCTAGAACAGTACATATAACATACCAGGTCCAGTATGTTCACGACGTGTTACAATGTGGTGTGATTGCATTCATTTATGTATACTTGTGTTCAGTTGGGTTTACTTGGGTTTACTTGGGTTTACTTGGGTTTACTGTGCTGAAACCAGTCTTGAGTTAAGGCGATTGTCATGCAAAGTGGACACGCGTAATTGTTTGTGAATTTCTATGTTGACACCTGTATGCTACTTGTTACCAGTTTTCCGGCAGTATGCTGAAGGCTAGCTCAGCTATCCCTGGGAATTTCTTGTCCAAGCCTCTTTGTAGAAGTCAAGTAGTTGGTGAAGTGGTGGGGAAGTGGTAGGGAAGCTCTAACTGCTGTCTTTTACTTGTACGTTCTGATCAGGGTCTTGTTGTAATGTCCTCGGAGCTGGAAGAAGTTGTCGGTAGCATTCTGACTGGCAAGATACCGGGCATGTGGAAGAAGAAGTCATATCCATCTCTCAAGCCGCTCGGCAGCTACGTCAACGACTTCCTGGCGCGTCTGAAATTCCTGCAGGTGTGTGTATGTGTGTATGGCATGCAACAAAGACTATGTGTATGTATGTGTGTATGGCATGCAACAAAGACTATGTGTATGTATGTGTGTATGGCATGCAACAAAGACTATGTGTATGTATGTGTGTATGGCATGCAACAAAGACTATGATTGTGTATGTGCTAGATAAACTAAGTACCGGTACTGATGAAACTCATCTTTAGTATCTGCACTGTGGCTAGGTGTCTGTGATTGCTTTGCCACGACTTGGACATAATACTCTACAAGGGCCGATCCAGAGATTTCTAGGGAGGGGGGAGGGGGTTGCGGCGTAGACAAAACTGAATAGCTGATACATGCACATGTACATGCATATGGTTTCCAGTGGTACATTTGCGAAATGTAGGGGCTTCAGCGAATCCCCAAAATCCCCCTGGATCTGCCCCCTGCTCTATCGCCAGTATCAACGAACGTGTACGTGTACACATACATGTCCATTGGTCACGGAGACGTGTTCGTTTAAACTCTCACATCCATTCCAACGGGTTGTTGAGACAGCTGCTGGCCTGTGAATCTCCAGCAGTTGTTACGGTGTGAATCCCAGTAGCAGATGTACAGATATCCGAAGCGGTGCTGCCATCATGCTGCTGGCTGCGCATGCTTTGCTTGCCCTTTTTCTGTATCGTTGGCATGTTTGCATCGGAAAGGAAAATCCATGCCCGGTATTGTTCGTTGATCAGTCTCTCGGGTACTGTCTTTCCATTTCCTCTGCGTGTGGTTGTTTGTGTGTGTGTGTTTGTTGTTTAGGATTGGTTTGACACGGGGATGCCCCCTGTTTTCTGGGTATCTGGCTTCTACTTTACGCAAGCGTTCTTGACAGGTAGGCTGAACTACTGGGCTGAGCATAGCCTGCAATGGTGTTAAAGGGGAAGTCCGGTGAAAAATTTAAATTTCACAGTCCGTAGAGTTCGGGTCGCTGAGTCGAATGGTCTTTGTCCGAGGAGGCTGCGGCCTATGGTTCGTCAGATACGCCCAATCGAACATGCGCGAATTTGAGCGCACATCACCCAGATCCAGGTGATGACGTCACAGCGTGCAGCCAGGTAGCCACACCATCTAGTTGTGTACAAAATGGCCATATTCGGAGCGCGTTCGATTGGGGAACCGTTTGTCGCAGCTTCTTCGGACCAAGACCATTCGATTCAGTGTTACAAACACTACGTACCCTGTGATTTCCAGCTCGGTAAACCTCGAGGTTATACCGTATTTTAGCCGTTTCCGAGTTGGACTTTTTCCGTCAGCCTCTACCATGTCTACGGCTCTAGCAATGCGCTGCGTGCATGATAGCGCTAGCTGTAGTGCAGTCAACAAACTCATCACACACGGCCGTGCTGGGGTAGGTACTACAACAAGACTCGAGTCACAAGACTCAGAAAACTAGTCAACACACAGACTTGTCATGTACTACACTCGTATCAGTTCATGTAGTCAGAGAACGTGCATTTCTCCTTGCCGGTGCCGGTGGTTGTGCTTTGAGAAAGAAAATTTTAGTTTTCCGCTCCGGACTGCCTCATTATTTTATGCTACAGCGATGAGTGCACAACCGTGACAAGAGACAAAACAGCGAACAGCTCCCGGACCTAGAACTTTCAGATTCCATAGCGTTGCGAGCGAAGAGCCGTGCCCGTGGTTCAAAGAGCCTGCACTGTTCTCCAATTGAGTAGTCCGAAATATTAGTTCGCACCAAAACATCACCATGTGCCAGGCTACTGGAGTCTAAGCGAATCGGTATGGAACAACATTTAGAGTACTCGCATCACTCTTCTCCATTTTGGCAACCCTGCTCTCCAGCGATAATTATATCAGCCTCGTCTGCAATAGCTGCTGCTTCTGTATCAGTCGGAAACTCAGTAGCGCTCACTCTTGACCGGCCCGGCCCGCGCGGCCATTTCTTCAGCTGAATACCGAGGTTCTCAGCCCCAGACCAAACTCATGAAGGTCAGCCATGGCTGCATCCTCACTCTCACAAGGAGTTAGGTCTTCGGGGTCGCTTGCACCACCTAATATCAGTCGCCAAATCATTTGAAATAGCACTGACACTATTGCTTTCACGCACTCCTTTTGACCTAGCTGCACGCTATGACGTTGCGGAGGGTGTGGCGCGGCCGCATGACGTCATGGCGCAGCCCCCGAAACTCAGTTTTTCAAACGGAAATATCTCGAGAACGCTTTGTCAGAGACACGTGGGACCAACACCATTCGACTCAGCGCCCAAAACTCGACCGACCCTGAAATTTAAATTTTTCACCGGACTTCCCCTTTAAGGTGGCTCCTACCCCTCGGGTCCAATTTTTTTGTTTGAAACGTGGCTACAAACGATTGTACTTTGTTAAGTTGGATATCTAGTGTACGGAGACAAATTTTTATCAAGTTCTACCGGCCGGTTTCACTCGGGGGAGGGGCCAAACATAGCATACTCACAATTGCCAATTTAGGCCAAAAAATACCGGAAAACCACTTTTTTGGCCGTAGCACTGGTAGTTACCCCCTTTTTCTTGATGTCCCACATCAGGACAGTAGTATACTTGCTAAATATCAGCATAAGCTGTAGAAGTGGGTAGAATTCTGCTAGAAGGTGACCTTTTTTCTCTTTTCGGAATCATCCCATTTCAGGGCACACGTCCCACATATTAGCCCCGCCCACAAGTATTTGACACTGGACTTGCCCTGTATTCGATGGTTATGCTATCATAACCTAATAATGGTACTGTGTAGCAAGTTTGAGCAGGTTCTACCGAAGGTAACTCGTGAAATAAAACTTTGAAGTTTCAAGTGATGCCATATTTCAAGAATCAGCACATTGCACTGGGACATTGTCCAACGCCTTAGAACCCCTGACTCCACCATATGACAGATACGTGTCTTACAATAATTGATTGCAACATCTTCCGAACATAGTAGTAGAGCTTTGGATTAAGTTTTAGCAGTTTCCACCGAAGCAAACTAACAAAATAGAACTTTGAAGTCGCCCACATACTAAATGCCATAGCTGAGCATGTGCATTGAGTGTATGGTCTAAAGGTTTTCACAACTAGCTCCAATGCGGCAGATACGTGTCTTACATTACTTGATTGCAACATCTTCAGAACACAGTAGTAGAGCTTTGGATCAAGTTTAGACAGTTTCCACCGAAGCAAACTACCAAAATAGAACTTTGAAGTCGCCCACATACTAAATGCCATACATGTAGCTGAGCATGTGTATTGAGTGTACATGTATGCTCTAGTGTTTTTCACAACTTTCTCCAACATGAAGCCGATAGTGATGTGGAATTTGTTGACTGCTTTGTCCAAAACATAGTGCTGAAGCAATGCACATTGGGCACTTTCTACTGGTAATGTAATTATTATATTATACAGTGTTTGCTGCCAGCATAGCAAGAAATACTTCTATACTAAATGCGTATTCCACGGGGTACGGTCCAATGGCTTTTCACTTCACATCTAGCCACTGTTCTTCGTGCATTACTTGAATGCTTAGTCTCCGTGGTAATAAAGCTAAGAGCCACACTGGAGAAGTTTCTACAGAAGCTAACTATCAAAAATATAAAATTTCCAAGATGCTACTATTGCATCAAGTAGCTGTGTGCAATGCCACTCTGTTGAACACAGTAAGCAAAATCGAGTCACTAAAACCCTATTTGCCAGATACAAGCTGTTGAGACTGATAGCAGCTGTATGATCTGATATGGATGGCGGTTCCACACTGACCAGCACATGTACACGCGCACAGGCAGAAGAACGCACAAGTAATACACCTATCGTTACTTCGAAGTACACTGTGTACATCATGTAAATACAAGCGTATATACAAGCAGCACTCCTGTTCTCCACACCCGGCAGTCTTGG